TAACCATCCATAACCCCTGAAAAATTAAACAACATCCAAAAACATTCCATCACAACAATGCATAGCTTTTCATTTAAACAATAACAACGTTGTCCATAAAGGTATATCAGATAATGTCGATCCGTTTTAAGGTCAATTCAATCTTTGAAAGCTTATTCTTCTTCCTTTTTCAAGGATAATCAGATTAGAATTAACTTTTTATGGATTTACTCTGATATGATGTTGAAGGAACGGAAATTGCTCAAAAATAAAAGAGCTTAAAATAATAATAATAAAAGTATAGAGTATAAGCTTATTTACTTTGAGTACTGATCAAATATTTTGAGTATATTAAACGGTCTTATGTGATGCATAAAGACTTCCTTTCTGCCATTATCTGGATGTTAAAAATTCCTTGTTTTATTTTAACTCTTAAAAATATAAAACGTGTCAGGAACATAAACAATCACAATTGCTATTGTTTTTAAAAAAAATGTAGCTAGAGGATTAGAGCGGAATTAAATTTGTTCATTTTTATATTGAATTGTTATTCTTTTAATTTAAAGTTCATTTATAATCATTTTTGACCGTGTTCTCATTTGATTACGTTATGCATGCAAATTATATGCATTGAGTTTAATTAATAAAAATTGATATTACATATTTATTATGCTTAATTTTATTGGATTTTTCAAAAAGCTATTATGTTAATGAATTTGTCGAAATTTATTAATTATACTTAATTTTCCTGGGACAACATAATAAATTTATAAACTTTCTCAATTTTTGATTATTGTATTACCCTGAATAAATTGAAACAACAGCAATAATATTTGTCTTGTTAATCATACATACCGAGTTGTTTGACTGAACTTAGGTCTTTGCAAAGTACCACTTCATTGACTGATTTTTTTGTAAAATTCCTATTAAGAAATATAAATTTTTCATCAAATATTCGTCTAATCATCTCGTTCATAATTCCTACATCAACCTCAAGTATGCATCAACAAACTTACGAAATCTCTAAAAGCAGAGAAGTCTCTTAACAATGCCGTACTGGAGAGGGACGCATTAAAATATTTATGTGGCATTTAAGCAAACAAACCCTTTTTTGCCTTTGATGATTTCTTGACTTTACTCTCATCTTTTACTATTTTTCAAGAGAGTTTCTAGATCTAATAGCTGAAATGATTTAATTTTGCACGTCCAACTTAATTTTTATGAGCTTTACAGTTAAATATTCAAAGTATTAATTGCTTCATTCTGGATAATAATTAAATTGACTTACTTAATCACTTTATTTAACTTATCACAAGATTATTCACTTATAAATTAAAATAAAATAAATCCTTATCCTAATTTGTCAATTTATTATGGACACCGTCCAAAGAATGGATCGCATCGGATATTTGGTCTTCCATTTTGCTGATTCTGCTTCCGTTTTTTAAACAATTCTTCCTTCCTCTTCTTCTTTAACTTATAATGTGTAATATATGAGGCATAATTTGCCACTGCAGAGCCTCCACCACTTTCACAGCTATCGATGATGATCATCGTAACGAAGATAAGTGAAAAGATAAATATTGATTTCATTTTTATAGGAAATTGTTGATTGTGCACTACAGCTGCTCATCCAAATTGAATTAACACACGAGTTAACTGAAAGTTTGTTGCAAGGCTTCCACGTCTTTTTATTTTTCTTACAACAAGAGGCTTTTAACTCTATGGACCAATTGTTAATACTTGAAGCTGTATCGACGCTTTGTGTATTTATATTTTTTCAAAAAAAAGTTTTTCACACATTTCAAATTGAATACTGTTATGTAGATTATTACTTTCTAATAAAAAGATTTAAACATTTATTAAATGATCGAAAATTTCTCTTAATTCTTTCGTACATACTTAATCTAAGCAAGATCTTGCTTGGTCTTGCAAGACCAAAAAATATTTTACGAAAAGTTTTATTTGAAAGTTCAGATTAAACTTATTTAATTGTCACAAGCATCCCGAACATTCGCCAATAACAGCTTAAATCCTAAAGAACTGCATTCGAATGCAATTTATCACAAATGTGTAAGCACCTTTCAGCCTAAGGTTTTCCTAATTTCCTCTTTTTTTCGGTTCGACGCTCCTTCCATTTCCATTTCCTTTTCTTGGCTTTCTTTTCTTAAAAAGTATATGATATGATGAATGTGTAGCTATTACTCCATTACTCTCACAGCTGTCCAAGACCATCATTAAAACAAAAATGAGTGTGAATATTAAAAGCAGCTTCATGCTTAATAATCTTGTAAATTTTAAACAAGCAAAAATGTTTTTTAAAATATTATTATTGGCAGTTTCTATTTCACACTTTATCAAACGATATTAATGCTTGCGGCTCAACAGATAACTCAAAAGTATCTGAATATGCGACTTAGTTTTTAGTATTTATATTTTCTGAAATGAATATCACAAGTTTTAAATATGTTAACTAAAATATTAAGGGTTTCCTCGTGGTCTATATTAGCATTGATTAAAAGAAGAAGTTAATTAATATTCATAGAGTATCAAAGACTCTAATTGAAATTAAATTTCATTTTAATTTAAGTTTAATTTCTGTTCAGAATAAAATTTTGTTCGTTGTTCTTAATGACTCATTTAATAAATTCAAACTTGCCAATTGAACACACCAAGAAATTCTTTAAATGCCGTTCAAATTACAAACTTTGATATTGATCCATTACCTTCGTGTAATTGACGAGATCATTCGATGTAAATAATGTGAAGGGAATGACATTGACTTAGTTTTCATCTTCAAAAAACTTAAAACTTGGCAAGGTTTTTTTATTATTGAGAAAGATTCGTTTGTGTTGACTTTATTAAAAATGCACTTTTTGCAGTCTTAATATTTCATTTTTCATAAACTGTGGATTGTCGATTTTTCGATTTTTAAAAATAATAAATAAAATTTGTCTTAAACCGAATAATGCAAGAAATAATCCAAGGCGTGGAAACTATCCCAAATATCTCATTTATCCCATATATCCCAAAAATATTCAAAATAATCCCTGAGCCTGTATGCATTAGAATTGAGATATCCCATCATATCCTGAAATTACACGTCTAATACACTAAGTATATCTTTATTATCGTGCATACATGCTCAGGAATTTTTTGAATTTTTTCGGGATATGTGGGATAAATATGATATTTGGGATAGTTTCCACGCCTTGAAATAATCTTATTTAAGATTAAAATTTCATGACTAATATAATTAAATTCTCTAGTTTGTATTATAACCTATTCAGCAATTGTATTGTCGTGAGCATTTTGCGAACCCTTGTCATATCGACGACACCAATGATAAGAAATCGAACCCTCGATCTTATAACGGAATCATAATCTCAAACGTCCATGTTTATTTTTCGATGTATTACAAAGTCTAATGCATCAATTTCAGTTTAAGCAACAATGTCATTAGAGTCCCAAAGTTTAGAAGACTTTAGCTTTAACGATAGATGTTCCGATGATAATTTGAGAAGATCTTACAATTCAAAAAAAAAACTTCAATAAACTTTATAGAATTTTTTTATTGCATTACAATTTAAAACAGATCTGTCTTAATTAACAATAAAGATATATTTAGTGTTCTTAGGATTAATCACATTTTCACACAGATATACACTTAACTTATCATTAAGATAACATTACTATCTTTAAATATTATTACTAAGTATTTTTAATAAACTTTTATTATTGCCATTTTCCTTCTCGTCAAGTTTTTTTCGTTTAAGCAGTAGTTCATCTCTCCTCTTCTTTTTAACTTTAAAAAGTATGTGATTTGGGGAATGCACCACAATCGATCCTCCATTGCATTCACAGCTAACCATGAGGACCATGGTAAAAAAGATGAATGTAAAGATGTATAGAAGTCTCATTTTCGTAGTTTAGTGCTGATTGTTCACTACAGTTTCTCATTCAAACGATTGCACTGATAGTTTTAATGAAATCTATTGGATTTCTTTTGGTTTATTTTACACGCTTTTCTTAATTTGAATTTTATGTTTTTCACTTTGGGAATTTTTAATTCAAACCTTTTTGTATGTTGTCGATTCTGTTGATCGATTGTAAATACTGAAAATGAGGACGATGATGTGGGTTTTTATATGATTTGGAAACTATTTTACACATTTCAAGGAAATTAATATCGATAACAAAAGATATTAATTATATTATCACTTATTAAAGAAGATGAAGCTTTGAAGAATGCTTTTTATTCTAGAATTCAAGTAATTGCTGGCTAATATTCATCGAGATTAGATTAACACACTTTATTCACACACAAAATTGTGAACTTCCCGAATGGCACAAGTCGGTTAATCGATCAGAAATCTGGCACCAATCTGGTGTGACTCTGGAATGTTGCTGGATTCAAATCAAAGGCAGCACCATGCCAGAGTCATGCCAGATTGGTGCCAGATTTTTATTCGATTAACTGACTTGTGCTATTCGGGTTGAAACTATTATTTTACCAAAGTTTTTTCAGATCCATACAAGCTGTTTAGTAAAAACACATTCCAAATAAAGCGATAATTTAATTATTTTGGTATAAACAAATTGTTAATAAACAGATTGTTTACGTGCTGTTTTATATTTATTTATTTATTTTTCAGATTTTTCACGGCATTAACATCGATGAATAGTTTAATAAGCAATAATTAGGAATCTGTAAATACTGATATAAAATAGTTGACATCTTTATGTCTCACAGTCAGTACGGTAGTCGTGCTATTGGTGTGATTCTTGTATTTTAACATATAAAGCAAAAAGCTCTAGTAAATACGAAGAAAGAACATTTATTGGTGATAAATATCGTGATTTTTTGTATTTTCCAAATTTTTCAGTATAGTTCTATAGCTTTGCAAGGTTTGATAAACACTCAATCGGTAAAATCCTCAACAAATCATAAATTAAATCAATTTAAGTCAGGCTATGGATCAATAATCTGTCCAAAAAACATCAGATCAAATTAAAAACGATTGTTTTTTGAACTTTAAAAAATATTTTTTAACTTTTTATTTATTAATTACAAAAGAATCCAAAACAAATTAACGGTCCACCGATAGGTCTACCTCCATAGTAATTAGGTCTTTCTCCGTAGTATTCTGGTCTCGAATTGTAATAATTGCTTTGTTGTGGATAATGTTGTGGTCTTCTATTCTTTTCTGCTTCCTTTCGTTTCTTCTCTTTTAATTTGTAAAGTGTTATATATGCTCCAATATTTGCAGCAATGCCACCTCCACCTTGACTGTGACAACTATCGATTGTGAAGACGATGAAAATAAGTAATGTAAATAAAGCAATTGGTTTCATTTTTATGCTTGTGTGGTTGCAGATGGACTGTAAAGTAAACAATTAATGAAGAATTAAGGAACAAATATATTTTGGATAAATAGTTTTTTTTATTAAAACAGAAGCAATTAAATTTAGCATGTGATTAGCTTGTGAAAAATATTCACCTTTAAAAGATTGTTTCGTGTACTACAGATTTACACAGTTCTCTAATGAAGTTTATTATCACACGTGCATGAACTTAGGATATAATCGTTATTCCTAATGCTTCCCTTAGACTTAATGTTTTTTTTCTCGTTTTCACTGATTTATTCTATGATAAAATATTAAGGTTAAAATTAAAGATTCAGGAAAGAATGCAAATCATACAATCCAAGGAATATTAAACCAAAACTATGATTAGCTGGTAATTTAAAAAAGAAAGCCAGGACTCTCAATAGGTCCTGTTCTTCTCACGAACAAATTTTAATCTCTACAAAGATCTAGACCCCTTGTTTTCTTCAAAAAGTCACGACTAAGCTTATGTATAGGAACACGCGTAAAGATTTTTTACACATCTTAGTCAACAAATAATTATCATCAGTATCATTAGGTAATTTAATTAATTTTCATAATATTTTATTCAATTCTAATTTTTAATTAAAAACTTAAAAACTTTTTCAATTCCTTGACTGCAACATGAGAACGAAAAAATTGCTTTTTTAAAGTTTAACAATAACTGAAACTTTTAATTAAACAATGAAAAAAATTCTAAAGTTTAAGAAATTTTAATCGCAAATCATTTATCAGAATATTGTTCAGCACCTCATATGAGAATATTGTCGACTAGATATTAACTTATGTCAATCACTTAACAACTTTATTGAGACTGAAAATACAATTTTTATTCAATCCGATAATAATAAAAAAATAATATTTCTGGTGTTAATTAAATTTATTATCAGCTCATGTTAACTGAATTAAATGAGTGAGTAACTTGGAATTTAAACTTCTTATATCAAAAGTTGGGAGGAATTTAAATCCAATTAACATTCATCAAAGTCTTTTAGAAGAAGAAAATGTTTTGTGTGTTGTGGCTTAGAATGAATTGGAAGTATTATCATGAGATCATCTTATTTGTAGCTTTTAATGTAAACGAACTTGACAGTGAAATATCCAAAAGGAAGACTCAGTTGCGCGTAAATTTTGAGACCATATTAATAATTTTATTATTCACTTATTTAGATTATAAATATTTTTTGACATCAAATATGATTTAAAGACTTACAATGGACATACATTTTATTTTATTAAATCTCAAATATTACGATATGACTAAGCCTCAGCGTATCAAGGACTTTTAACATCCTGCGGGCTTATTTTTTCTAATAATCAAATGTGGTATCTACGGATTACATTTTAGATCTGTTTCTTTTCCTGAATAATTATTGCTGTAGCAATAAAGTATCTTATCGTTGTCCTGGAAGATTCACGAGCATATCACTAAATGCATACGGCTTATAAACTCAACATGATTCAATTAAACCTCCAAAATTACAAGGTCGATATTTGAAAACCGCAATCATTTGAAGAACACATTTGTGAGGTTTGCATTACTACAGCTTGCGGCCTCTGTAGGTTACATTGGCTTGATGTTATTGTAAGTAATAACATAAATATGAGAACGGATTTACAAATCTTCATTGTGTAGAAATTTAAGGTTAATTTTGCTTTTTTCAAAAAATAACTTTTTGACTACGCTTATTCACTTCTTTTCCAATCTTCTAGACACCAAGTGAAAACACTTTTGGTAGACTACGACGCAGTCTTTTTCTGAGTTTTTGAGTCTTGTGTTAATGATAAATGTCAATATGAGTTCTTTAAATTGAATTCAATTTCATTAATCGGAAATAATGCGTGTCAAATAAACAGTCTGAGATATTAACACAAAATGAGTAAGACCTGTCATATTCTGTATTTATTGTTTTTCGTTCATTAAATTCTTGATTCCATGAAATGAATTGCACTATGTTAAAAAAAATAAATAACATTTTATTAGTTGCGCTTTAATTTTACTGAATTTGTTGTGAATATTTAAATATTAATTCATTTAACTTACATTATTAGGTGCACTTTGCTCTTATAAATCCAATGAACCCTCCCATCGGTGCAATTCGTGGATGCTTTACTTTATTGTTTCTACAGTCATCTTTCGATATTTTAGCTACTGGCATTGCTAATAAGCTTCCGAAAGTCATCAGAACGATCAAAATCGGATAGAGTAAATTTAAAAATTTCATTTTTATTCAAATTTTTTAATTTTTATTCTTTAATCTGTGCCTGATAGATTATATCTTCTAACATATTCTTTATCACTGATTCGATTTCTATTCATAAACTCTTCTTTTTATACAACCGACTAGAATTTAATCTAGCGGGACATTAAAAAGTGTTAATTTTATTTTATTATATAAAACTTCGAGCTTTAAATGATCTGTGTCATTGTTTTTGCATGAATGACTGATGAAAAATCTGTAATTTTATCCATGCTTCATAATCCTTAATTTGAAATGTATTTTTCATATTTCAAAAGGTATACATCATCCTTACTAAATACACTTATATTTTCATTAGGAGATGACTCGCTTATAACGAATCAAAAGATGAATAATTATTCACCGGATGTCAAAACTCTCCTGTGATTACTAAATGACCATTAAAGCACCATTAAATATTCATGAACTGCTCGGGATGATCCATTTAGATAGAATATAACCTCCCACGTGCTCATGTAATGCTTATCTAAATTTTAAATAATCAAGAAAATGAAAATCATTAGAAACAATTAGCACTTCTGAAAGCTTTAATTTAAATTATTATTTTATGTACTTTAAGTAAATAAAAGATTAACCATTTTGATAATTTTTATAAATATTTAATTTAAATATTTTCCAACTCTACAAAAAGATAAATAAATAAATAAATTAAGGTATCACAATTAGTAGCATCGTCCATATCCAAATCCAAAGGGTGGATAAACATAAGTTCCGTAGCCATAAGATGAAAATGGATTTTCACATTCTACAACTCTATAACGGCCATAGCTTCCATAACTTCCATAACTCCCATATCCTCCATATCCTCCGATTAAAATAGGAGCGATTCCAATTCCTCCATAATAACCTCCTCCTATGAAGTTAAGGATAAATCAATAATTAGAGATTTGTCAATGTCTAAGAAAAACAACAAGCTAGACATTTAAGTTTTACAAAACAAAAAAGGCTCTGGTTTGCTTTAGATTTTGATGTTTGATATCTTTGTTGAATCTTAAGCTACATCAACTGTTTGAGCAATATTCTTAATTTGTAGTTGAAACTGTGCAAAAAGTTCCTACTAGAAGTTTAAAAAATCACATATTTTGAATGACATCATTTATCAACAGCAATTACTCAATTAAGAATATGAAATAAAATGAGCTACAAATGAAAGCCTAAATAATTAATGAGCGTATTATGTACTTCTGATTCCTCCTCCACCATAGTAATTATTTACTACAGGTCTTCCGACAGGTCTTGCAAATCCACCTCCAGAAATTCCGTGATATCCACCACCTGTAAAAATGTATGAAACTCTTGAAAAACATAAATTTTAATAAAGATACTTAAATTAAATTAATGCTGAAAGCGAATAAGAATCACATCTACAAGTTAAGGAATTCGCCCGTTCATTTATTTTGTTTGAATTTCAAAAGGTTTTTGTCAATTTTCATATTTAATAGAAAAAATTATTAATTGAAAAATTGTCGCAATTAAATAAGGTGTTATTTAAAAGCTATTTGGTAATTCTGGATTCAATTTTAAAGTAAAAATTGATTTCTTAATATCAACAAAAATAACATACAAGTTAAGCAGTTAAGTGCCTTGCTGGTCGAATAGGTAAGGCGCTTGGCTCAAATTTGGGATGGTAACTCGAAGGACGTCGGTTCGAATCCAGCCATTTTCCAAATTTGTTCTTTTTCGGAAGTTTAGATACTTCGACTGCTTAATGTACGAGATCAAGCCATAATTGGCCATTTGAGCAACGTTGAATTAAGGAACGGGTCAGGAACTTGAAGTGTAGCGGGAGAAATAGGAACGAGAGCTACAAGATTACCCACGAATGGAATATTGTTAGAACGGACCTGAAAAGTATCACGTCACGCCTACAGAAGATCGAAACGAGAGCCTTAGTTTATTTGAAACCTAGATTTGAAGATTAGCAGTTTGATCCTACATAATACTAATTCATATGTGTACAAATACAAAAGTGTAAAATGTGAATTATTACCGGACAGTATGTCGTCAATAAATGCAATAAAGTGCAATTAAAATGAAAAAAATAACATATTAATAGTCAAACTTAATCATGCTAACGGTGGTGTCATTTCAAATACAAATTTTATTTTTTAAAATAATCAAATGAATATCAAATCAATTTGATGTCAATAACTTTTGTTTAAATGACTGATGGATGTCATGGGTCATAGTAATTAAATCATAATTTATAAAACTTTAGGTTATTAGTGAGCAATAAAATTTTCTATTTTAAATTTCAATCAATCATGTTTTATGGTTTACGCGTTAATATTGTGACACGTAGAAAATTATTTTAAATGTCATTGGCTTTAAAACAAATTAACAAATTCATAAATGTGAGCAAAATAAGAATAAAAAATTCCCAATGACTCATTTGAATATTTTCAGTGATACTATTTGATTATAATAACTTACCACGACCTCCCAAACTTCCATAACCTAAAAAATAAAATTAATTCATATTTAAATCAATTAATTCATTCAAAAATCAGTTTTTTTACCTCCTCTTCCTCCAAAACCCCCACCTCCTCGTCCTCCACCTCCATGTCCACCTCCCCCACCTCTAGCATCAATATAAGATACATTTAAAAAAAGGATCACAAGGAAAATTAAAATGAAGGGATAAAATTTCATGTTCATAATTTTTTTTTCAACAAAATAAATCGAAACACAATTTTTTTATTATTTTCTTGACGATATTTTCTGTACAACTGTAGAATAGTTACTAGCAAAGAACTTTATTAGCCTCAAACATCTAAGATGAATACACTATTCGTATCAATACATATAAGGAAGAAAAAGACATATATGTGTGAGGAAAATTGTATTAAAATTTAAAGTTGAGGTCATAAAGCGCATTTTTAATGAATATTGGAGGACACAATTAGTGATTTACTAGCTTTTGAACTTTAAATTGAGTATTTGAATGCAATTGTCAGCAATTAAGCCAGTCATTTTCGTATGCATAGATCAAAATTAAACAAATAAGAAGATAGAGTCAAATTAAACCAATTTCTAGCTATGCAAAACTGATATTAAATTTTCAAAATTATACCTTAGGAACTGGATTAAAAATCCTTCTAAAATCATTAATGAGAATAAGATTCAACCAAAACCCTCAAAACTTTTTATAATCGAATTAAAAACAACCAAACTGAATACCGTGCCTCAAAACTTTGTCAGATATTACGGTAAAAAATACTTCGTGCTCACTTAATTTTCCTTCAGTCTGTTTGGAGTAAATGATGAGAAATTTTTTTTTTTGATATTTTACACAAATTAGAATAATTAGCAGCAATTTGTCATATCGCATATTTATTTGTGTTCAAGATTTACATTTTTATGGGATGACATGATAAACTTTTCTATCAAATTAAATGAATTAGTTAAGTAAATTGTGTACACAATGTGAATATGAGTAAGTAAATTTATGCAAAATGATGGAAACGAGAAGGAAAGGCAAAAGTTTGTCAATTCAACATCTGCCATCGACATAATATAATTAATTTTCATTTTATTTGTGCTTTTCCGGCTTTTTGTTATTCTACTGTCATTAAATCTCTGCCATCTGTGCGTGAATTTAATGTAGTTTTTATGATTTTCGTAGTTTTGACTGCCTTTTTGTTGGAGTAGTCAGTGTGTAAATTTGTTTATCAAAAATCAATTCATAACTCAATGAATTATGGTTAAGCTTTAGAATCATACGCAAATGATGTTCGGCTAATGTGTTAGTAAAAGATCTATGTCAGATGTGTGTTTTGATACAAAACCTCATTTCATGCCGACAGACATCATTTACGAATAACCCATTAAGGTTTTTTTTCTCAATTAATCCTTTTTTCATGGTCAAATTAAATATTAACCTTCCATAAATCACGAAACCTTTCTTGCAATTTTCTTAATGCTAAGTTGAAGTTTCTCTTACAAAATATCTTATGTATACTTAATGTTTTCGCGAATTACTTGACCCATCCATTTACCTGAAATTCACAAGTCCATTAAATATTTCATAATCATCTTACAATCACGGAAGTAAATGTCATGATGAAGTTAAGAGATGATTCAAAGAAAAATCATAAAGGAAGTTCATTACTTTGAAGTTGTTAATTTAATTAATTCTTTCATGTGAAAATCAATTGATTTTGTGGAATTCGTATAACTATAATCTGGAATGGATTTTATTGATGTAAAATAACTGTGTACCGAATGATGTCTTTGTGGCGAATTAGAATTCTTCGGTATTTAATTATTGCTACATCGATAAACTCATGATGAGTTTGAGATTCAGCTTGAAATTTGACAAGGAAGTTTTTTTTTGATCCCACTAAAAATCATAGATCTACGTTTTAGTTCCTAATAGCTCATTTGATTCAAAGTCTCACTTCAACAAACTACCGATAACAGATTAAGCTTCACTTTTACTTTCGATTATTACAAGGATTTTGTACCTCAAATATTCCAGACAAAATTATTGCTGTTTAGTTGAGGTTTGCGGTTAAGTCGTATGAAGCATAGCTTTAGTGTAATTTTGCCAGATTTCACAGTCTTCAAATAAATTTAGTCATTTGCAATCAATTGCATGACATGATTCACATTTCTATTGATTTAAAGTTCAGTTCATTCTTAAAGATTCAATAAATTGTAACTGTTTCTTAGTTTCAATAATAAAATGTTTCAATCTACATAAATCCTGTCGATACTTGGGAAAAAATTCAATTTTAAGTATGCCAACACAGCACTGCATTCAACTGGATTACTTTACAATTTATTTTAATCTACAGAGCTACTCATGAAACTGATTGTTCTCATGTGATATTCACCATAATAATGTAAACGAAATTTTATAACATTTTCTGAAACTTTTACAAGCACTTCCGTTTTATAGTATGGAAATACATTCATCCTCTCATGTACATAATAAATCCTCTTTTTATTGAATATGCAATTCATGTTTAAAAATAAAAAATAAATAAATTCAATAGCAACAAAACTTTTGCAGCATAACAAAAAGCTTATTTTTTAAAACTCTCATAATAAGGTTCAACAGGATAAAACGGCGGATCATAAACTACAACACTTTCGGAGCAGCATGCTCGTTTTGGTTCGAGAGATGAAATCAGTTTTTTCTTCAGCCAGATTATTGCGTCAAGTGAGTCGAAAAATGCTAAAATGAATTAAATAAAATTAGATTTTCAGGTTTTTGATAAACTTTTTGGGGACCGGTGAGTTAGTGATGAGCTACTGAAGTACTATTTGGATATTATGGAATGTTAAAGATTCAAGTTGAGGACCTGTTTTAATCATTTTGCCGGCTGTTGATTTTTTTTTTCATTTTTAAATTCCTACAAAATCAAAATTCACCAAATTCATCACTTTCAGTTCCCAAAAATCATATAAAGCACAAAACTCACCATCATTTCGATCCCTCCAAGGCACTGGATTCCTTTTTGTTGTCACTGTAAACGGAAATTGTGGCATTGGTGTAGGTTTAGCATCAGCATTGTTATAAAGACACACAATAATCATGAGAATTGCAATCAAAATCACTCGGACAGATTCCATACCAACTGTCCACAACTGCAGCTATAAAACTTTAAACATCAAACGACTAATTGAAAATGAAACATTAATTTTTCAAAAAAAGGAAAGCATTCATAAATATTTTTTGTTTTTTCAATGTGTTTGTGTGAAAAATTGTTCATAAAAAAAGACCTTCATAGATTATCACATTTTTATTGTTATCCGTACATGTATTGCTGATGTTAATCAATATTTTTGTCGCTTTCCATTTTCATCTCTGTTTACGTTCACAAATATTTCTGTTATGATTATGTTTTATAGTGTTACTTGTGATATTTTGGACTCGCTACAGTCTACTGATGAATGTGTTAATGAAATGAAATGAACAAAAAATGATCAAAAATGATCAAAAATGATCAAAAATGATCAAAAATGATCAAAATTGATCAAAAAATGAGCAAAAATGATCAAAAATGATCAAAAATGTTCAAAAATGATCAAAAATGATCGAAATTGATCAAAAATAATCAAAATGTAATTCTTCAGTTCCACATTCTTGATGAAATTTTGAGAATAAAGCATTCGATGCGAAGATATATTTTCATGTTGTTTTCTTGTGTTTTAAGACAGCAATAGTGATACAGCAGATCCAGTACATAAAGGGGCCTCTAGGATAAAAATTTCTTTTTTTTGAGAATGGATTTTGAGTTTTTTGAAAAGAACAGAAAAATTTAAGTGATGTTTCAGGGTTTTGTTTTTAAAAACTCTAGTCAATTTATGAATAATATGATCCATAAAATTCATAAATCCATTCATATCCATAAAATTCACTGTTTATAGTAATAAATGATAAGATTCAATTTCTGAATAAATGAAAATAATTTTTTTACATCCAAGATAAACTTTTTATTGATCAATCAGGAGCTTAAAACAAACTACAACAACCATCGCATCTAACAATATTTGATCATTGCATCCATAGAGTTATCTCAGTCAATTATTGAAATGCAAAATCTTTTTTTTTATTTATTATACTAAGTCACAATAAAAACAACTCCGAGCACAAAGCTATTAAAAATAGAAAATTTATAGCATTTGATTCGCATAGCTAGTAATGTAATAAAATGCTTTATGGGTAGAATTTTTTTCAGAACCAAAAAGGTTTCATGTGAGAAAATATAATTCAAACAGTAACGAGTTTATTTTGGGAATTTTCACACGAGTTAAAATGAGAAATTCTAATTTTATTCGAAAAGTTTATTTTTGGGTGCTATTTGCTTTCAAATTGATGTTAAATTTACGTGTGAATTTTGTCGTCTTAAGAAGTTTTTGAAGATTTGTAAACTTTTTCATTTCCTCCGTGATATGGTTCGATATTTTACAGATGGTACTTGAGAAACACGTGTTGGATGTAGTAATATCATGCGTATTGTATTATTCCTTGTATTATTAACAACACTGTAATGTAATACTTTAGAGTTTGATCTTTTTTTGGTATCGGATTCATGTTCTAAATAAGAAGATTACAGATTTTCGATCTAATGCTTATCATTTGATTACAAAAACCTTACTTTTGCTTTATCTTTTTTTAGATCGATTTCTTAGATTTCCTTGGATACTTAATGTATCAATTTCATTAAGCTGAAAATTTATCTTTATAATTTCAATAGCAGTGTTTATTTGATTTATCAAAAACATGTTAAAGTGTTTTTATTTCAGTATAATTTAGATTAGTTTTATTTTAACTTATATTCCGAATTTTTGCTCCTTTCCATCCAATTAAACTGTGTCTTAATATAAGACATCAAAACTTGCTTTAAAGAAATCAAATACACATCTTTCACAGTATTGTTTTAAAGATGAAGCACGTTTTTTAAAAATGTAGTCTATTGCCAACTTTCTATTCTTATCACTAACTTTTATCACATATAAAATTATTTTTCGGTATCCTCAAAGTTAAAATTTTAACTTTAGATTTCTTTTCTTTTCCTCAGATTCAATTGTTGATGAATATCCGATCGCTTTGGTTGAATTTGATTAATCTTTGTTAATCAGAAATATTTAAACATGGTGTTCATGATCATGTGGCTGAATATAGCTATGCTTCTTGTCAATCAATAAACTTTTGTACATCATGAAGCTCAAAAAATCAAGTCGTGCTGTATTTTTTAAATATATAGAGGAACATATTAAAATCAATTTTATAAATTTGATTCTTACAAGCTTCAATAAAATAAATTCAAAAATTTACTTACCAGGACCTTTTCGTCCAGCAATCTTTCTATGTCCATGTCCCGGCTTTGGCAGCACAGTGAATGGAAATGCAGGACTTGGTGTAGGTGCACTCTCGACAATACAAATGTAGCACATGGCAATTGACAGTAAAATTATCGTCGTTGATATTCTCATCTTTACTTATTGTATATAATTTTTGTTTCCGTATTACTTGCTTGTTAAAATGTTATTGAGTACAAGAGTGATATATCGCTTGTATTTATAGTAATTGTACCGAAATTCTGATTAGCATCTTATCTCTTTGTTGAATTTAAATAGGGGTTGTAAGAAAATTTCTGGAGTATTGAAGCTGTAGCGATGTAATTGATTGATTAATACGACGAGAAGCTTAGAATCATAAATTTGAGGCAGGAGCATGAACTCGTATAGACATCGTGGTTTGATGTTTTATTGATGTTAATTGATTAATCTTGACAGGTTCAAGACCTTACAACTCTCAGTCTTAAATGCAATATCAGTTCAAGTTCAAAATTTATGACACGACACACAGCTACAGATCCCTTTCTCAAACAACAAAAACCAGTATATCAAGCTACAAATACATTAAATTAGCAACGATTAGATTTATCCATTCATACTGACAGTCAGCCACAATAATTCCACAACTTCACCATCAATCCCAAAGATATAAAAACTGCTTCAAGTAAAATATTTGTTGTGGCTATTTATCGTGATAAATTCAGAACATGCAGCTCCCATCTATTTGTGCGTTATTTATTGTTTACCGAAAAAAAGCTCCTCTTGTTGTTGTTATTCTCAAATTATCGGCCTTTGAATGAATGAGAATTTTTTCATCAAATAAATATGAATTATTTTGCAAACATGTTTAAAAATAAAAATTTATTTTTTTAACATTCCAACTTCTCTTGTAAAATTCAACTTTTGTTAAATGAAATTTCTCGAAATGAATAGCGATTGCCATAAATGGATTGTACATGCGACAATTGTTTGTTGAAATCTATCCAACAATGGAATTGTTTGCTGTGTGAAATCGTGCAGGCTCTTTGATATAATTAAATTATTTTTCTTTGCTTTTCTCGATTGAAAAATGACTTGTGGATCAGATGTTTCAGAGGATGTTTGAATCGTGTCTTATTGAGAAATCTTGAAAGATAGGTTTCAGGACCGTAATTGTATCAAAGATAATATTGAATTTAGAGGAAGTTATAGTCATAGACGATAGCTATAGAGTAACAATAACCTAGTCGTGACTGATTACTAAATTGAGATAACGCACAAATTTTGCTTTAACTTTGTCTGCTCAAAGATCTTGCCTTTGTCTAGATCAAATTTTTATTGGTAACATTCAATCTTAAATATCCAACACGTGTTAAAGTTCAATCGAAAGATAGTTTCACACATTCTATAAATATTTCAAAAAATTCCATCTTCAGCACATCAATCACACTCAGACTGTTTGTTAAATCATCAATTTATTTTCATTTATAAAATGTTATATTTAAATCAGGTTATAAAGTGCTAATGAGACAAGAATCACTCTCTGACGCAAGAAAAAGTTAAATTCAAAGGATATTTTGAAGCTTGTTTTTTTACAAATCATATAAATCTAAATTGATGAATTTTGGGACCTGGTACAGAGATAATAAAGGCTTTTGATGAATGAGATCAAGTTTCAATTTAACATCTCAATTTGGATTTTAATTATCAATTTAAAACTTTAAAAAAGTATTTTAAACATCATACATGATGGACCCCTACTTGTTGTTGTTGCTTTCCATTAGATAATCTTTTATATTAGCAGATTTATGATAAATACCATTACCTGATCGTAACAGGTGGACTGCTAAATACAAATAATTCCATTTTTGTCGTAGATTCTTAACTCGTTCTTTATATTCCTTATTTTACACAAACAGCATGACATTGCATTTTGATGTTTCAGTTTCTAACCTAAATTATTTTGCAATCAAAAAGCATGTAGACACAAACTGTCTTCAAATTGGCTTTAATTGAAGAAATTAACAATCAGAATCAGTCAGTAACAAAGTCAAATCATTTATGTTGGCTAATCAACATAGTTATTTTAATTATTTTACTTTAATGGACAGTATGACAGACAAGGAAGAAGTTAAAAAGTTACCAAAGCTTATAATTATCTTGAATATGAAGCTTATTTGGAAATGAAAAAAATGTAGCTCCATCAACAACACGAAAAACAAAGTTGAAACTCATTGCTCAAGGCTCTTTCATCAGTTCAAGTTTACCGTTATGAGAAGAATATCGATTCCCTCAAAATTGCTATTTGTTGCCAATAAAGAAGGAAAAATTTTCATTTAAAACTTTGAAAAATGAAAAGAGGAAAAAAATTCCTTTGGGATTGTTTTGGGCAAATTTTGTTGAAGTTTGTAATGGATTATTGATCATTTACTTAGATGAACTAGAATAAGTTTTAGATGTTGCTCTAGAGTCTAAACCAGTGTTGTACAAACTTTTTGAGCCACGGCACATCTTAAGGGTAAACCATGACCAAAGTCGCACACAGCATGCGGTCTGTGTCATTTTTAAAAAAATGTGTTTACGGCAAACCTAGTCTAGAGTTTTTGCAAATTATGATTAACAAAGTTTTTACCAATTTGAAATTCAACAATTTCATTTGAACAAAGAATTAAAAAAATTTTAACACTGGTACGCCATCACTACTAAATGAGCATTCCTAAAAATATAGAAGCCAGTCTGTAAACTAGAAAAAACCATCAACTTCCTCTTTAATATCTATCATTCATATCCCCAAAACCCAAAACTAAATTCCCACAAGGAATTTCGCCTTTTCTTCTTTCAAGCAAGCTTGTTAAGCATTCAATATTGAATGTCAATTGGCAGAGTTGATTATTAATGGCATACAATGAGCAGTCATTGTGTAGATTGAGAAAATATCATCAGTGGTAACAGACGCAGAAGTTTCATTTTAATGAAAATTGGCAGTGTAGACTGATTGAGAAGTTTTTTTCAGACATAATATCTCTTCGTATCCATTTCGACTGCTTTTGAATATAAAATATTATTGTTGAACTTCGTAAGCACAAAGTCAAAAATATCCAACGAAAACAGATTCAACATCATTAATCCAACTAAACTGGACATCGCAATGCTATTGAAAAGGCAATAAATTACTTCTAGCCATGAGATGCATGAACGAAATGGACTGTAATGCTTGCTAGATGACTTGTAGAAAAAATATTATAACGAATTGAGAGATGAGCCCACTCAACAGCAGATATGAAAGCTTTAGTGCCTAATGAGAATAAATGTGGATAATTTCTGTGAAGAGCGACTTTTATCTTGATGAGCTTTTATTCCATCTCTCTTGAGCTTATTGCGGATGAGTTGATGATAGATTTTTCATAAAGAGATAATATTTGAGGATATAAATGTAAAGCTGAGTTCCATCAAGATTTAAAATGATTTTTAATTAAATTTATCACGGATTTAATTCTCGTTTATCTCATTTGCACGTTGTGAAAAGTTTCTAATTAAATTCTAGGAATCAACTTTTGTAGATAAACTTTTCATTAGAAGTAATTGCTTTACAGACGTGAAACGCATGCGAAATTTGAAAATGTTGTTTAATAAGATGAAGATTAATTGAAGGGTGCTTATTAGAAATTTTGTTGATATTTGGTGCTAATGAGAAGAGTTTAAAAATTTAATTTTATAATTTGTTTTACAAAAAAACAGTCAAAATTCTTTAAAACATTTTATTTCATAAACTTTGACAATTTCTCGAACCATTCATATGCAAGTTTATTGTACATTAAAATTGTAACAGACATTTGAATGAATTTCTTGAATACAAAACTTAGCAATTGATTTAAATTCAACTGAAAGATATTCAATGTGAAATCAAGGCACAAAATGAATTATCAATTTAAATTCGTTTTTACCTGTTCTTTAAAATTTAAAGAAATAATATAGTTAAATTTTAAATTACTATAATTTCTCAAAAACTCTTAAAAGCAGCATATTTTGAAAGTTTTCGTCGTTATTAAACAGTGTTGCATTCTGGCGATTTGCCTGGATCAGATAAATTCTGAGACAGAAATTTCTTCATAAAGATCGATTCTACATGAAGATAGAAAATCTAATCTACACAAAGATTATTTCTACATAAAGATTCGATGCAGATGTCTACAATTCTACATTCTTCTCTGATGTAGACCTGGAAAAAATGTAGAATTGTAGACATCTACATCGAATCTTTATGTAGACAGAATCTTTATGTAGAAATAATCTTTGTGTAGATTAGATTTTCTATCTTCATGTAGAATCGATCTTTATGAAGAAAGTTTCTTAGCTAGACAAAAACTATTGAAGAATCTACATTCTTCATCTAGTGTAGACATCTATATTTGCAACACTGTTATTAAACATTCAAAATTGAATCTTTTAAGAATTCTCAATTTGTCCAGCAATCTTATATTGAAAGATGATGAATTAAACTTAGCAATGACACAAAAATCTCAAATAAAATAATCCATTTCTGTACAAACAGAAACATTTAAAGATCTCTGAATAATTTTTTCACATTTTGAAACCACTCAAATGTGGAAACACAATTTTAAAAATTTTCAAATATAACCTATGCTTTTATGTTTAAGAGAACCTAAGAGGAGGGCTTATTACCAGTATAAAACTTTATTACGTTTGAACAAGAGTGGTAGCTAATTAATTCAATTAAAAACAATTTACTTAAATTAAAAATTATTTTTTTTACCTGACTGTCTACCTATAAGCTGAGAAAATTCAAGTGGCTTTTTATCAATAAATATTATCATCAATACCTATAAAAAGCAATAAATAACGGATTTAAGGTGAGAAGCATAATCTTTAATGGAAATACAATGAATTTTATGTTATAAATGAAGAGCGGAATATGCTAGAAGATTCATTAATGTTATAGGTTGTTCTGTTATTTCTGTTAATGCAAACATGTGAAAAAGAGAATATATTCAATATTTGAGCATAAAAGTCTTCCTCTCTGAGAGAAAAGTTTTTATTTATGTTATATTGACTTTTAAATTCTTAAAAAATGTCAATTTCTGAATTAAGTTGGGTAAAATTTTCTATTAAAATTATTTATAATCTTATAGAATATTTACTAAGCCACTCAAAAATCGAAATCAAGTACGAAAATCTTCAAAAATCATTATCAAAATCTTATATCTCCCATCCGCGTGGAGATAAAACTCTCTCACTCACAAAAAACTGTCTAAAATTTTGAGCACATAAAAATTAAGAGAATCAACCTCAAATGTGTAAGTTAGTCAGGAAAAATTCAAGAAATTGTCGAGACACGAAAATATTTTGCTCCTCAAAAAAATAAAAATTTTAAAATAAAATCCTCAAAACTTGTGCCTTAACCAGTGTAAAAAACATCAAGTGGACCTAAAAAGTGAGTTAAGAAGCAAGTTTCATTAAAAAATCAAGTCAAGACTGCAAAAATTAAGTTTTTTGAATAAAATTGTAGAGAAAGTACATAAAAATGCAACAGATTATGCAATTGCCTTAAGCATAGATTCTCAAATGCATTTGTGTGCCGTGTGAATAATTCAAAAAGAAATTCAGTCGGAATGTAGAACTGAATGAAATATTTTTTTTTATAAGTTTACAACTTTTTTCACTACGCATGATGCGTAATTTCGTACGGAAGAGCATGTAAATAATGAATTTTATGTTATGGCTGCGTTTCAAGGTCCCTTACTTTATTGTGTTAAACATTATATTTTATGTACGGAAGATACGTGTTCTTGAGTATTTTTCGGGACTAAGTTGTATTTTTTGAGCGACTAAAAGAACAACTTTAACGACAAATATTGTGAATTTTAAGCGAATAAAATTTTATTTTAATTCCTTTCTATTTGCGCAATAATCTTGTTTACAGTGGCAGTGTCACATAATAAGTACTTTAATAAACAAAACAACAAGTACAGACATGAAATGGCATATAGTAAATAGAGAAAAAAATGCACCAGAACATTCTAATACAGACTCATGACACACCTCCAAAATATTTTATTTTTGTCTGAAAGTATTGGCCCCTAACAGCTGGGGAGCTTGATTGTGTTAGTGAAAATGTTTACCGATGAATGAAACGTGAACCATAAGAACGTTATGTGCCGTATTAATATGTGGAAGTCCTTGTAGTTTTTAAAATTTATATTAATAGATATTTTTTTCAACACATTCAAGTCGATAGCATTTTTATGGCAATTTTTGTTTTATGTGAAACCGTGCTACACGATTTATTTATTATGGACAGAAAAATCCCTAGACTCAGGTTTTAAATCATAAGATTGTTTATGTTTTCAGCTATGCATTACTGTTATTAGTGAAACTGGTTTTGTCAAGATTATTTGCTTGTTTTACTAATAACGTTTAATGCTCCCTTGTCCCAATTAAATGATAAGGAGAATTGCCAATAAATTTTCGTGACTTAGATAAGAAAAATGAAAGCGTCCAAAAGGGCAAATTTGTGTTGAAAATAAGTAAGTGGCTAAATATTAGATTCAGCGCATTTTGTTCAGAATTTGTTGAAATTAAGTGAGCAAAAGAATCTTTGATTAACCAGGCTTGCACGACGTTTGTTCCATTCCATCTTCGCGCCATGTTAAATTTCGAGTTCAATGTGAACATTTTTAACAAAAGTTTGGCATTTAATTTCGTCAATTAACAGAAATATATTAACACATCCAGTCAACAAAACGCAACTCAAATTTCACAAACATTCGTCAAACATTGCTTCAAACACTTCACTCGACTGATAACAATACAAACATTTCATATCAAAGATCGCGTGTGATCAAATATTTTTAAATGTCGTAGAACAAAATCAAACATTCTCGTGATTCAAACTCGTAATCAGCGGTTTCAAAGTTCACAACAATCCGGATCCAATAGACAGTAGAATATTTTGATAATGCATTAATTATTCCATCATTTTTGATCATAATAAAATATAAATTCAGACATGAAATGTGGGCAAAGAAGACATTTGCCTCTCAATTTTTTTACTTTAACTCGACTCTATTTTCTTCTGGTTTGGACTTTAGACTCTCAATACTAGTACGTCATGTTTGTGTATGTAGATGTAAAGTAGATTTTTTTTCTTTATATATGTCCACGTCTCTTTATTTTGCTCTAGCCTGCAGTTTCGTTCGAGACATGTGCCAGTGATCGCGTTAAGTTGCGCTCTTCCTGAATTAAAACTTTTAAATAATTTTTTCTATTTTTGTTTTTAATAAAATAGTTCAATTTATTTTCTTTTGAGCAAAAGTTACATCAATAATTGATAAGTGTGACTTATAAGCTCTTATTTGGAAAGTGTAAGTTTTTCAAGGTCATTCCATGATTTTATAGCGATATTTCGTTATACATTTAAGTGAGAAAAAATTAATTAACAATAACTGTGCACTTAATTAATACTTTATTAACAATCGCTGTAAGAACAAGTGAGATAATTTCCTCGCTTAAAATATTTTTTTGCGTTTTATGTTATTTCCTTTACACATTCTCTGTTAGATAAAGTGTTTTCGCTAAAGTGTTTATGTAGGTCAGAATAAATTCAATTAGTAATTAGCTAAGTGAAGAAGAGACATTACGCATAATTATGTTGGTTAATACCCTTGCTGTGATTATAATTAACATTGTTGGATTTTTAAATTTTTTTGATTTTATAAGCATAGTTTGGTGATTCTAGGGGTATTGGGGTCAATAGACTGTCTCAATACAATTATTATAAATGTGTCCAAGCAATTCATAGCAGTAATCTACCAAGGTGATGTTTTGGTACTGTAAAAGTATCCTAGTGTTGCAAAGTTATGCTGCTCGTAGTGCAAGTCATGTAGTTTTGAGTAGGTTTATACACTTTAGCTAAGCAATTATAAAATTGATGAGAATAGAACCTGGATGGGGTTAGACAATTATCTAAAATTGATTACGTCATTTACACTATCTAATATAAATACAACCAATTTCATATATACTCTAATTAAAAACACGTCTACACTGAGCTAAAACGAAACCTTGACTAAAGGGAGGATCCTTAGTCTACCCAAGTAACCAAAACTTCATTTTATCTTTTAAAATTCTGACATTTAAATTCATCCAGTTATGTTTGTGTGTATTGACTCTCAAAACACATCCTACATATGCCCTTGATACCTATCGTCAAATGGAAAATTTTAAGCACATTCTCATCTAAATCTCTTGATCAAACAAACAAGCCTCTTGATTTCTTCTTTCTATTTCTAACCCAATTTGAAAACTGATAAGCAAAAACATGTGCCACGCACGTCAAATTAGCTCATTTCTGCAAAGACAAAATTGACGTAAATATTTCCTAGTACAATATTTTGAAAACAAATCAGCCGCATTGCTAAAAAGCAGTGTAGACTAAAAAATCCGAATGTGATGACGAATATTGTTGTTAATGTAACAGGTTTCTGAATTGTTTACAAAAACTCACAGAAAACAATAATAAATAATATAAAATTATAAGGTTCAAACATGTGAGAAAATAACAACGGAATTGATACATTTAGAGGGTTACCTTGAAGCTTTAGTCTCCCTTAATAATCACTCGAATATGAAAATCTTGTATCGTTATAGCTATGCAAAGTAAATTAACATCATTATCTTACTTTTAAGTGAATGATTTTCATTTACTACTCAAAAAATGAACTTTGAGTCATCTGAAAATTAGTTAAGTATACAAAACAAAATAGCATGAGACTTGTTTATTTCACAGCAGCCACATTCTCGTGCTTGACATTTCCACTCACTTACACTATTATAGTGCAACTTGCCGCTATAATATGTCTACTAAAATGAGAGTAGATTAAAAGATGTTGTTTATTTGAAACCGCTTTGCAAGCTTCCTGAACGTCACTATAGTTTTGATTGTACAGCTGTAAGCACACGAATTGAAGTGCTCTGAATTTTAAGTTTACGCAGGTTTTTTCGAGTGTAAGGACACGCATGGTTTTGAGTTCAACATAAAGTTATTTTTTGATCATAAATAATGATAAGAGGAGGGGATAACGTGAGCATTTATTTAAGATCTAATGTTTGGATGAGCCTAATTCCAGATAGAATCCATTATCATTTTCTAATGTCTATTACAGTCTAACTTGCCATATGCTTAGCAAGCTACAGACATAATTGTTACAAAACATTCAACAAAAGTGAATTTACCCTTTTGACCTATTTAAGCCCAAAACTCAATCAGCCGCAAAGCATTAGAAGTAAATAAATGAATGGATAGAAAGAAAAATAAGCCTCTGCGTATACAAAGTCCAAAACATTGAGTTCATTGACAGAATGTTGTTTACAAATATCCATAGAAAAAAACAGAAACAAAATCACCTTGAAAAAAAACAGCTATACTTACGGATTTCATAATATATCCATCTGCAACTGCAAAATTGTCTTATTGTATGGTAAAAAATAATATCCAATTGACATAATTTCTAGAAGCAGGCTGCTTGCCATTGTGGTTATTCAGTGGGAATTTGAAAGTGAATTAATTAAATTGAATTCTTTAAAAATGTTAATTAAAAACATTGTGCAGTTCTTGGAACTTTGAGTGAAATCGAAGGTCAATCGATAAAGTTCACTGGCTTTAACAGTTGTTCTGAGTCAGAAAGTTCACGCAAATATTTTAACAATTCAGAGATTATTCCATTGCATCACTTGCAAAATATTAAAGCTTATACTGTTTACAAACTGTAAAGCATGTGCATCTCTATTTACGTCTTAAACAGACGCCTTTCGCTGTCTTCAGAGCTTCTCGTTGACCGTCAAATTTATTCACAAGTTCGAATGATATAGTCAAGAAACAAGGTAGAAACCTTGTTCAAGACTTGAATGATGATAAAATCGCTCGAAAAATTGAATTTTTGGATATCGATGGTCTTTGCAGGAGATCGTGTCTATAAAAATTTTTGGCAAGACACGTCAGACTATAAAATTTAGACTTATAATGATTCAGTGGTCTGAGTCTAGTCTGAACCTTGTTATCCATCCATATTCTGACTGCCCAGAACTGGTTCAAAACTCTGTAAGAGCCTCGGAGCAAGATATCATTTTTGTCATGCACACTAGGGATAGAATGATCCTTATTTGTGTCATGCAATATTAATGAAATAATTCTCAAAACCAGTTTGGCACAATTGCTCGTCAGCAACTCGTGACTAGTTTTTATCAGTTTTTAATTTTGGTTTCAATCATTGAAGGCTGGTTAACTGATAATTTTCATTCCTCTTATCTCCTTCACAGACTAAACGTACAAATCGATTTCGTCTCACAACTTTATTATTTCTTAAGATTTAAGCCTAACTCATCATTTTAGAAAGTAGAAGAAAACATTTTTTTGTGACTGGTAAAAAGAGGATCTAGACCCTCTGATAGCTGAATCATGGCTGAAGCGCATCAAGCTGTTGCATTCAGTTTCGCAATCACCCATGAAGGTTGGAATGTTGATTACGATCGAGAGGTTCTTAACCTCGTCTGGCAGTCTGGTGTGAGGTCGTGGAAAAAGAGATTGGCAAGAATAAAAGCCGGCATTCGTAATGGTGCATATCCAGCACATTTGGAAAGTTTATGGGTCGTAATGATATTAGTGACATTGATGCACTACGCGAGTAAAAGTGTTCCATTTGACTTAGTAAATACATGCATGAAAGTTATGCCAAGGTAATTTTGTAGCTTTACTTCCTAAATTTCTTAATAATGTTATTTATGATTTTGGCAGTGATGGAAGCTTTTGGCACTTCATTTCATGCATAATAGTTTCAATTACGTTCTGGATATTCATATGTATGTTAATGCGATACTCGCTTAAAGGACTTCTAATATACAAGGGATGGATGTATGAATCACGTGGATCAGGTTCCAAAACAAGCTTATCTACAAAAGTTTGGTTTGTGCTTGTAAAAGGTATGTTCTTATCAATTCCAGACTTACTTCCTTCCGCATTCAATAATCTCATGTCTTAAAAATTTATTTACAGTCTTTAAAAGATGGAATAATCCAGGACTTTATAGCTTTCAAAGTTCAATTCCTCGCTTGCCACTTCCAAGCGTTCATGACACAATGACACGTTGGTTACGTTCAGTTCGTCCACTTATGGATGATGCAATGTATGATAAAGTAACAAGAGAAGCAGAAGAATTTGAAAATGGAATTGGAAAGAAACTTCAATGGTATTTGATCCTAAAGAGCTGGTGGTCCACAAACTACGTTTCAGATTGGTGGGAAGAGTATGTCTATCTTCGCGGTAGAAGTCCACTTATGGTCAACAGCAATTTCTATGGTGTTGATGCAATTTTCACACATCCAACGAAAAATCAAGCTGCACGTGCTGCAAGTGTTTGTCATCTTCTCCTTCAATTTCGACGAAGCATCGATCGACAGGAACTAGAACCAATTATGGTCCAAGGATTAATTCCACTATGCTCATGGCAATATGAGAGAACATTCAATACAGCTCGTGTTCCTGGCGTTGAGACAGACAAGATTGTTCATTACAAAGATTCAAAGCATATTGTCGTCATCCATAAAGGCTGTTATTATAAGATGCCAATTTACCACAAAGGCAGATTACTAAAGCCATGCGAACTTCAATATCAATTTGAGCAAATTTTACAATCAAAATCATCTCCAGTTCATGGTGAAGAATTTTTGGCGTCATTGACAGCGTGGGACAGAACTAAATGGGCTCATGCACGAGAAAAGTTTTTCTCCCGTGGAGTTAATAAGACATCATTATTTTTAATTGAAAGTGCTGCTTTCGTTGTCTCTTTGGATGATGAACCATTTGAATTTGACTTGTCACAGCCTGAGAAGCTTGACAATTTCGGACGTCATTTACTTCATGGAAAGGGATGTGATCGGTGGTTTGACAAGAGCTTTACGTTGTGCATAGCTACAAATGGACGAGTAAGTTGAAACTTTTAAGAAATTTTTGAATTGTATTCTGATTACTATTTTGTTGCTTATAGATTGGATTCAATGCAGAACATACATGGTAAGTATCCTTAATAATTAATCATTGACTGACAATATTTTACGTGGTGGAAATGCCAACGAAAATATGAACATTCCGACCAAAATTTTCACTTTTCATCTTCGAAATACCCAACAAAAAAAGGGGCGACGCTGCAGTGATGAGTCATATTTGGGAAACCTTAGTTGTCGATGAAGGACAACCTGAACGGTAATTGAACGATATAAAAAGAATTTATTTGCCTTATCTTCTTTCGCTTAATGAATGTACATTGATCGCTGTAAATTGTTTTGTACTTTACTTTCTAAATTGTACTTTGTAGCTTCATTTTTCTTTAATTATTGTGCCGTAGCTTGATTATCATTTATTATTTTATTTTGCACGTGTACAGCTAGAAATTAGAGCCAATTCCAATTGTAATTTAATATCCTTATTAGGAAAATGAGTTCACATTCGGATAGTGCATGATTTTGCGAAAGCTACATAAAGGAACTATCCGTAGAATTGACGTCATCGATTAAGATAAGCTATGAACCAGATCAAGAGCTTTTGAATGCTTTTAAGGACATTTATTCAATAAATCGATATTATGGATATAAAATCATCATCTCATTATGAAGACTTACTTGATCCATAAACATATTTGGACACTAAACATTCTTTCCACCACAAGACGAGAATTTGTTTTTAAAGAATTAAATTTTCACACTTGAATTAAGCATTTTTGATAATTTAATGTAGGGCTGATGCTCCAATCATGGGACACGTATGGGAATGCTGTCTTGCTGATGATCATGATGGGTAAATGATTGTGGGATTTTCTGAAAAGGAAGCCCTAAAAGAATCATCGTCATTTTTAAAGATTCATGCATCGAAAATTGTCTTACATGCACTTTTTTGGAGAAATTTTGAGAGTTATGGCTAGTTTCTTGGGATTTACGAGCAAAGTAGGAATTGATATATTCAGTTAAATGTGGAAAACGGTATCATTGCATTGCATCAATAATGTATTTAATATCCGAGTTGCTGAATTTTTGCAAACTTATCTTTATTGGGTGCGATTCTCAACAAAAAGCTAGTCCAGATTACTGTTGCTTGTCAATTTGACAAGGATTAAGAATTAAGACTGAACAATATCCCAAGAATCAAGCCGTAAACAAAGCAAAATGTTTACATTAAAATTTTGCAAAATTTCTTCAGATTTTTTTTTAAACTATTCCAAAATTTGACATTTGGCTTTCACTAAACCTGTTTAATGTTCCTAAGAGACTCAAAAGCAAAATAAGTCACATAAAGCAATTATGAGAAAAATAAGGTGGCTCAACATAGACATCAAGTAAAGAGCATATTTTACTAAGGTACAATACCTTAAAATTGCTTTATGAACCTGATTTGCTTAAGTGTCGCTCAGGATTCTTTCCTAACATTTCTTACAACACAAAATTATTTTTTTTGCACATTGGTTTTCACTAACTCGAGTATCATAGCATGTCCAAAACTTTTTGCACACTTTGATCTTGGTAATCAGAACTTAATCTTATCACTTTTGTCACTAGACATTTATAGATTAATGAGAGATGATCTTTAGCTTCTTTTTGTTCTGAATACTAAGGTTTTAAAACAATCTGTTACTAACATTTTCTTTGATTTCTTTTAATTGTCTTCTAATCTTTTCTGTCAAAATTTTTCACTTTAATTAAACCTTTAAAAAAACTATGAAATCAAGCTTACAAAATCTTTCTTTGGTTATTTAAATAGATATGACGAGAATGGCAACACACCAGGTCAAATTGAACAGATTCCACCAGCAGCAACAAGATTATCATGGAGTTTTAATGATGATAGCCTGTTGAAGACAATTGATCAAGCATACGATGATTCACAGAAAGTTATCAACGTAAGAATTTCTTTAACTTTTAACAAGATCCAATCTAATTCCATTAAATTTCAGGATGTTGACTTAAGAATCCTCGTTCACGACGCATATGGAAAAGGTTTCATGAAGACTTGCCGTTGTTCTCCAGATGCATTCATCCAGATGGCTCTTCAACTTGCTTACTATAGAGATTATGGAAAATTCTCATTAACTTATGAAGCATCAATGACGAGATTGTATCGTGAAGGTAGAACAGAAACTGTTCGTCCATGCACAATCGAATCAGCAGCATGGGTCAAAGCCATGCAAAATTCTGAAGTTACAGCAACTGAAAGAGTCAGATTGCTCGGTGAAGCATGCAAGAGACATCAACAAGGATATCAAGATGCAATGTGTGGCAGAGGAGTTGATCGTCATCTGTTTTGTCTATATGTTGTTTCCAAATATCTAGAAGTGGATTCGCCATTCTTAAAGGAAATTCTTAGTGAACCATGGAGGCTGTCAACAAGTCAGACACCACATGGACAGACACCAAAAATGGATTTGAAGAAAAATCCAAACTTTATCTCTGCTGGTGGGGGATTCGGTCCAGTTTCATCTGATGGTTATGGTGTGTCATACATCATTGCTGGAGAGGATCTAATCTTCTTCCATATTTCGAGCATCAAAAGTTGTAAAGCCACAGACTCTGAGAGATTTTCACAGCAAATTTGTCGAGCACTTGCGGATATGAAGATTCTTTTTGAGCAATACAAGCTTGAGCAGAAGAAGTCAGTGACAAATGGAACATCGCATTAAATTTTAGATATAAATCTTATTGAAAAAGTAGTTTAATGACTCTAATCATGCATATTTAAAACTGTTACCAAGAAAACTTACAATGCAATTTTACAAAGAAAAACGAAGAAAAGTTGACAGGAGACATCACAGCCTGTTGATTTTTTTTTTTTAGATGAATTAATTTATGGTAGATGGGTAGTTTAATGCTGTAAGATTAAGAAATTAGCTGTTGAATGAGGAATTGATGGAATTTTGAAATTTATGTGACGAGTTCATTAAAATTGCTTAAAAGAGTATGGAATAGAGAAGAAGTTCCGATAAACAGTTTGACTTGGGTTTGTGGACATATATGTACCTTTGAGAAGCCCACTTTGTGATTACGGGACTCAGATATTAGAAACTAAATGATTATCATGGAAACTAATCTATTGCTATGAATATTTACGCAATTATCAATGCAACATGAACTTTGTTAATAATATTATTTTAGAAGAAATAAAGCAATTCTCCTAATTGTCATGCCTTATCATTATTCTCATTTTTTTTTTCATGAAAAAAAAACTCAAAAGACTGTTACGCACGTGTTTGAAATATTTTTGAATTTTTTATTCTTGTTGACTATGTTATAACGGTTTTGAAAGATTCAAATTAATCTTTAAAAAATCCACAATAATAAAGTCGCACGCGTGAATTTTATTTTTATCGAAATTCTACGTTAATTAATAATGGAAAGTATATCATCAGCTCTAGAAACATTTAAATCTATCACAAAACATCCAGAATCATTCTTAAAGTAAGTCAAACATTGATATTTCAAATTCTATTCAAAGAATCACGTTTTTATTAATTATTTTATAGACAACAAAATGAAAAAGCCAATAAAATCCAGAAAGAGATGCTTGAATCCATCTACATATGCTGCAGAGACCTTCAAAAGGAACAGAAACGAAAAGCATTGCCTAAATTAATCACAAATGGAATGGATGTTGAGTCAGTTTGGCAGCAACTTGAGATCCAGAATGAAGAGAACTTCCAGTTAAATTTAAAGGATGTCTCTAAATTCTTAGCAGTTAATAGTGACAAATTCAAAATAAATATTGGCGATATATCAAGTGACGATGAAGAAAATGGAAGTGATCAGGAACATGGCAGTGAAAGTGACGAAAATGGAAGTAATCAGGACCAAGATAGTGAAAGTGACGAAAATGAAAGTAATCAGGACCAAGGTAGTGAAGATGATGAAGGCGACAGTGAATTAGATGAGAATAATACAGAGCAGGTCTCAAAGATTAAATTTAAAGGCAGGAAGTCAATTGTCGACGACGAGTTCTTTAAACTAAGTGAAATGGAGCATTTCTTAAAGGATCAAGAAAGTAGAGACATGAATAAAGGTCCAACAAGTGAAGAAGATATTGATTACTTTGCTGGAGATAATGACGACGTAAATTTAGAGGAATCGCTTAGATATTCCGACTTTTTTGACCACGACGATGTTGCAGAAGATAAAAGTGAAGAATCCAATAACGGAGATGAAGGCGAGGATCCAAATGAGCCTAAATCGTCACATGAAATTAGACAGGAACGTTTAAAAAGTAAAATTCAAAAAATGGAAGAAGACATGCTCGAACAAAAAACATGGCAAATGAAAGGTGAAATTAAGGCAGAAACTAGACCACAAAATTCACTTTTAGAAGAAGTGCTAGATTTCGATTCAGCAACAAGACCAGCACCAGTCATTACAGAAAGTGTATCAATGAGACTCGAAGATATAATAAAGCAACGAATTAAGGATAGAGCATTTGATGATGTCGAAAGGAAAATTAAGCCATCGGATATCCAATATGAATACAAGAAGCAAGTTGTATTAGACCAAGAAAAAAGCAAGCAATCATTAGCACAGATTTATGAGAAAGAATATCTTAAGGAACTTGAGAAAAATGATCCAAATGCAGCTGATGTCGAGGAAGTGGAACCAAAAGCACACAAAGAAATTCGTACAGAACTTAAAGATTTATTCGAGAAACTTGACATGCTTTCAAACTTCCATTATACACCACGACCAGCACAGCCTGAACTCAAAATTATTACAAATCTTCCCACAATTGCAATGGAAGAAGTAGCTCCTGTTGCCACAAATGATGCAACCTTATTAGCACCAGAAGAAATTAAAAGAAAAATTAAAGGTGGAAATGTCATCGGTGAAGGTGAGAGAACTAAAACTGATAAAAACCGAGAACGACGACACAAAAAGCTGTTCCAAAAGGATAAATTTTCAAAAGAAAAGGGCACAGACAAGTCTGCACTTATCAATAAAGTCATGAAAAGCAGGAATGTCGAAAAAATCAAGTCAGTAAATGACGATTCAATGAAAACATCATCAGCATTCTTTAATAAACTTCAGGACGAAGCATCATCGTCACTTAACAAAAATAAATCAAAACCGAAAAGAAAGGCTGACAAACCTATCCATCAAGCAAAGAAGCTTAAATTGTAAAAAATTGAAATAATGCTGTATTTTTAAGAATTAAAGTCTTTCAAGAAAAAAATTTGTTTTATTATTTGTTTTAATTAATTCATTAATATTGTTATAATTTATTATTTAACGTGGAAATCCTCTACCTCTTCTGATCGGTCGGCCACCACGGAAACTTCGTGGATAAGTGTTGTGTCCTCTCGGGCTGTTATGAAAACTTTAATATTCAATTAATAAACAACAAAATCATAATTAATTCGTAAAAGTCTTACCTAAAACTCGTTGATCCTCTGCCACCACGAATAAAGGAAGCTCGTCCGCGACTTCGTGGATTTGACATGATTTCACGCTTATTGTAAGACGATTGTCCACCACTTTCCATAGCAACGAAATCATCAACATGCAAAGATGGAGGACGGGATGTATTCGGAGGTCTAGACCTGAATATATCCCCTCGAATTGCGACTCGTGAAAATCCTCGTCCGCGTGTTGGAACTAGAAATTCGGAGATGATTGATTAAAATAACCGTCAAAATATATTTGAATACTATTCTATTATTTTGAATTTAAAGGAACCGTTATAACAATAAAGAGAATAGGCAACTTACATTTGTTGAAAATCTTCTTTTCAGGACGTCCAGGTATCGTTTCAGATGTTGCAACTTCGATTCGTCGTGTACGGAAACACAGACCAGGCTGATTTTTATCTCTATTGCTTTGAGGTGAGGATGATAATGCAAGCAGCCTCTTACAATCAGACTTTATATCAGTCTCAGTTGGCAAACATTCGCGTATAAACTCGTCCATATCGAATTTAACTTGATCATTAATTTGAAGCTCTTCCATATCAGTTGCACTACATGTATTTAACATCCAATAATCCATTGTTATTTCCTCAATGTTATCGCTTACATAATATGGGATTCTGGACGAAAATTGAGTGACAATTCCTTCAGCTTGTAATAAAGTTACATCATCGTCAGTAGACACAACAACATCCTGTGTATTCTTTGATGTCTCACGCAATTGGTCAAGCAATAAGTCAAGATCAACTTTTACAGTCGGAACGATTCCTTTAATCAAGTCTCTCGTTTCATCGTCTGTCTCATTCACGAGAGCTTTAAAGACTTGCAGAAAGTGAATTTTGTTTCCATTTCTATATTCATCAGAATTCCATTTAAGGACATTAGCAAGCTCACTGATGCTTAAAGAGATTGTTCTTTGCGGAAGTGTCGATATCATTTCATTTATCTCGCTATTCACAAGTGATCTGAGCAGTTCCATTACGTCTGGTATGACTTGCATGTACTTTCGATCATTCTTGCACTTTTCAGCAATCGAATTGAGACGCTCAACAAACTTTTCGTCCTTGCTACTCAAAGCATTCTTGAGAAACTTTAATGTTACATCATGTTCAGCCATTAATGTCATGAGTCTTAATGATGAATATGTCAAATTTTCAGCACTAGTCTTTGTAAAATTATCAACAACATCGTCAGCAAATTGTGCTATGTGTTCCTTAAATGGTAAGCCACTTGCAAGAATTAATTCGGGATTATGATCGGATCCAGTCAACATTGATATTTCACTATCAAAGAGATATTGAAGGAGCATATAGACATAGAATTGAGACAGAACATGCTCACTATTTCCATCATTGGATATCCTCAGTAAATGTGACAAAACTTCAGCCAATTTACCACTTAAAATAGACAGTACAGAGACTTTCATGCAAGCATGACGCACTAATAATGCTAGGAACTTTAAGAGTCTCGATAGTGTCACAGATCCTTCATTATTTCTCTCAGCTGCCTCCGCGAGTATCATATCAACAACCGATCGTGCCACTAATAATGTCATATTCGGTGCCAAGTCCGACAATTGAACACAAACACTGTACAATATTGATAATAATTCTGTGCTACAACTTATACAAAACGTCTGTATCATTTCCATAATCAGTTGACTTTGTGGATGTAAATGAGCACTCCACAATTGCCGTTCCGTGATTAATCTTTGTGCTTCTAACTTATTTATTTCATTTGATTGTATCGGAATTGGCAGAGGTAGTGGAAGTAATTCACTTAAAATTGTTAATCCTGATATAAATCTATGCGGTCCATTTAGTGTGTACTTGATAATTTCACCAAACATTTGTGTCCATAAGCTTTTATGAATATTTGTTGTATTCATCACGTCCGGACTTAATGATTGCGTGTATGTTAAAAGTATTTTAATGATTTCATTTTGCACATCCTTTGCATCCTTATAAATTGAACATCGTGAGTTAATGCTGTGCATTAATGTGTAAGTTTTTAGCAGTGTCTCTATCGCCGTTATATCCTTGAAGTTTACATTCCTTGACTCAATCACTTGAACGAGCATTTTCCTTAATATTTGAACTGTTGGATGGACAATTTTCATCATTAATGCTCCTTGATTGGCTCCAAATAGATATGCATGAATCATTGGCTGATCAAAGTGAGTTGAAATTTTCTCGAGGACAGACAAGAGTGTTAATAGACCGTCATTATGATACAGCAAAATTGCATAATAGTCACTCTTTAATTCACGATAATCTGACTTGCTTTCTACGGCAATTAGATACTTTAGAATCCTTAATGTCATGATCAAGTCACCTGGAAAATTGGTCAAGTACTCGACGTTCCTTTTAATGATTTCAATTAACGGTGTAAGATCATCATAATTGAATAATTTATCTACTTCCAGTGGCTTCAAAAATACAGACATTTCTTGAAGCATTGCAGCTACAGACGGCTCAAATGAGTCATGATGTTTAACGAGGTTCAAGAGGACTCCTTCATACTTTCTCAAATAATCCAAATTCTCGACATTTCTCACAACAAAGTCCACAATATCAATACAATAACTTAAAACTGGAGATTTATGCTTAAATCCAGGCGATCCATGTGCCGCACTTACTTTCTTCTCGCGATCAATCAGATTTAGGAACACACAAAGATTATCGTCCATAGCCACATAATCCAGCACATGTTTCTTTCCAATTCCAACACATAAATAGTAAAGTGAGTCCAACTTTTCAGCAATATCAATTTCATCTGTCAATTGACTAATCGAGTCCATAAGATACTTTGTTTCCATCTTGTATGCAATCTCTAGTCCAATATCAATATTAAGATTCTTGAGTGTCTCGTCACTGCTATTTGTTGTCGTAACTGCTGCTGTCGTTGTTGTCGTCTCATTGCTAGTCATAGTCTCATTATTAGTTAATTCCAATAACATTCTGACAAGATCGTTGGACATGTCAATGTTATCGGAAAGGTAGTTAAATTCTTTTGAATTGTTAAGCATCAATCGGACATAATTGAACACTAAAAACGTTAATTTCGATGAAATAAAATTCTTGACATTTAACAACAGCACTAATGTCTCCATAAAGCTGTGAATTTTATAAAACGACACAAAATCTGGCGATTTAACTTTCGACGGAATCTCAAATTGGCTTGCAATTGGAACAAACTTTCGAGTCTGTAAGATATCTTGTTTATGTGACACAATTAATGCTGCAAATAAATTTTCAAGTTCTATAATTTGTTCATAATCACAACACTGTTCGGTCCGTTTACACTTTCGAAATATTTCAATTGATAAATTCTTGATACTTTGTAATGTCTCATAGACATGCATTTTCTTCAAAATTTGTTTTAGTGTATAGAGCAACCTAATATCAATAATTGAGCTCAACATAGTCACTATGTTCTTATATCCATCGAATTCTATAAACTCATTAATTCCGTCACTAGTATCAATTAGCTTATGAACAACTCGAGCCACAAGTAATTTCACTGGCATTGGAACTAACTGACACGGAAATAGATCAAAGAGATTTTTAAACAAATTATATTTTTGATCCTGAATGATCCACTTAAAGACGGTCGAATTATTGGCAAAGCATTCAACAAGTCGAATGCCTGCTTTTAAATGACGAAGATTACATCCAGCTTGATGATATTTTGTCGATTCCGAATAGCTTAAACCGATCTTTATGCACGATAAAATGACATTCATGACATTAACATCGATGGTTTGAGTAAAAATTTCAATTTGTTCTGTTGATGAATGCAGGCAATGAATTAATTGCTCGCAAAATGTCAACCAATTTTCATTGAGCATCTCACGATGACTAAACGTCTTATTGTATGTCTCTGTCATCTTATGCAATTGTTCTCTTAATTTATCAACCTTGCACTTATCATGAGGTTTCTGATCTGCCTTTCTTAGATTGTCTGTAAATGGATTAAACATTTTGATGGAAAATTCTTCAACATACATTTCGTCCGTAAAGTCATCTAGTCCGTTTACTTCGTCCATGATATCGTCATCACTTAAAATTGGTTCCAATTCAATAGGTTCAATATCTTCCATCTCTGTTGGTGATTCTATCGGAGTATTATTGTTGACCAACGATGGAGATAATGGACAGAATGTGGTCGATAAATGTGTTGACTGATCGACATAATCATTATCCAGTGAATGATTATTCTTTTTCAACAACTCATCATCGGATTCTGGACGAGATATTCTCGGTGATTGGAGTGGGGGTGAACGAGGTTTACGACGGTCATATCTTAGTCTCTTGTTATGCTGAAAACTTTCTTCTGGACTGTCACTTGTTGACCAATCACGTTTAGTCTTTATTAGATCTTGTTCCTTACTCGGTGATCTCGAGTAAATATCAGCAGGAGATAAATTTGGTTGGTCACCTTCCTTTAAATCGTCGGCAATCGTTGACGAGACTGTTGGATCACATGAGGAGTTTTGATCCTGAAAATCATTATGGTGATTATTTGTATTATAAATTTCACCATTTTCACTTTCATTAGTCTCATCATTTGAAGATATTTGGACAGCACTCCCTTCAACATTGTTACTTCCAACAATTTTCTGCATACTTCCGTAACTTATGACATTTCCATAAACGGCAAGTGTAATTGTTGTATAATATCCCTTCAAAACTAGTCCATCGGTCGGAATTCGTCTCATGTCATCCTTGCATTTGAAATTGATGCACTCATTTTGATTGTAGGAGAATTTGCCCAAACGCTCAAAAGTACTTGCTACATTTACACTAAGATCATTTACAAAAAACTCTATATCGAATTGAGAGGGATTTGTTGCTCCTAATCGATTTCCACCACCTAGAAAGGAATTAATTAATCACAATGTTTATATTATTTAAAATAAGATATCTTGCCTGGAAAATCAGCTTGAACTCGAGCACCCAACGGAATTATACGAATCTCCGAAATGTACACTGGATTTTGTCGAAATTGAACTAAATCAAGATTGAGCTTCTGTAAATTAATAATAATATTGTTAAGGACATCCTAATAACATTAGAAAATGCCATTTACCTCGTGTAAATCGTGAGAAAATGTATCAAAGAAGATTAATTCTTCGCGATTCGACTCTTCACTATTTTCAACCATTTTTCCTAATTTTCAAGCATTCACTTGAACAATCCTCTTTTTTCAACAACTTTTCGCTATTGTAGATGAAGCATTTGCGATTTAAAATGTAGTATTTATATAGGTTTTATAAATTTTTAATTCAGTTCACGTAAAAAACAACCTAAACAAAACTTGAACACTGCGACCTCTACACAGTCAATCTACAAAGTTTTTCGATATCCCTTATATTATACCTTAATCCTATTCTTCTCAGTTTGCTTGCTATGTATGTAAACAAGTCAACCAGATGAGAATTGAAGTTATTTGTTGTTAATTAAAGTGTATTTTGCCCAAAAAAAGTTTCAAGAAAAACAGAAAGTTTCTAACGGTTTTTGAAATATTTGAAAAGTTCGTAGTTTTGAAAACAAACGTAGTTGCACGCCTGCAATAATAAAAAGATCAGAAAAATTATTAAAATCATTAAATATCCGCGATTTAATAGTATTTTCCGTAACAAATTGACAGTTCCGTGTTCCTAAGATCGACTTTCTCAACGTGCAATTGAAGTATCATCAGAAAAGCTTAATAGAGTGCAGTAAATTTGATTATAAATTTTTTCCTAGTGAAAAAAAAAAAAATAAAAATGGCACACCTCAAAGAAACAAATCATATTAAAAAAATTGATCTTCAAATTGTGAAAACAACGGGTGGATCATTTCAAGTGACTGTTGATAGTGATATAACTGTGGAGAATTTAAAGAAAATTGTATCAAAAAAATTAAAAATCAGCAAAGATCGAATTTGCTTAATGAATAGTGAAAGGTGAGTTATTAAGTCCAAAAGACAGGCATAGAACAAAAGATTGGCTTCCGTTTTTATCTTATCGTTATATTAATTGGCTTTTATAAATGTGTATAAACTCTTTCAAGCATTTAAATGTGATTTCGTCAAGTACCCTAAAATTCTCAACCTTTTCCCCGAAATTAGTTGCTGTAATTAATGCATACACGGAGCTTCAAGTGTGGTAAAATTAAATTTGTAATCAATTTCCTGTATATTACATACACCACACACTATGACTAGGTAGCTAATATAAAAAGTTTAAAAAGTCCCCTCTTTTTGATATATTGATGGTGATAAAAGAAGAAGTGTTAATTAAAGTACAGTGCAGACGAACTGCTTGCTTGCTCATCATAATCATTCGTTCTAAATTTCATTTGTGCCATGCGAGGAAAATATTATACCGTTTGCCTCATCTTGTTTTTGCTTTCCTATATATCTCACGACGGTAAGCACCGCTCGCTTGCTTACTACTTGAAGACGAAGACACAGTTTGTATTATAAATTCGGCGTGTGTTCGATATTTCCCACATTTAACTACCTTAAACTTGCTTACTTGCTTGCTAGTTCCTGGATAAACTTGACTTTAAAATGCTGTTTCAAGGAAGCAAGAGAGAAAAAAGAAAAAAAAAATCATTTTATAACGCATGTCGCAGAGTAAATGTAAAATAAAATATAAAATTTATACATATTATCATCAAATGTACGCTTCTTCCCATATTCACATTATGTGTACTGTATACGAGTCGTCGTTTGTTTGATGTGTGGGGTTGGAACAATGAAACTCTAAAAGAGAGCTTCACATGAAGACTGTAAAAAAAATAATGTAAATTGAAAGGCATTGACAAGCAGCGAGAGAAGAAAAGAAAAGAAGGAAGACATTCCCTTGCAGCCATTTTGCTATATACTTACTTGCTAGCCAATAAAGTGTTGATGTAGCATTCTTAAATTTCCTTATTTATTAATTATGTATTTGCCCCACATTCCATGTTTATCTTCCGTCTGTTGCCATAGATGAGAAGTCCATGACGATGAAAAAAATTACGGAATGAGTGTATGAAGCACAACAGGAAAGGTTATCAAGTCGTGTGTCTGCTTAAAGCGCAATTTGGTTGTGAATTAATCGTACAATGTGTCAATAAGTCAATGACGATCGTTATTTTTGGGTCCGAAAATAATTCGTTTAAGGAATACAGTCTAGTATTTTCGCTTAATGTAATGTTCGACATATACATTGTTAGGTCAGTCGATTGAGAAAATAATTTGTGTACCAAAAACGCTCTGATAAACATTTTTATGGGGTTTTTCAGACGTTTTAAAAGTGGATTTTTTTTTTTTTTGTGAAAAAGCAGCTCGAAATTAATTATTTTGTTCCACAAAGCAATTGCCCAACCATAATTCGCATAACTACAGTGCTCATAATAAATCAACATAAAATGTACACCTAAAAAAGTTTCACTTTCACTATGCGTACAGTTTTTCAAGTTTTTCTTTTCAATCTTTTTTTTCGCAACATTATTGTTGTTTGTTAGATCTGTAACAAGTCAGTGAGATGCGTGAATGTTTTCTATGTATCTGTGGTCAAGACACACTTATACATCCGTAAGTGTTTTATTTATGCATTGTACCGCTATATAGAAATGTTAAATTTATCATTGGGAATTGACAAAACTTTCGGGATTTATGATTTTTAAATTCGATTATTTAACGAAAAGTTTATTTTTAAATTTCAAGCGGTTAAAATAATTTTGAATTTTTCGTGTTTTTTGAACAATCAAAATATTTTTTAAATTTTTGAAAACCGCTAGTATTTGAAATTTAAAAAAACGTTAAATTATATAGCTCTTTTCGACAACGAGAACAAGACAAAAATATGACCTATAAATGAATAAAGCTACAGTAACTCACGCATAATTCCGTTGCGTCAACCTCTAAAATATATAGTGCTTCTCACTTGCTGTATTTTTACCAACCACTAAGATATTTTTCCTTCTCTGGTGCTGCTTTTCATTTTTCATGTTATTTTTTTTCGAAAGGGAAAAACTGTTTTTATTGCTCTACGCATGTGATGTGTTTCTCTCTCCTTGCTTTGCATTTCTGATCATCTCAAATTTTCACCCTCCGATGTGATGAATTTCCCTCGTTAACCATTTTAAATTTTTAATTGCCAATAAAGTTTATGTTGCGCTTCTCTTTCATCCATTTCAACTTACTAAAATATGTTTTGTATGTTTGCAAATCTCTTTTCACACACATGAACATAACAATAACAGGGAACTTCAAGATGGAACACTTACGGAAAATGCTATAGTGAACGGATCAAAAATCATTGTTACACCAAATGTAGAAACCGGATTGGTAAGGTTTTTTTGACATTTATTTCTCCTGAGTCAATGACTTAATTTTTTTTCATTTCATTTCTTCTTCTCTTTCTTCCTTTTTTTGCAGGCACAACGTAAGTTAAAATGTACATAAAAAATTAGCACAAAGGTTTTTTTTGTTGTGTGTTTGGGCGAGAAAACTATATATGAGTGGACATTCTTGACTGAATATGCAAGAGAATGCAATCTATTTTTGATTCAAAGTTGTGACTACAAAGAAAATATTTGAAAAATTTCTTAACGAAAAGGACCAAAACAAACAGTCAAAATGAAGACTTAAATAATTAATTCTACGTCTAAAAATGCTTTTAAACGCATTTCTCTTACTTCGCCTCTATCTGTCTTCTCCAACCTCTGTGCTATTAACATAATGATAAATAGATTATGTGCTGCGCTGCACATATCTTTTCATATTCGAAAATCTTGTTTTAAAAAGCCCTGGTTCACTCTTAAAGAGTTTACTGCATTTATTTACGACTTGGCAGTATGATTTGGCAAGATTTTTATGTCCTCGTCAATTCTGCCAATAATAATTGAATTCAGTGACGCTCCATAATACGTTTTAGCCGGACTCAAACACACACACAACATTAATCAATCAATCAGGCAATATGAATTCTTATTTTGTCAATTTTTCTAGGCAATGCTGAAAACACTGTAATGCAAGCACTTGAGTCGTTGAACGATAATCAAGTGAATGACTTCTTAAGCGGCAAATCTCCTTTAAATCTAAGCGTAAGACTTGGCGATCATTTAATGATGATTCAGGTGAGTATTAATAGTTTTCGTCTAAACTTAAAAACTAATTTTTTCTTTCCTACAGCTTCAACTTAGTACTTTATCACCATCGCAACAAAATTCGTTAAAACAAAAAGTCCTAAGTGGCTGCAAACGTTTGATTAATAATTCCGATTCAGATCATTCAATGGGACCAGAAAAGCAGCGATTGAAAACAGATAATGGTGACGAGACAAAGTCACCAATCAAGTCATTATCAAGTATGGTTTCGAGTCCGCTTAGCACCACCACAGTACAAAATCACATAAACCATAATTTTTATAAAACACCCTCGTCTTCATCGTCATCGACAGTCGATCCTATTTCTGCAAACCTCACATCGTGTCTGTGTAAACGATTAAGCATTAGTTGCAATAACAATTGTAATGATCAGCGTCCTAGTGAAGAACCATGCTGCTCATCATCGATGAATTCAGCAAATCAGCCACGACTTATTCCATTCCATCATCGCCCATCATCATCATCGAGTGCTGTCAAGCCAAAACAGATTCACCAGTCACAAAATCCACTACAGCAGCAGCAAAAAACAGCTTCTATAGATGTAAACGAGACACTATTAAATACCGATAATCCAGCTCTAGCAGAAGCATCAAGAAATTTGACTCAAACCTTAAGAAAATTATCAAAACGTGTATTTACTAGTAAAGCACATATTATGGATAATAATGCAATTAGTCGCTCGACTACAAATTCATCCACATCAAGCAGCACATCCACAACAAATCCATCATCCAGTAACCATGCCTCGACGTCAAACTCATCAGGAGCTGTTATTGAATCGATGAAGCATCATGGGAAAGGAATTTACTCGGGAACTTTTTCAGGAACTTTAAATCCGGCATTACAGGATAAAAATGGAAAGCCAAAACGAGATATTTCCACAATAATTCACATCCTTAACGACCTGCTTAGTGCAACACCACAATGCGCCAAAAATGGTGCGAAAATCTTCTTTGAGCCAACACAAACATCTTCGTCATCATCATCTAATACAAAGTTTATTAAAGTAAGTTTGTGACATTTGTAGATTTATATTCTTATCACTTAACGTCGTCACATAATTGTAGATTAAGAAGCAGTCGAGTTCGCGAACAACTTGCATGCGATGCGTTCCTAATAATGTCCAGCAGAAATGCTTGTACGGTCAGTGTAATGGGCACAAGACTGATGCTGCATCGACTAGTAATTGTGAGTATCTTTGAGTTTATTTTTGTAAAATAACTGTCAAAAAATATTTGAAAATCACACTGTCAAAAATTCAAAAAAATTTCAAAATAACGATCAAATTTCTGTGCTCAAAAATAATGAATGAATGATGCTTTACAGCAGCGACATGCATTTCTTCGTCATCAGGTGTAGCACGTAGTGAGGGATGTACAGAATGCAATCAGACATTAATTAATCAGAAACTAGAGATGGAAAATATGAAGACAAAATCGAAATTAGATCAATTGAAATTGGTGATGCAACAGAAGAAAGAGCGGCGCGAAGCAAGAAAATTGAAATGTTCACCGTACAATACGCCACATTCACCACATTTGAATATTTCAGCAATGTCTAATGCTCAGCCAATCTCCGTTCCTTTATTATCAGCAAATAATTCTATAAACAATGCAAATGGTAGTCATAATCGGTCTGCGATCAATAGTAGCGGAGAAGCGCCATTGACAGCCACAATAAGTAGTGAGAATCATTTAGAGGAAGTCGAAACTGTTGCTTAGAATAGTTCATCGATATTGTTTCATGATAAATACACCAAAAAACTGCAAAAAACGATTTATATTAATATGATAAATGATCATTGATGATTATAAGGTTGAACCTCAATTCATCGATTCTATTTGATATTCTTTCTCTTCCTTATTAACCCGTTCTGTTGATTTTGTTTCTATTTTTTTTTTTCTTTTTTATCGAGGCAATGGCTGTTTCTATGGACTATAACTTTGGCAATTGTTATTAATCTAAATACCGCAGCTCTAGATATCATTACCTTGCCTCGAAATCTATTATAATTCCTCTTGAATCAAACAAGCACGACTATTCATTTTTTAAATACAATTTTTGTTAATTGATTTGGTTTGTTTGATAGCAAAATTAGTTTTTGTTTCAATTCCTTCCGTTTTTGCGTAGCTTAAAATTGTTAATTATTATTGCTCTATTATTTTCATCTGTAACTTGATTTGTGAAAGAAAATAATAATATTTTGTAAAATTAACACAATAATACAATATAGGAATAATCGTTGAGATTTAACGTTCATTTTAAATTCAAAAAATTCAGGTTTTTCAAATTTCACAGTTTCTCACCCCTTGAAAGACTTTTTTTGAATCGAAAATGATCGTTAACTTGCAAGAAAATTATGATAATGATGATACTATTAATTACCCTCTATTTTTCTTTCTATTAGAATAAATTACACGATAAAAAGTAAAGAATAAGATTTAATGATAATGATAGTAGTATTAAATTTTAATTGCAAGTAAAAGTGAATATATTGAATGAGAAACATAAAAAAATTATATCTAGATGATACAAAAAAAATCCCTTTTCCTCAGTTTTTGATGAACTTAAGAGTAGATTTCTTTATATTATTATTATGCACTTTAATTATACTTTAAATGTCAGTGATTTTAGGATATAGGAGCAAGAAATTTTACTTTGATTTTCATCATTATTTTTTTACTAAAACGTTAATTAACATCGTTGTGTTCAATCTTCTTATTTTACTTACGTTTTTGTTTCAAAGTGACGTCACAAAAGTCACTAAAAATACATCTTATAAACTTTTTTCGTGTATGTGTCTAACATAAATTCGAAAAAAAAACTAAAATTGTTGCATTTTTGCGAGACTTTTTACAGTAATTTATAACAACTTTTTGAAATTTAAATACATTTGTTGAATTCTGCAGAATTCTGAACGATTTCAGATTTATGCTTCGGCTTGGAACACAAAAGGTGTTTCTTTTTGTCGTTTTAAAAAAAAACGTTATGAGTTATGAGTCAAACAAATCTTTCTTTATTTCAAATTTGGAATTATTGTAGTTTAAGTTACATTTCTTTGAGTCTTATTTTGACACCAGCCTGAATATGGCTTTAATTCAACTATATCTTGATTAATTATTAATTTTGATGAATGAGATTTACATATATCATGAAAATGTGGCATAAAAAGTTTAAAAAAAGTTGCCGAGCGAGAAAAAAAAAGCTTTTTTTTTAAGCTTATGAACTACGTTAATAAATTATTTTTGAACTGGCTTGTTCGGTGCTGGTGGGCAGCTCATGAAGCCATACTTCACCATGAGTTTAAATGCAGTTCCTTGGTGCATCCTTTGGGATCTTTCCGGCTTCGTCTACGAAACTGCAGAACTGATTTATTGCTTCTTCAATGTTGGGGATTCTCTTTAGACGTTCTTGAGCTTCTGTGAATTTCTTGAAAAGGCTTTCATTCTTTACTGCTTCGTTGAGTTTCTCTGCATAACTGATATTATTGATCAGTTGTTGCTGATTAATCTCTTCTTGAAATGTTGCTGATGAGTTACTTGCAGCATTCACTGGATGTGAATGAGCAGAAACTTGATGTCGTTTGCTTAACGATGGAAAATTGTTACTGTCCAAAAGACTTATGAGTCAAAATTTAATCTTTATTTGAGCTTTTATTTCATAAAAAGAAAAAAAAATTTTGGGGGAGAGTTTGACCCCTGACCCCACCTCCCCCTAGACAAGTGGGGTTCGTGATTTATTTTCAAAAATAAAACAAGAAATTTTTGGTGTCAAGAGAGATCCGTGTGTATTCAGGAACAGCCACTGTACCTTCATGCTAAAGCTCAGCTTATTTGGACATAACTTCCAGAAGCAATGACAGAAATAGTCATTTAAAGGTTTTTTTGAAATTTAAATTCATTAGCTAATCCAATATAAATTATGTGCACCAGTTAAAATAGTAAAGTTAATTTTATTAAGAAACTAAGATGAATTAGGAAAAACAAATATGCCAGTTCTGAAAAAAACGTGCAGCATTGTTTCCCAAGCAAAATATTACTGAAAAAAGTCGTAAAGTTAAAGTCATTAGCTCGCAAAAATGTCCACAAAACTTCCAATTAATCGCGTGAATAATTTCCTTAAAATAAATTTTGACATTTTTTAAAGTTCTGCATTAGAAATTCAATCTAAAGTATGAAAAGCGATTTTTGCATAAACCAATCATTTTTGTGTGAGGTAAAAAAAGATATAAATTGTGAAAGCTTAGTTTTCGGCTTTTTAAAAAATTTAGTTGAATTGACAGTTTCTTTTGGCATTTAAAGCTTTGTTATGTTTAAAGACAAGACTTCTTTTCCTTATTTTCGGCTAAGCAAAATTATTTAGACAAATGACGTGTTTTTCTTTATTGAAACTTTTATAAAACATTATGGATTTGGTGTAAAACAATGAAAACTATATAGTAGGATATCCTTTTTTCAAGAAAGCAAAATGAAAAAAGTTTTTTCAGATAAGAAATGATGAGAAAAATATAAAATAAAATAATACAATAAAACATTAAAAATATTCATTTGTTCCTGTTTTTGTTGCTTCTCATGACTTGTTTTTCAGTAACTCGGCAACCTTGAACTTCTCGTTGACTTTTTTTTTTTGTAGCAATTCAAGAGCAAATGATTAGATATATGGAAATAATATGACTGATAAGGTTTGAATGCAAATCAGGGATGTTCGAAAATGATGCTGTCTTATCTGCCCATATGTTTATTGAATCCTGTGACCGTTGAGCTTTAATTCATTATTCACACGATTTAATACGCAGCACCATTAGGCTTAATTAAAATATCTTGAATATTGACACTTGGTGGAGTGCTTAAAATGTAAAATAGTGAGTCAGCAACATCCTCTGGCTTCAAAATTGGAAAATTATTGAAGAAGTCATCAGCAGTCATTGCAGTTTTGATAAGTCCTGGACTGATTGAACTAATGCGAATTTTCATACTTCCAGAATATATCAGTTCCTGTCGAGCAGTTTCACTGAAAGCTCGAACTCCAAACTTTGTTGCTGGATAGATTCCTAAACTATAGTCCATGTATGAAACATGATGACCAAGTGAGGAATTGATATTCACAATAATCGAAGGATCGTCACTTTTCTTCATCAATGATATAGATTGACGTGTACAATGGACGAGACCAGTGAAGTTGGTGCTGATCATTTTGTTTACCAGTTTTTCAGCTTCATCACCTTCCTTCAACACATTATTAAGTCCTGAAATTCCTGCATTATTGACGAGAATATTGATAGTTCCAAAAGTTTTTTCAATCCAATTAAAAGTATCTTTGATTGACTGGATATCCGAAAGGTCACATTTTCTCGCATAAATTTTTCCACTTAATTCGCCAAGTTTTTTGATATTCTCTTCAATAACTTCCGATCTTCTAGCCAAACCAATTACGTTAATTCCATTTCTTGCTAATTTTTCAGCTACAACAGCCCCAACACCTGAAGAAGCACCAGTAACAACAGCGATTTTGCCTTCCCATTTTTCCATCTTTGCGATCTAAACTCAACGAGTAACGATTCAAAACTGGAAGGATCGAGTTTTAAGGTTTGACATTTATCAGGTTTCTATTTATTTATTTGCGTGCAAGTTATTGATGTTGTTGCTTTTGTCTCGAAAAATTTAAATTTCAAAAGTTTCGGCTTAATTCAATTCTTGATTTTTTTTTTTTTTGGTACATAAAACTCATTTCAGGCGTTATGAAGAGCTAAGCTCTACATGCTTTAAAGCCGATCGGCTAGATTGATTTTCTGAGCTTACTATAGTGTTTTTCTGCTGATAATTTGCATTGACATAAATTTGTAGGCAGTCTGAACTTGCTTACTGACATTTATGCCTTTCAGAAAATCATCTAGAAACTGTTGATTAATTTAGGAAGGAATAAGGCAAAAATCATATATAACTGACGTCCAAAAATGACTAAAATTAAGGTTTACAATGCAGTTTATTGTATGAGATTATTTAAATAAGTACAATGCAATTAATGGATATATAGAGGTGGATTCAAGCAAGTTAATAACAGATTCAAAGATTAGCAATTCAATTATTGTCTCTTTAACTTATAATACATGCAATTTTAATTGATAAATTTGTCATTTCTTGATTCTGCTAACTTCTTTGCTGCCACAAAAGTATTTCTCATCAGCATAGCTACAGTCATTGGACCAACACCGCCTGAATAGAGATTAATTTCAATTAGAATGTGATAAAATCAAGAAGCTAGTTGTTTAGCTTACCTGGTACGGGTGTGATAAATCCAGCTACTTTCTTGACATTTTCGTAGTCAACATCGCCAACAAGCTTTGATTTTCCAGTCTTTTCATCGAAAACCCTCGTAATACCAACATCAATAACAGTTGCACCCGGTTTGATCATGTCCTCTAATTGATTAAATCAAACTTTAATTCCACACATGTTAGCAGCTTTAAATGCACAGCAAATTACCTTTAATTAAGCCAGGAATTCCTGTAGCAACAATTACAATATCTGCCATCTTACAAAGCTGTTTTAAATCACTTGGTGGTGTAAATCTGTGACAAATTGTGACGGTTGCATCCATAGCACCAGTTTCATGTCTCCCATCAGCATGTAAAAGCATCATCATCGGCATACCTACAGTTTTACTACGTCCAACAACGACTGCATGCTTTCCAAATGTCTCAATTTCTGATCTTTTAATTAGCTCTTTAATTCCCAAAGGCGTACACGGAATTAAAGTGTTCATATCGAGGCACAATCTTCCGATATTCTTCTCATTAAATCCATCAACATCCTTATCACAACTTACAAAATTGCAGATTTTTCGCTCATTTATGTGATCAGGTAAGGGAAGTTGCACAAGAATTCCATCAACATTGTCGTCATTATTTAAATCAGTGAGAATTGAGAGTAGTTCAATCTCAGAGATTGTTTTTGGCAATTGTTTTGTCTCGCTCGTAATTCCTACTTCTGCTGCGGCCTTTAGAAATTGTTTATTGAGGAAGATTATGAAATATTTACAAGGCTATTGATAATCAGTTATTTACCGAGCAATACAATCAACAATGAATCACAGCTGATTATGTCGTAAAAGATCGTTATAGGAAATTATAAAGGATCACACTGTGACGTCAAACAAAATGTTTTTCGTCATGCACGAGACAAAGTTTATTGATTGCATTGATCGAGATCATTAAAGTTCACATACCTTCATTTTATTTTTCACATAAGTCTGAGAGGCTGCATTATCGCCAACTAGAACAGCAGTCAAATGTGGAGCTCGTTGATTCTCATTTTTCATCCACTCCTTAACTTGTTGTCTCAATTCACCTCGAATGTCTTCAGCAATTTTTTTGCCATCGATAATTTTAGCTTCTTGTGGCTCGACACTATAGAATGAGTAACATGATAGTGAAATTAGATGATTGTAGACAATTGTGCCTGTTTACTTTTTTGCAACCTTTTCAATTTTACATTTAATTTTGCTTCTATGCCAATTGTTGTAGATATTTGTGCAATATTTTGGTATAAGCTGATTGTTTTTCTACAGTTAGTACGATTAGATAGAACGACATGATTCGCAAACAAATAACTTAATGAATAAAATGAGCGTAAACGTCTCGAAAACATATTGATATGTTTTCGATTTTAATTGCATTGAAAAACACTGGGAAGTTTTGATTTAATTTTGAAACAAACAATATTGCTGTCTTCCTGTCACATGTTATTTAACGTCATTAACTTGTTTGATGCTACAAACTGGTTAAAATTAGTTTGAAAGATTTTTGTGAACTAGAATTTTGGTTTATTTCTCGGTCAATTGAATAATTAGCTCATTTACTTGATACTACGATCCTCACTTTGTCTGGCTGATAAAGTATGGACTGTTTTACGCGTTTTTAACTCTATTTTTAGTCATTATAACACTAGCGTTAAATAAGGAAACTTCTATACATGCGCCATAATCACTTCCAATTAGTTTGATTAAGCGCTCAGACTAGATAAATTTGAACCATGATGACTTTATTCTATTTACACTGATTGTTGCTCCATCTTTTGACTAATCTTTGAATTTTTGTCAATTTTATCGAGTAGGGAAGTGAGTTGGAAAATAACACGATACAATACAAATAGAAATAAGACATGAGAAGCGAGATTATTTTTCATCATCAATAAATTAAAAATTGACAACTATACACAAATGAAAATGAAGTGGAAAACTTCGGGAACGTTCTAATAATAGAGATGTACTATCTTGACTTACCGAATTATGTTTTCTTGTGGTATTGGACTCATCTTTTAACTTGGCTAAAACACGTGTGTAAACAAAAATTAAAAACGTGACAAAGGAATTCTCTTTATACTCGAGTTAAATTCAATTTAATTAGGTCTGGATGTTTAACTTGATGCTATCACTTGAACCTCCAGCAAACTATTGATCACTGATAACGAGAAAGCGATGAAATTAAAATGTAAACTTAAAATACAGTTTATAAGTATGAGTGATGTATTTTCCGTCCCACAAACCAAAAAATGAGAGAATGACAGGTACCTACATATATGGAAAGAATGAGTAAATTACTTGAGATTTTATGAGAGTAAGTGCATTCTTAACTATTTTGCGAACATTATGCTAAAAGAATGAATAAAATGAGAAGGCACGACATTGAAAAGAGAGTCAGACGTGCTGAGATTTATTTTAAAACTTTGCGGATTTATTTTCGTAGGTCAGTTATGAACGTTTGTGACGTTGCGTCGCTCAAAACTTTTTATATGCTTATTTTTCTTTGCTATATTTTTTTGGAAATCTTTAATTCTGGATAAATGTATTATATTCAGCTACAATCATATGTCAGATTGCTCCTCAATGGACTTTAAGGTTAAAATTTCAAATAGATCTTGAGATTTTTTTTGGAATTCGAAAATTTTGTTAAATTTCAAACAAAGTTCCTTCTTAGAGCCAGAAAACTTACGTAGCTGAAATGAACCTTGACTTTCTAATTTATGAAAACCTTTGTTTGTCAGTATTTGTATGATTTTGTGATCGTCAAGAAAAGTTATTCAGATCCATTTTATAGTAAAGAATGCAATCATTTGTTACTTTTTATAATCATTTTTATTTATTTTCACCTTTTTGTTTGTCTTTTTCGCATTTCATAAACAATATGTAATTTGTTGTTTTTCTGATATCCTCACTTTTAACATTTGATTATCCTGGAGCTAATTCCGAGTCACATTCATTTAAACTAGTTTATTATCATTCTCAGATAGAGTTTACTCATAAAAGCATAAATTTTCATATTTTTTATAGCGTTTTCGATAGATTTATATGTTTAAAGTATTTCTTGGTAAATATTTCTAAATTAGATTCTCGGCTGTATAATTGCATCATCTGTAATTGCTTATTCATTTTAAGTTGTAATGAAAAATTCAGCATTGGAGCGAAAAAATATGATTTTTAAAAATGTAGAAGGTTAAAACTAATCCTCTAAAATTCATGTAGTGAACCTATAAAAGGACAAATAGTTCCAAAAGGCTACTAAAAGTCAAAGACAACGTAATAAAACATTCAAAATGACTAAGAACACAGCCGAGAATTTAATTTCAGTTTTTAATTAAAATAAATGTATTTTCATTCTTTAGTACACTATATATTTGTGTAGCTATAACCTTTGTGGTTTGGTAGGGCAAAGTAATTAATGGATGCAACTTTAAAACTCAAAATAAGTCATTACTCTCACTATTTTTGGTATGATTAGTAAGATTTAAAAAAAATAATGTTGTAAAGCTTGTTAAATATTCTTCTTGTGGCTTAAAGGCATATTTTGAACTAAAATGAAATCATTTGTGGTAGAAAGAAGTTTAAGTTTCTATTTTGCTGATTTTGATGAGGGTGTTTGCAATGATGCAGCGGAACTTTGTTGTCGTGTTATTGAGCCACGTCTCTGGGGAATGTAAAATTCAGGTGCAGCTTGTGGTATGACAGGTGGCATAGCAGAACTTAATGTATTTTGTCGTCTCACAGCACGAACTTGTTGCTGTGATGACGATGGTGTTACTGATGGCTGAACATTTGGATATGAAATTGATCCAGTCCGAGCAGGAATTGGTGGTGGTGCTCGAGTTATTGATACAGATTGTGCCCTCTTCGATGCTTCAGCTAATTGAGGAGGTTTAATTTTTGGAGGTTCAGTTGATGTCGGAGTTGTTGTCGACGAGCTTCTTCTTGCAGGAATTGCTGGAAGATTGGCAGGTTGTTGAGTTGGTGGCTGGACTGTTTCTGTTTTTACAGGAACTGGCTGTCCCGCTTGTTTTAAAGGAACTTGGACAGGTTTTTGAATTATTTGTTGTTGCTGTTGTGGCTGTGATTGATTTGGTTTACTAATAATCGTTTGTAATTTAGGTGTTGACTGTTGTGGCAAGTGTTGAGTCTGTTGAACTTTTGATGGTTGGTATTGTTGTACTTGAGGCTGATGTTTATGATGCATATGTGGCGAAACTTTTTTACCATCAGATCCAGCAGCCACATACGAGAACACACACAAAACCGAATAACAAATTTGGTCCGCCTATAGAGCAAGCAGATTATGTTTCATTATTATTTAAATTATACTTCTATTATAGTTCAAATGGAAGCATGCTTGTTTACAAATGAAGACCTTTAAAGACAGATGCTTAGACACCAACCAAGAAGGATATCATTTGTGAACGAACACTCAAGATATTTTGCTGTCCATTTGATATTATCACACATAGTACACAAACAGACATAAAAGCAAAAAGAGTTTAAAGACAGAAGGGATAAAAAAAAGTGAGAAGAAAAGTTTGCAATAAAAATAAAATAAAGAAAAATAAAACTTACATAAATAAGGACACATAGACACACATTTTAAAGTAATATTTTTTTTTTAATTCTATTAAGTTTCTGGTCGGTTCTCGTTCATGCAAAAGATTGAAAAATAATTTATGTCTCGGAAAAAGTTCTAAACTTAATGTGAGCTAGCGTTGATTTAATAAATATGCAAAACGTATCGCAAACATTCTTTGAAGACTTAAAGCAACGTGGTATCCCTAAATTAAAGATATTTATTAGAAATTACTGAACTTAGTTAATAATTAAGGAATTAAATAGACTTGATTTTTGTGCTTAACAAATTTTTCAAACTATTTTTTTAAAATACTTGATAGAAAAGACCTCAATCTAAAAATCCCTAAAATGCAGCTACCCTAAAATGCAAATAGTACTGCCAAGATGCAGATGGTACTGCTAAAAAGCAGATGAAATTTATTTTCCCTAAAATGCAGATGAAATGCTGTTGCTTTAAAAAAGGTATAATGCAGATAATTTTTATCGTATAAAGTGCAAATAAGATGCTGCCTAAATGTAGATCGTATAGTTTTAATAAAATAAATATGAAATGCTGTTATAATGCAGATAATTTAACGTTGGATATTCACGAAAAAAAATTATTCGTGAGTGACGCTATGATTTCTTTAATATCTCCGAAACCACAGTAGTGAGAAAACAAAAATCGATTTCTTTTGACATAGAACTCATTTTCTAAAGTTAAGGAGTTATGTCGGAAAATCACATTAATTAAGCGTCACTCACGAATAATTTTTATAAATTTTGTTATAACTTTGTCAGCTTTCATTGATATATCTGCAAATGTATTTTTTATATTCACACCGTTTTCACGTGTAAATCTTTTGGTTTTGTTCAGATTGAAAAATCAGTTTTTCGTATTTTGTGAGAAAACGAAGCACAGCTGGTTATAAAAGGTCCGAGAAGAAAAGTTTGTGCCTGAAATTTTACATCATTTGCAAAAATCAGATTTCAAATTGATTAAGGCATTGCTGAGAAAATCGCAAAATACGCTTTCTGTAAGCAAACAAGCAAGCAAGCAAGAAATCTCAATAACGAGACATCGTAGAGACTTCTAGTTTTTTACATTTGATCCGTGCTGCTCAATAGAAGAGCTGTATTGTTTTTGGGCAAGGTAGGAACAGCCGTTGCTTCAGAAAAAGCAAAAAACTTTCCTTACTTACGAATGTTTTGAAACAAAAGTTTCCTGTGATTTTTATAAAATTAAACTTTGGATGAAAATTTTTTTTAAAAAACTTTTAAAGAATGTTCTTTAATTTTAAAACCTTCACACATACATATGCTGAGAGAAGCTCAATTGACACGCTAGCTTTATACCTTCAAACGTATGCTGAGCGATGCTCAGCTGAGCTGCGATATTTGAAGATAGTTTGAAGATATAAAGCTGGTTCGTCAGGATTTATACCATCAAACGTATGCTGAACAAATCTCTGTCTATCCATAAGACTTTTGATGGTACGGTGCGAATATATCCGCATTGGGTTTCTACCCGATACACTAGTTTTGTTGTTAAACGACATGTAACATTTTTGCAAGATACATAGATGAGCTCATAAAAAGAATATTCGACCCAATATATACATAAATATATCGTCAGACAAAATAATTACCCTTAAATTTCATGATGGATCATTTAAAGTCATTAACACGCATTAAAAAAAAAGTCATCGAATATTGATGTATTTTAATGAAATTATACGATCTACATTTAGGAAACATCTTATCTGCACTTTATACGATAAAAATTATCTGCATTAAACCTTTTTTAAAGCAACAGCATTTCATCTGCATTTTAGGGAAAATAAATTTCATCTGCACTTTAGCAGCACCATCTGCATCTTGGCAGTACTATCTGCATTTTAGGGTAGCTGCATTTTAGGGATGTTTAGATTGAGGTATAGAAAAGTTTATTAGCTTTTCTTTTTCTCAAATATTGCTTTTCAATCTCTAATTACAGGGAAAGTTTTAATTTAGACTTTCAAATTTCAATTTCTACTTTTTAATTTTTTTAACACCAATCATATTTTTTTATTGAGAGAATAAGAATAAGGATTAAAAAACTAAAATAAAATAATATCAAAATCACTAAACATTCATTATTTTCGAGGCATTAAGTATCTAGGAATATACAAAAATGATAAAATAAGATTGAAAGTTTATTGCAAAAATTTACCAAAGGAGACTTGAATTTCCTTTGAGTTATTTGGCGAGTTTTTGGATCTGAAATAAGAAAATAAAATTGATTACTTTATGCTTTACAATATTTGAATAGGATAAAACTTGATGTTCCCAAATTAAACATTATCTTCCACTCTCACAGGAAGAATTGTTTTAAAAAAGTTATAGTTTTCAAACCCTTATTAGATTTGAGTTTTTCTTAAAGAATGTCGAATTTATCAAAATGAACATAATCAAAAAGGTGATTTATTAGTTCAGGAACCTTAGTTTCCTGTTCCACTTCAAATAATTTAAAAAAATTATTATTAATTCCGAACATACAAAGAGCATGCTCAGAAAAGTGAGCATATAAGTGAGTCTACTCAAAAATTATACTCATGTAAGCTCATTCAACTGAGCATGCTCAGGAGTTCATTACGAATGTACTTACTTTATTTTTTGCAAAAAATTTATAAGCTCACATGAGTACATTCAAAAGAGTGTACTCATGAGAAGTTAAGAACATACTTATGTGAATATACTCGTATGAGTGCCCTTATTGAACATTCTCATGAGAATATTAAGAACATACTCACTTCTGTGTGACATAATTTTTTTACGTTCTCATAGGAGTGCACTTACTGAATATGCTTATAGGAATATTAAGAACATACTCATGGGTATTTACTCTTCTGAATACACTTCCTAAACATACTCATGAGCATATAATGAACATAATTATATGTATATGACATTTTCAAAATTGTCGACCAACTTAAAACCGAACTTAGAATACATTTTTATGTAAGTCGACATTTTAAAAAATGGTCAACCAACTTAAAATCGAACTTAGAATATATTTTAATGCTATTCGACCAACTTAAAAGCAAATGTTGAATATTTTAGATATGTAATACAAAAATGTACGAAACCTTTTACAATTTTAAGTTTTCTGAAATAAATGTAAAGAGTTTCTTAGCTTTTAAAAAACTATAACAATTAAGCACGATCAAAATCTTTTGGCTTTAATGGAACTAATATTTGAATTCATAAAATATTTTCAAAAAATGTCGACCTGAATAAAAACGTATTATAAGTTTAATTTTAAGTTGGTCGACATTTTTCATAATATGTTCTCACGATCGTAGTCTGATCAACTCAAATATTTCATAAAAATATAGTTCAATTAAGCAGCGTATCAAAATTCAAAGAACTTAGTTTGCCTGTAATAATATAATAATTTAAGTATGTGTTTTGCCGTGTAAAAATTATTATATATTTACAGAAAATTGCTCCAAGGAAAAGTGTGAGGTGACAGAAGTTAAGCTTCCTTCTTAAGTATTTGAGATAAAAATGTTAATAATAATTTCTAACTCTTCCAAAATTATTCACAGAATTATCCTTATAAAACTCAAATTTAACTTAATTAATTTTTTGAATTTTGTGACTTTAACTGATTGCACTCATGAATGTGCTCAGATGAGAATATACTCATAAATAAACTCACTGAGCATATATCTTTTGAGTATCTTCATGAGTATAAGCTCTTTGAGTATGTTTATGAGTATATTCAATAAAAAATGTTGCATTAAAAAAATGTTTCGTGTGGTATGTTGTCTTCTCATTTGAATATGCTTATGAGTTTACTCAGTGAGCTTAATGCATGTCACATAGGAATGTGCTAACTGAGCATACTCAAAAAGGTACCGTGATCGCATCACTTTAATGTATGAAATGAGCACATTCTCACAAAAGTTTGCAAGCTCACAAATAATGTGCTCTAAGTATACTCATTGTATGTTCGGTAATTATAATGTCAAACTCTAGACTGAAAGTTTGACACTGTACAAATAAAGGATCTTGAAGAAACGAACTAGCAATGAATTATGCAATCTTTAGATAACTATATTTTCAAGATAAGCATAACATTCCAAGTTGTAATATTAGTTATATATTCAACTTAAGATTAAAATTTGTAACTTAGAAACTCTACAATTGAACAATCTGAAAAACAAAATCCTTATTAGACATATTTGACTTTTACTCACTGAATTCTTCCAATATAAAGACTCCATTTTTCGTGAAGCATTTCCTTATGTGATCTAATCTTACAAAGAACTGTTGCGAAGAAAAATGAAAAGGAAGAGAGAATTTAAAGAGAAATGTGAGAAAATTTTTAACATTTAAAGCACTTTTCGTGATACAATTTCTCTAAAAGACTAAACTACTAAAACTATCGTGTACTTAAACAATTAGAAAATCTATTCAGTAGACAAAGTTATCCTGGATATTAAAATAAAGTCAGTGATTGTAAGCAAGCAAGCAAGCATTATTGTGTTTTGTAAAAAGCCATACATTTACGAACTAAAAGCAGGTGTATTTATTGCTGTGTGTTATTTTGCACGTCATGCAACTTTCAAAAGTGATAAAAAGCCAAAGAAAAAATTATAAAAATTTTAAAATAAGAAAAATTATAATAAAAATTAAAGCTCGTTCGGGGTCGTTCATTAATGATGTCTAGAACAAAAAAACTATTGAGATTTGTCCTCTGAATCTTCGTTCAACCTAATCTCCCTTTTTGGAAATATATTTCAATAATGGGCCCCTAGACATAATAGGTGAACGACCCCTTAAGAAGATTTAAATCCAAAAATTATAAAATAAATTAAACTTATAAAAATTGATAATCTCAACTCATTAATCGTTTACTCATAACTCGTGAGATGGTAAAAAGGAACTAAATGATTATTTTTTTTTTCATCTTTGATTTGATCATCTATCCTGCTCGAGTGCAAAGCGAGCCAAAAAAAAGTTTTTAAGAGCCAATCTTAATTATTTTACAAAAGTCTGATTCTTTTTTTTTTTGAAAACATGCGATTAAAATTTTGAAGGAACTACAAATTATAAGTAGAATATAGAGATGGATGGTTGGATAATGCATTGCCGTGTCCATCTTTGTCTTCTATTTGAAAATTCTAGTCAAAATAAACTTAACAATTTTGTGTGAAATTAGATTCTTTCATTAATGTAATAAAATCTAGGTAAACTCAAACTCAGTATTCTTTTGCAGATATTTAACAAAGAATAATCAGTTCTATTAACGGTAGATATAAATTCACTACAAATTATGAAATTTTCGCTAATTGTTTTTTGTGAAAGGATAATTATAAAGGAACTTATAAAAAAAAGTTCTAAAGCAATAAAATAGAAAGTTTTTCAGTTTAAGTTTAGCTAAAACTAGAGATGAATTTACCGTTTATACGGTAAACATGGCACATTTTTGCTACTTTAAGCATTTTTTGTCAATTTTAGGAATTTAGATTAAAAATACACAATTATTGAAAATTACCAAATTAGATCTAATTCATTTTAAGAAATTTAGAGCATGAATAACGAGGCTACCAATAACTCTGTTAATAAAAACTATATCTTGAAACCCATATTTCGAAATTATTAAATCATTATTGTAATTCTAGTTTTAAGAAAGAGAGATTCTAGAACATCTTTCGTTGACTCAAGTCAACTCGAATCGACTTCGAGCTCTGCATAAAATCACAAGTGATATTAGTTTCATTGATGACAATCTCAAGAATTTCTAGTAAGCAAACATTATCGTTTACAAATTCGCAAAAATGCACCAAGAATGTCGTCTAATTTTCACTGATATACTTTTATTCTTATTTTTTGTACAACTAATAACAGAAAGAGAACTTTCATCTAAATACAGAAAACTCAATGTAAAAAATCAAAAACAAAAAGAAAATGGAAATAAAATGTAATAAAAACAATTCAATTATTCATATATATAATATATATAGTTGTGATGCAGAAGTGTAAAACGTAAAACGTAAATATATATCAATAATATATATCGTGTAGTAAAAAAAATTAACTAGTTTAGTGTACATATTTTTGTTAACTATATATTTATATAAAAATTTTAAGGAAATTAACATGATAGTGAATTTCTATACCTCGAAATCCTGCATTTTTTTAGTTTTCGAAATTTAAGTTTTTTTTAAGATTTTAAATTTTCACGATTTTTTTTGAAATTTCATTTTTAAGTTTTTTTTTGATAGTCCAATCCATACACACAGAGAGTGTATTATTCGAATTTTATTTATGTAAATTGATGTCGTCGCAGCGATCCGCGCGATATATTTTTATTGGGGAAAAAGAGAGAGAGAAGAGAATAAAATGAAGAAGAGTTTTTGTTTAGAAAAAATTTTACTCTTAGAATTTTTCACTTTTTTTTCTAATTTAAAATAATAAATTTAAGAAAGAAAAATTTATAAGAAATTATAAATAACAAGATTTATCGTCATTTTCATCATTATTATCATTGGTTTTATAATTCATCATCAATATGTATGTCATTAACGTATCATATAAAAAGCAACAGAACACAAGGACCATCTCACGAATTTTTTTCAGTCTTAATTCATTTCCATAAACATAAAATAAATAAAAATTTAAAAAAGTCTCTAGTGGATCTTTTTAATGGGTGGGAATTCTTTAACTTTGTCAACTATCATAAATCTTATATTTCAATGATTTCTTTTTATTTGAGCACAATATGATCATAAGTGCACAAAAGATGAAGGATACAAGGTTTAAGGTTTAAACCTAAGATGATCTTAAAGTTTACATGATTTATTTTTGCTCCTATAAAGCTATTTAGCTTCGTGTCTTTTTATTTTTGATCGAATAAATCGATTTAAGAGATTAAGAGCTCATTTAAACAACTGAACACTGTCCTCGGAAAAGCTCAACTGACTATGTGTTAAAATTGACAAATTTCAAAAATATTTAAAGATTTCGCACCCAAAAGATTTTGAAATTAAAAGAAAAATAAAACTTAAAAGTCATAAATTAAACTTAAAAGATTCTTATCCTCAATAAGAAGAACAATGAAACAAAAAATAAAGATTCAAAGTTATCATTAGTTGTTCATCTTATATTACTCATAAAAATCATATATTCATCATTCACAAAATCATGCGAGATCATCACAAAAGAGATTATATAGGATTAATATTATTATTTATTGTTGTATATACGTTTATATGTGAAAAGTAAGTATAATTAAAATATGCAAAGAAAGTAGAATTCAATTTAATTTTTTTTTTTTTTTGATTATTATTATCTTGTCATGATGAGAATTCAAACTTTATGGATATTACAAGTGAAAGTATAATAACACAAGAAATCATAATCTCTCGACGCATTATGCTTTATGTTGCAGTTGTAGCTTATTTTTTTGTGAATTTTAAAAAGACTTTGTTGTTAATTTGAGAATAAAGTTAGGAGATTTTTGTGCTGTTTTATGCAAGATTTAAACTAATCGAATAATTAGTCGGCTTTTGTTGATTTTTAAGGATCTTTATGTTAATATCAGATAAATATAACGTTTGGAAAACATCTGAAAATTTATGTCTGACAGATAAAAGGTTTCTTATCGAGACATTGTTCAGTTCAGTGCAATTCAAACAATGCATTATACACACTAGCTAGAGTTTGATCTTTTTAGTGGCTAAGTGTGTTGCGTTTTTTTAACAAAAACTTATAGTTTTGAAAGTTAAAAGCACAGCCACTCATTTTCTAGAGAGATAATAAACGCAAGAATAAGATTTATGAAACATTTTTTTTAAAACAAAAAAAAAAATTGACGTTTGCTTCAAAAAATTTGCATAAAACAGCACAAACCTTTGCAGATAAATGTTAATAATAAAAAAGTTTAAAATTCAGATAATATTAAAAGTAATAGAAACGAAACTAAATTAAGGTAGTAAGAGGAGAAACTTAATATATAATAGAAAAATATTAAAATGAGATATTGAAGATTATAAAATAGAGATTGTTGAAAAATAATCATGCATAGATGTAAATATTTTTAGTCGTATCATTATTATCATCTTATCTTAATATTAAACATAAATATATCATTATTATTAGGTAATCTATAGTAATTGACATATTAGCTGACCGAGCAATGACGGAGATGAGATAGGGATTGATGGATTTTGAAGAAGTCCTCAAAGTTAATAAGCACTTTGTTTCATAATATATATTCAAGAAAACTTAAGAATGGTTATTGAGAAAAATTTAGACCTTAAAAAGATTCTGTAATCAATAAATTAGCAATAAAGCCTCAATTAATCATTTCCCACTTTCTCATCTTTACATTGCCAAAAATTCATTCTGTTTTTTGAGGAGCATAAGATTTCACTTTAATAATAAGGTGAAAAAAGGAAATAAGGTGAAAGAATCATTATTGTGAACTATGGCCACGTCCTTTCTTAGTATTGCATTTTAAAAATTTAAAATAATCGAAAATAATAATTTTTCTATCTTTGCCTTCAATCCAAAAAATATATATATGTATATCTACATCGTCAATAATCATAAAATAAAACTTATTATCAAAAGAGAAATATCTAAAATTGCATTGAGATAGTCCTTGTCCATTTCTCAACAAAATATATTCAACAAAGAAGATATCTTTATTATTTTTCATGTATATTTTCACGAAATTTGAAACGTAGCCATAACATTATGTGCTGCATATAAAATTATTGCAACATCATTGATTCATGAAGCAATTTTGAGTTTGAAAAAAAAAATATAAAGAAAAAAGAAAAAAATGGATTTTCTCTGTACTTTTTCAATTCTATTTTTCGTGAATTATTTGCTTGTTTTTTTTTTGCTTTCCATTGAAACGATAAATCATGATCAAAGTCGTCAGGAAAAGTTTTGCAAGATTTTGACCTGAACTCTATGTGGTTTGTGCTTATTGGTTTTTATTTTTACTTAAAAATGAATATTTAAATGATATTGCGAAAAACTTGCTTAAAAATTCATTTCTAACATGCTAAATGCTGTAATAGAATTATATGCATTGATTTTAAGCTTTACCTATTTTTCACAATTTGGTACTTAACAGTGCTTTAATCTGTTGTTAATTAAATTCATTTTATAAACTACACAAAAAATTCTTGAAATTCTAGATTATTATTATTAAACGTCAAAGCTAGAAAATCTAAACTTTTTCGAACTGTCTAACCCGGCTCAAGGGCTAAGATCATTACATGATGTTTTTAATCATCAACAACCTTCTTAGAATTTTAAAAGTAGAATTCAATATCTTTTATGTATAAGTTTGATCTTTTTCAAGAAATTTTAAAAAATTTAAACCTTTTCGTGAAGCAATCTCAAACCTGTCAACAAATTTGAATCCTGTAACCGCACAAAATAAACTCAAAAACTTTATCTTAAAATAAATCTTGCAAAAAATTTACCATCAAAAATCAAAAATTAAATACTCAATCGAACTTTCCAATACAAATTCACAAAAAATATATTCTCATATCATCAATATCGACCAACGTAATTAACAGAACTTGAAAGAATGCCGATAAATTCTGTTAATTAGTGCAATTCTCATTAATTAATCAATGGTTAAATATATTATATTGAAAAGACATCAATTTTAAAGGAAGAAGTGAATAGCAAGAGAAAGAGAATTTTTTTGTACATTACCTTACTGGTTGCGAACAATAATCCGACACCTTCTAAGCATACTTGAAGCAATCCACCTTCGCCGGTTGTGCAATCTTGAACTGGAAATTCTCCTCCTAAATTTTGGAAATTTAATTAATCAAACTCGATATCTTTAAGATATATAAATTCTAAACTTACCCAATTCAGGTGCTGAGCCAGCATTACTTCCACTTCTTTCCATAGCTTCTTTAATACAATTATAAAGCTCTTTACATTTTCTTGTATAATATTTGTGAAGTTGTGTTTGCTCATTATTTCTACGCCATAAGCACAACACTTTAGTTTTTGGTGAATATGTCATGTTAACCTGCATAAAATAGTATTAATTAGATCTAGAATTCAAATAAAAAGTTCCAAGTAATACTTACTAATCGTTCATACCACCATCTTTCAACGATGGCACCGTTTACAGATCTCAAAACTAAGCCATCATCACGTACTTCCATGAATCTAAGAGGCCCTGAAATATCAACCCCTTGATGCACTGAGAAGCTATGCCGATGAAGTAATCGACTCTGCAGTGGTTTTAAGTCGATGTCATTGCCATTCTAAATTTAAAAGCATTAGTTTAAGAGCTATTATCAAATAAACAATAGACTTACGAGATTATTAATTTGGTCCAATAATTGGTTAACTTCTTGAGCATAAACTAATCCGATATGACTCTTTCCAAGAAGCCTTCGACATTTTCTTCTTATTTCTTCTTTCTTAACATTTAACATTACTAGTTCTGCTATGAGATTATAAAGCATGGTGCTTAATAGTCGATCTTCGTCATGCTCTAACCTTTTCTTTTCGCTATCACTCAACGTCTTGTAACGTTCCATCATCTCACTTGGACCTTGATCCATGCCAATTAGATCACGTTCCTGACTCACTGCATCGAGAAATGCATCTTCCCAAAATTGCTGTAAAATAAAAAAGTATTAAACAGTCAAGTTATCAACATGTATAGGACAATTTACCATTTGATCCCACAGTTGAGATCGATCCTTTCCTAATAGTCCCTCAAAAATGTATTGTCTTGGTTGCTCTGGTGATGGTGAAGTAGATTGTATTAAATGACCACCGGTATATCTAAATCCGGCACTTAAAGATGATTTACCCGAAAATATGCTTCCCGAACGATTTTTTGATAACGATGATATTGATTGCTTTGGCACATTCTCATATTCCGTATCCGAAACAGTTGAACGACATGATATTGATGGTATTTGAATAGACGAGCCAGATTGTAGCGGCAAAACATCACTTGCTGTTGACAGTGCATCGGATTCAAATGAAGTAAGCTTACTCATCAAAACATTCCTTTTTTGTGCCAACATGTCTTTGAACATTTCACTAGTCGATTGCGTATGAGCGTCCGATGATGGGTCATATTCGGATGTTCTTCGAGAATTTTGTTCATTAAATGAATTCTTTCTAGAACTTGGAGCTGTTGGACTTTGTGGCGAAGACCTCAAGTTTTCTCTACTCTCTGACGGACTTACTGATTGACTAGAGAGAAGACTTGCTGATAAGTCACTGCCATCGTTCAGATCTTTAGTCCAATAATGTGTATGAGCAATTTCCATCATCGAAAATACACTTGCCATACCACCCAAACCAAAATTGGCATAAGTCTGTTCCAACCCTATTGTAACAGCTTGTAAACATTTTAAAATACCCTTCCAAACATGCTTTGGTATGCACTTTAAGTAAAAACATAAAAGTGAATGTCTTAAATAGAGAAAAATTGAAGATAAAACTTACAATGTCATCGATATGATCATCAGGTGCAATTTTGCGATCCAAAGTTTTATTCAACTTTCCCAAAACAAAAATACGATATGATTCATCTTCCATTAGTTTCTTGAGTCGATTGAATTTAAGCCAACCGACACCCTCACCAGCCAACACTTGCATAATGACATCCCTCAGAAATGCTTGATTTTCTGAATTGCTTGACGATCGTTCAGCATTTTGGAGTCTTTGAATTTCTTCCTGAGTTTGCTTGGGACTTGAATGCTTTATTAAACTAGGCGCAAGTCCCTTTCTTCCCGGGAATGGATCAAAGGAAATTGTCTTTCCTTGCTCCCTAGGCTTTTGTTGAGCCTGATGCATTGGCTGTTGTTGCTTTTGCTTACCTTTATCACCAAACAATCCAGAAATTCCCGAAAACATTGAAGTGGTCGATTGTGCAAGTGAATTCATATCGCTACTAATAGAGGAAAAGAAATCTTTTCCGGCTGGTGTAATGGCTGAAGACGGAGGCGATGATTGAGTTGTGCCTGGTTCACTTTTAACAAGTCCTTTCTTTGCAGCTTCCTTTGCTGTTTTTGTCAAATCGCCCAGAGTTGATTTACCGACGTACGTTAAATCTTCAAAAGTATTTTTGCTCACACCAGCTGCCTGTTTTGATGCCTCCAACGCTTTCTTTGACGCTTCTTCTGCTTGCTTTTTTGCTTGCAGTGTAAGCTGGAATCATATTTAAACAAATTTATTCAATACTTGATAATTGTATGAAAGAAGAAAGTGTTAGCAATAAAGAATAAATAAAAAAATTAATAAAATCAAGCCTGTGTATCTATCATGATTCTTTAGAAGCTTGACAAAATAAAGACAAAAAATCTCTAAAAGATTCAAGATCAAAAGCTTTATGATTAATTCAATCAAGGATTATTGTGACATTTTTTTTATAAAAAAATGTAATAAATGCAAATAAAGGTTCCATAAAGTCTCGAGAGTGATATGTCTAATATGATTACTTGTGATGGGTTACCGACATTTGCCCACTGGTACTTTTGCCCACTGTTACTTATGCCCACTGACATTTTCCCACTGGCACTCATGCTCACTGAAACATTAGCCCACTGGTACTTTTACCCATTGATTCATTTGCCCACTGATACTTTAGCCCACTCGTATATTTGCCCACTGTATAGTTGATAAAAGTATTTATGTTCAAAAAATAATTTTTTACGCATTTTTGAAACTTGATTCGGTACATTTTTAAGGGTTTCAGGCATTCAATTTGCCTATCTTCTCTTAAAATTTGATTTAATTTCTGTTTTTGGTTTTACCTGATGTTTAATTTGATTTATTTGGTGTTTACAATTTTAAAAGACGGTAAAATGTACACGATAACAATAAATAGTTATGAGGCCGCTTAAAAGCATGCATTTTTGCTTGAGAAATCAGAATGACATTTTTTGGAATAGGGCGATCGTCACAAAAATCCAAATATTTTGTTATTTAAAGCAAAAGGAACGAAAGATATCTGACCAATTGTTAAGCATTTGTCAAGTAATCTTGAAATGTTATGATATGAACGTAGAAATCCTACATCTCTTTGTTGATCTTCGTCTAGCATATGACACCATCAACAGAGAGGAACTTTGGAATATAAAGGCAGAATTAATTTCCCTCATAAGCTTTAAAGGCTGCTAAAAGCAAGACTATCGAAAGTAATATGTGGAGTGAAAGTGAAGGGAACACGTCTGAATAGTTACATTTTCAATTGGAGATTAAGGGAGCGCTTAGTCAAAATCTAGTTTTTTCCCTTTTTCTTCTTCGAGGGTTTAACCAAATACACTGCAACTGTTTTTTATTATTTTATCTGATATCTGGAAATGGTCAAAAGTATATTGAGTACTGAAACCCTTATTAAGTTTAGTGAAAAATTTCGACCAAAAATTCATTTGAGACAATTTGTTTTCGCAATTTATCTTGTAGAGAATCGCCAAAGATTTATGCCAGATTTCAAAAGCAAACTTGAACAGTCCTTTTGCATCGCGAAACACCAAATAAATCAAATTAAACATCAAGTAAAACCAAAAACAGAAATTAAATCGAATTTTAAGAGAAGATAGGCAAATTGCCTTAAACTTGCCTTAAAACCTAAAATGCCTTAAACTAAAGTAAGGGCTAAAGTTTCAGTGGGCATAAGTACCAGTGGGAAAATGTCATTGGGCATATGTAGAGTGGGCAAAAGCCAGTGGGCAAATGTCCCAAACCTCTTGTGATATGTAATGCAAGGCATGAGAAATGTTTTACGTGTGGAATCTATTTCACAGAACAAAGAAATTGATTTATCTAAATTTTGTCTTCTAGTTTCTATGCATTACTGCTTGCGTCATGAAAAATGAATAAGAAAATTGAATTTTTAGTGAGGTGAGAGTCTAAAACTCGTGAAACGAACCTGCTCAAGAGGAGCCAAAAGCTTTGCTTCCTCTTCCACAACATGTTTCGCTTGTTCTTTTATCTGAACATGAAAAGTTTTTTGTTTTTGACATTTTTAAGACATACAGAAACATTTATTTATGTAGTTACTAATAAAATACCTTATCAACATGAGCCAATAGTCCATCCTGGCTGCTCTGACGTGTTGTTTCTTTTACAAGCTCTTTTGCTTGTGACGCAAATTGCTCAAATAAGGATGACTGTGAACTTTGTCTTTGTGAATTTGCCGAACCCAACGATGGATGTGAACTTGTTGAGCCAGACGATGATGTACGTGCCAAAACGTTTCCCACGCTTGGTTGTTTTGCGAAATTGGGACTGATTGGCGGTGGAATCTGTAATGACAAAAATATTGTTTCAAGTAAACAAGCAAAGACAAGGATGTCTAGTTGAATAATTACTCTCTTTTTTGGCGCTTCGCCTTCTTTATGTATTGTCGTTTTAGTTGTGGTTATTGAGCTAGAATTTTCCGATTCAAAGCTTCCCACTTCTTCTTTTTCTGTCTGTCTCGTCGTTTGTACCTCACTTTTTGTCTTTGGATTGAATTCAAATTCGGAATCACGATTAAAACTCGGTGAGCTTAAATCGGATCTACTTGATGACGATGAAGCAGCCGAGTCTGGACGTTCAAAATCTTCTTCAACTTTCTCAACCTCCTCATGTCCTTCTGGATATTGCAATTTACTTGGTGGACGATAAACAAGTTTTGGATCGACAAGTGACACTGATTGATTTATTACGTGGTGATGGTAAGCAGTTCCGCCATAAATCTCCTGTAAGCTCGGTGACAAGTCAGAAGAAACCATTTCCGATACAAAATCAGAGAGTGATGAATATGAGGATGAGGTACTCTCCGCACCTTCAGAATCCGATCCACTCTCGTCAGTCGGTTGATTTTCATGTTGTTTTAAGCTTCTTAATGCGCCGTTAAGTGACGAGCCATCATCCCATACCGAGAATCTTATTGGTGACAACGTATGTGCAAACCATTTACTCTTATCACCTACTTGGGATGGATCAAACATTCCCGTCTGTACACGTAAGAATGCCAAGTTTGTTGGTGTGAGCGACCATTCAGCTAAAAATTCAACAGCTTGCGTTCTTGCAAATCTATTTAGGAATGCTGATGCTCTCGGACGTGACCTCAAAAAACTATTAATTTGGAATGCAACAACTGGCCGTGGATAAAGACGAAGTGTTCTCGTATGCTCAGTAAAATTCGCCAACACGTTTTGAGAATTAAAGAACCGAACCTAAATAAATAATGATGTAATTTCGTTTGTGGCTATGATTTGTGTTTACTGTATCAGACAAAATGTTCACAAAATTTTATTTTATGTTGCCAAATGGACGCAACTCGTATTTAACAAATATTGACGAAAGAACATAAAGCCAGATATAATATTGACAAAGCAAACGATAAACTCACCATTGCAACTCTCGTAGCGACATCAACCGAATCAACATCATGTCCAAAGATTATCATATTATTCTGTTGCATCGGTGGTTGTTGCGTAGATGGGCTGCTCAAAGGTTTGATTTGTATACCTGAGGCGCTTGAAAAGGAATTTCGTTGGCTAGAGTTTGCGGAACCAGGAAAGGTAAGACTGTTATACAATAATGAACAATAATTAATAAAACGACAAGTTCGAATGAGCTTCGAAAGAAAACTTCACATACTTTTGAACGGTAATGTTCCCAAGATTGTCACGTACAGATGGAAGAAGTTGTTGATTTGCTGCAGCAACCGTACTTGCCGTCATAGAACTTAATGCCTTTTATATATATGATTTTAAAAAAATGAGAAAATGAGAACGAGAAGAAAATTTAATTAAAATCCATTTTCTACATCGAGTACAAATTAATTAAATTTTCATTAAACTCTGCTACTTGTAAAATTCTAATAAAAACAATTAAGGAAATAAATTCGATATTTAAAAAAAAAATTAAGCTTTTTTGGTAGGATCTATTCTAGTGTGCAGGCATTCTTCATTTCTAAAAAATGAAGTTTTAAGGCTATTTTGTTGAATTGAACATAAATTAATAATTAAATGAAAATGAAGGGGGAGAACTTAATTCCATTTGTCGTCATGCAAATTTTTCTCATTTTCTATAAACTACAAGCGCATGCAAAAAGTAATCAAAGTGAAGATAAAGTAAATAAAAAGTTATTTAAGTTGAATCTTTTCTTTATAACAAGAAGGGTATCAATCCATGTGACGCTCAAGTGTACTTGATAGCTCTACATCTCCTGCGTTCTATGAATAAATCCTTTATTATGATTAAAGTGGTGATAACATAACAAAAAACAACTTTAAAAACCTTCTTAACATAATGACGTTGCTGTAAATGTTTTTGTGGCTTTATATAGTGAATAATGATTGTTATGTGAGGAGGTTGGGTGTCTATCTTGCTATAAATATCTTTCGGATGTTAATAATAATTTTCTTTGAATGGAATTTGAGAGATTTTACTACCTACATAACTTAATCCCTACAAAAAAGTATGAAATTACTTTTTTTTTGATATATCTATTCAACAGACTTTTGCTGATTTTTTAATAAATAATACATTTTTTTCCAAGGGTGTGGAACTGAAGAATTACATTTTGATCATTTTGATAATTTTTGATCATTTTTTGATCATTTCATCAGTACCACACCCTTGGTTTTTTCTTCAATTTTCTGACTTATTAAAGCGAATTATAAGAGAAATTTAAAGCCTAATTCTTTGCTCACACATTTTCTATGTTCCAGAAACGTTTAGATAGCAATAAAGCATGCAGTTGAGCCACAACTGAATATTAAAATTTTGAGGTGAGAATGTAAGCAAAACAAATTTTCGCCAAAATGAAAGTAATTATTTATTAAAAAAAGATCTGTTTTCTCTCATTGACTATTTGACTGCTTAATAATCCAAATATTTGTTCGTGTTCAAACCATTATAATCACAACATAAGATCTAACACCCCCTTTGTGAGAGAGAAAATGATTCTATGTTTTTAAAAAGGTCAAAAATGAAAGTAAGACAAAAAAAAAACGTTGTGTAGAAGGAAATTAAAGTAAAATATTTACACCAGATCCAGCAGTATCCATGAGTTGCATAGCCTTTTTCGTGATTTTTTTGTATTGTATATTTTTTTTTTCAATAAATTGTATGTAATGATGTTCAAAATAAGATTCAAAATATAGAGAAATATTTTTTGGCACACATCGACACATTTCAATAATATATGTATTGGCAGCACAAGAGTTATGTTATAAAATAGGCACATGATAGATAGATAGGAGAAAAATAGAAAGAAAATTAGAGATATGAAAATGAAACCATTATGTTGATAAAAATAATGAAAAAAAAATTATGTAAGAAATATGAAAAATTTGTAATATCGTGTCAAATTCACATTTAGAAGTTCTCATTTTATAAATAATTATTAATAAAACATGTTGTTCAAACAAATTTTGTGATTATTGAATAGAACACATTGACAGTAATAAATTCATTTGAATCATATCCAATTGATAAAAGAGAGACAAGAGGGGCAAATGAGTCATTTATCGAGATGATAAAAAAATCTCCAATTCCAATGTCCATAATATAAAATTTTTGTGCGTTAATTTGAATGAAGGTAACTTTAATTGTTGCAAGCACAGCAATAGTATTTATTGATCATACCTGCTTTAAATGATTCTTTAACATTGTTGCTTCAGGTTCGGGTAATGGTGGCAAATCTGCGTCCACTCTCGCTGCTGTCAATTTATTTGAGTCTAAATCAACCATCCATATATCATCTGGCAGTCTGTAAAGGTTAATTTTGTTTGACATTAAGCTCATGGGATTGATCAGAGATAAATGCAATTTAGGTAGACTTTGAATGAATTTCGGGACAATATGCAGGCTGAAAAAACTTACCTAAAATTCTTTTTGTACATTAAAAACGTAGCTGGAACGCCGATGACAAATCTGTGTACATAAAAGTAAACGGTAACAAGAAATTATGACTAATCACATGAGATGCATAATAATATATTATTGCTTACGGCGTTGGTGCCAGCAGCAATTGTTCTGCACAACTGCGAATAGAAATAATCAAAATAAATTATTTTGTGGATTAAGCAAATGAGCGACGATAAATAATCAAGGAAATCATTTTATTTTTCATACCTCATACAAGTTGGTAACAATGGTATAACAGGAAACATATATTCGAGCGGATAAATCATCGTTACAAATGCTATGACGCTCATTGATAATGCATTGTAATCACGTGATACAAATAAAACTTTATTTTCTAATAAAATCAATGTCAATACTTTCAGACATGTTTCGACACCTTCCAATGATGCAAGTTTATGGATAAAAATAAAAGAGACGAAATATGATAATGCTATTTACATGACTATATTAAGTTCATCATACCTAACAATTCCAAAGGCAAATGAAGTGGAAAATCAACAAGTGAGAATCGAGTGTGGTCGGGTAAAGCAAAGAGTAAGGGTGCATGTACTGTGGGACTAAGCACTTCCACCTGTAATTTGAATAAATTTATCGGAAAATGAGTAATGACATTTGATTTCATAAGGGACACATGATACTACGATTATAACATACCTCGATACGTGTTGAGTTTGGTATAGGAACGGGTGCTGAAAGTAAACGTAATATCCACGTTTCTATCTCCTTTACATCATGTATTACAATCGATGATGCTGATTCTGTTGCCAAACCCGCTAAAACCGACCATACTGAGTCTCTGTGGATATAAAAGCGATCATATTTAGAATTTTTATTGGATTTTCTGTTGCCTTAAATGTATCACGTAGCATAAAGACCTTAATGGGAAAATTCCTTTAAATTTATTTGTGTGCTCACCTTGTTGATGGTTTTGAACGTTTTGGTGATGACGAATCGTTACAAGCATCAATGAGCTTTTTTAATATGAATAAGCATTCGCGAAATGTCGATAAGAATGGATGATGTGATAGTATACAGAGTGAAGTTAACGATTGATTTCGAGCTTTTGGTTTACGTGAAGCTCTTGGTGATGGTGAGCAACTTCCAATTTCTGATTCTGAATCTGGTGCAATAACGCCTAATCTTGGTGCTGTATATGATGATGTCACTAAGTGATGTTCTGGTTCACGGTCGGAATCTGCTACTGTTCTATGATCACTTGAAAATGCAGAATCAGAACTTTTTTCCATACTCTTACGCCATGATTCGCGACGAAAATTTGATGACTTTGTCTTTCGATTCCCTTGTAATCCAGTCGGAGCTGCTGTTGATGATGAACCTTTATCAACAGGTCGATAAAATGATAAACATATTCCATATCGTGTCTTTCCCGAATCTTTATCAGTCAATGTGAAAACAAATGATGTAGCATCACGTATTGCAGTTGTACTAGTTCCACGTCTAGAGCCAGTCACACAACCCTCCGGCTGACAAAAGTAAACCATATCAATCGGAAATGGAAAGTCATGATGATCTGTTGATGGATATCGACGTAAAAGCTCGGGTATCTGTGAAAATTGTATTGGAAACTTTATGATTGATAGCTTGATTGTTGTAGAAGATATAATAAAAAGGATTAGATGTAGGCTATTGATATCCTTGTAAAGCTTAATGGATGATTTTGTTTGTTTCTAAAACTGACCCAACGTATTAATAGGTCGTTAAATATTCAGAGCGGTTTTTGCAAGTCAAATGACTTGGGAACTTTTTAAAATGATCAAATTAATATTGAGTTTTGCTTTGTTCGCAGTTCCATACCAAACCTTTCCTCATAAAGGACGATTTTCATGCAATACCAAATTTAATTCTACGTGCTTGCTACCTCAAATTTTTTTCCTGTTGAACAATTTTTATTCAAACAGCAATAAATTGAATTTTACAAAGCCTCTTGATACTAAGCCTTTCAAAATGCTGGTTACTTGCAGGACGTTCATAAATGATGTCTATTTAAAGTTTTTCACTCCAAATATGTCACTTGGTTTCGGAAAGACTTCAATCATTTAATTCTGATCGTCATTCATGAACATAACCCCATAAAAAGTTTCAAACTTTTCTTGAATAGTCGCTTTTTCAAAGTAATTTTATTTTCCACATTTGGACCTTTTTTTGGATCGTAATCATTATGTTCTGTACATTTCAATTTATTGCTGGTTGCTGGATGAGAAAACTTTTTTTGTGGAAAGAAATTCTTGCTCTTAGAAAGCAAGAAGAAAATAATATTAAGAACAATTAATTTGAAAATCATTAACTTAAATATTTATGAACACAACTCGCAGGCATACTGAACGGTGGAAAATTTTTGCGGTCGTTAATGGTTCGTAAAATGGATAAAATTAATGGAAATTCCTTGCACTCTCTTAAATAATTTCACATAAATCGATATATTGTATGATATATTCAGCTCATGTTTTTAACATTTTTTGTTGATGTGGGAGAATGCATAAATTGTTAGATAAAGCTATTGACTTTTGTGTAACTGCATGACATTTAAGTTTCTTTAACTTTCTAGCTTATTTTGAATTCAATTTAAGAAAGAATTTTATTAAAGTTCAGCATTATATTTAAGTTTTTGATAGAATTATCAAGTTTAGTAAATCATGTCATAAAATTTAACATCCAATTTCAGATACCTAATTCAGTGATTTTAGAATGAACCTTGGTTTAGGATAACGGTTTAAAAAAAAGCATCAACAATAAAGCGAATGCTTAGGACAGATTAATAGTTAAAGTTTCTTTTCTTTCAATCTTCAATAATTTGATAGTCAATTTAGGGGCCGTTCACTTATTACGTTCGCATTTTAGGGGGGAGGGGGGGGGGGGAAGAATTATGTCTGTCAATTTTGTACTGTCAAGAAGTATGTAACGTTCTAACTGTCGTCTGTCTTTTAAAAAAAAGTTCACAAATTCACACCGAAAACATTTTTTTAAATTTTCCACCTTTTTAATGATTTATGAATTATGAACGTTCACGGGGGGGGGGGGGGGGGGGGGTGTGAAAAAAGTAGTTTTTTTGGGTAACGTTATAAGTGAGCGGCCCCTTCCTTCTTTTTTATTAAATGCTCAAATTAAAGATTTTTGGAAATCAAAATCAAAATACTAGGGGTCCTCGTTTTGAGTAGGTGTTTTGTTCCAGAAAAATCCTATTCAAATCGAATCTACTCAAATCGAATTATTTACTTTTGTATGAAAAATTCATTAATTTTCGTTTCTCAAGTCGAATCTACTCAAATCGAGAACCCATAGTAACCTAATAATAGGGTTACCATCTAATTTTCATGAAAATACAGGAGTTTTGGTAAATTTTTTCGAAAAATACAGGACATAGAGTAAAATTCGAAAATTAACGGAAATTTTTGTGAAAAAAATACAGGACCTGGAACAAAGTTTTCAAATTTATACGGGACAGGGTTTTGAAATACAGGACTGTCCGTTGTAAAACTACGCAGATGGTCACCCTACCTAATAATCATATCAGCAAATATGCAAACCTTAAGACAGGCAAATGAACTTGCAAAGAGACCATAAATGTTCAACAAACCAGTAAAAAGTCTAGCAAAAAAATAGATTCTTCTTTTTGACATTTTCCAAATAAAATATTATCTTTAAACGGTAGGGGAGTCATGTGTTTGTAACTTTATGGGAGCAAAAGCAGACGACGACATTAATGTAAGTGCAGTTGCAAATTTCATGACTTTGATAATCTTCTTAATGCATTGAAAAAGAATTTGCTCACCTGAACGGGTGGTTGATTATTATTCGTTCCACTTGCTCGATGCGTTGGCATATTTCTTGCACCAACAATAGCCAAATAATCGATTAGTCGTGGACATAATGATTGTTTCTGTTGCTCAGCCATAATTATTTATGATATTTATTATATTTTAATTTATAATTGCGTTTTAAAATTAGCTTCAATAATTATCTAATATGCTTCCTTTGTATTATTTTGATAGACACTGACTGTGAAATATAAAAGAAAAAAAAAAGTTATTGAAGCAGCAACTTAACATGTTGTGACTCGTACTCACCGCACTTAACAATTAAAGCATTTTTGTATTGCTGATAAGAATTTTATTGTTTCCAATTTCTTTTCGCCCCACTTTTTTAGATTCCAGTATGCTTTTCCTGTCCATGACGAGAAATGGAAGTGTGGAAGTTGATTAATAATTAATAAATTTCCATGCACAACGTGACGATGTTTCCAACATGTGGTTTTACTTGTAACAACATAACCGAATCATTCCATTGTTGGAAATGAAGGAAAGACTTTTTTCCCATCCCATTAAAGCTCCTGACTTGTTGCACACAATTAAGAACAATTGAATTTTATTGAAATGACATTGAAAGGCGAGAAAATTGTATGTGAGGGACGATGGTGAGAGCCAGAAAATGTGAAAGTGATGGAATTATCACACACATTGTATTAATTGGGATTATAACTCATCCCACAATATTTATGGCTCGGATTTATGTCTCATTGTGGCATGTAGGATGATTATCATCATGAAATTTCAAAAATAATAACTGTGCCATCATTTCAATGATTACTTTCAATTCATTGCTTCTTGATAAGATAAATCTCTTCTTTTATAAGGGAAGGAAATCAATAGAATGTATGTTGCTTATGACAGCTTACGTCAATGTGGTGAACAGATTTATTCAAATCATCTTCATACTTCCTCATTTGCATTTTCTTTTTGAGTCTATACAAATTAAATTATGTGTATTTTTTATTAGATTCATGTCAAATCCGGATTTAGAAATCGTGACTGGGATTTTTCTGGCATGGGATGAATTGCTTATGACGTCTAAAAATACGATAGTAGGAATTATTTCAATGTTAGAAACGAATATGAAAGGAGTCTTTTGCTGTCATTAGTAGTCATTTAACAATTCAATGACTTATTTAAAATAAGACTGACTTGGGTATTGAAATGCATATCAAGCAGTAAAATTTAATGTAAACCAAATGCGACCAAGATGTAACAGACTTAAACCAAAAAAACAATAGTAACAACTTACTATGCTAGAAGTTATATCCCAAGAATGCGCTTGGACTTGTGAGATTAGTTCAAGGCTTTTTAGATATTTTCCTGACTGTTATGTAACTTCAAACTTTTTTTTTAATGCCACGATTTCTAATTTTACTTCTGTTTTATTCAATCTTTTAAACAGCGAAGAAAGATTATTAAACCAGTGTTTAAAAGTTGCCTTTGCCCAGATTTTTCATTTAATCTAGTAAAGGCACAAAAAAGGCAAAGGCTTAAAAAAAATGCCTTTGACAAAGGCAAAGGCTTGTGCCTTTGATTTCAAATTGCCTACACTTAGGCCCACCTTTTTAAAGTCAAATGCTTTGTAACTGGCACTGTATTGAACAACCAAAATAAATTTTTTTTTGTCCATCTTTTGAACAATTTTAAAGCCTGCCACTCTTGAAAAATCTGATTAATTTTTATCAAAGATTTCAAAATGAAAGACTTGTAATTTCCGAAACTCCTATTCGAGCCTTTGATTTGCTTCCTTGGAGAGCTTCTTGATAAGCTTCATCGTACATAATTAAAGAATCTTCCGGTTTTCTTAATGTAATGCAGATCAAGATAAAATTAAAGAAATATTCCAAATTTCCCAGACGCGTTTGTAAATCAAAATGGAAGATACTATTAATTATGTAGGTTAATTAGAGGGAAATTAAGTCTTTTTTGGACATTTTATAATTTTATCATTAAGAAGTTCAAGTTGATTTGGTTATTGTGAAATTTTGAAATTACTTAAATAAAATGGAATCATAGAAAGTAAGAAATGGCTAGAAATCAATAATAGTGTAGAGGAATTATCCCTTATTGTAATGTCCCATTCTGCCAACTTTATTGAATAGAGTTGGCTAGAGACCCTCATTTAAATATTGATCCTCATAATCGAATGTCGCCAGAATTTTTCAATTAATTATAACGTCTATAAATGCTTAATTAATGTTATAAATAGGAGCTTTTATGTATTTATCACGCATAATTATGTGTATTTACGATGTAGTCAAATTGGTGATTTTGTGACGCCTCTATCCAAACGATTGGAGTCTGGGGCAATTAAAAGATCAAATTTAACTAAATCAATTCAATTAATTAGAAATCTCAATTTACTGATTATAAAAGTCTGTGCAATTAGTTCAAGGTTACAATGACATAATTCTGACTCTAGTTTCATGTAGACATGAGCCACATATGAAGGACATTTATATCAATTTTCGAAATTTAAGAAATATTTGAAATGAATTCCCATTTTGACCATAAATGTGAATCATGCTAATGTTCTCGATGTAGCCCGTAAAAAATCCTTCAACATAATTTTAATGCGAAGCCCATGTTCGTGAAAAATTTTATTGATTTTTCTTCTTCTTAAAATATCAATTTTTCTCAAAAAAACTAAGATAAGAAATTTTTTTAAAAGATAAGCAATTTTTTAATAATTTTTATATCCACAAATCCCATAACGGAACTAAATTTTTAATATATCAAGATTATGAAATATCAAATTTCATCCTGCCAAGTGAGTGAAAAGCTTTTGAGTATATGGAATAAAAAAAAATAAAAATGGCGCTTACTCAGTGATGTGGAGCTGATGATGAAACTGAACAAAAAATTAAAATTTTTCTACCCGTCACTAAATCAAAGGCTTAAATTAAGGTGTTAAGATTCAGTTTTCACACTTTTATCCACTTTTTCAACATTTTTCGTAAAAAAAATTGTTTCTTTTTTGCGTTTTTCGACACTTAAAAATTTCCACCTTAAATTTTCCATACTGAAAAAATTTAAGAAGCTCACAAAATTTCACGTCTGAACATTGTGAAAGCTTTCGATGGACTGTTAATGGATGAAATGAAAATTTCCACTTTTCCATTTTCAAAAGAATTTTTCGATTCATGCGCTGTATGTTGTCAGATTGGTGGAGAGTTTGGAAGTTCCAATATCGTAAATTGTCAACAAAAAGCACGTGTGTCATTCAACTCTCTTTGTTTACGTCTTGCAATTCTATTCTACACGATGCATTCGATTAAATCACGGAAATATGAACAACCTTCCATAAATGGAGAATCAATGTCACAGAGATCATGCATCTTTGCTACAGTTATTATTTCCCATAAAAATCGTGAAGCTTATGAATCATTTCGAATGAAGATCTGGAACTTTAAATTTAAGTGACTAATTTTTATTCATCGGTTTTAATAAACAACCCGTCTGACTGAATGAATACAAAGCTTTAGTGCTATATGTATTGAGCATGGAAATGAGCTAAAAAGAAGAATTGAATCAGATGTTACAGCGCTCAACATTGAAAATACAGCATGCAACACCCAACGTTTGTTTGCAACAATAACAAAACATTAAATTTACCAATTCATTCAAGCATTTTACTAACACAAGTATCTTGTGCAACATCCTTAAGAAAAATATTGTCAGATTTTCTGCGTGACAAGGTCAGATTTGATTTTTTGGTACGAATTTTGAAGTACTTAATAAGTTGAATTTAAGTTAACATGGAACAAATCTGACGATGTTTTTGGTAGGGACTCATCTTAATGCTGAATGTTTTTGCTGAGAATCTTAATCCTTAATTTTGGCTAAACTTAACTCCTCAATCTTTCAATTATAAAAATTTATTGTGCTGTCAATTCCTCAAATGTTCAAGATAACATTGAAGTTCTTGAATGAAGACCCTAAAAATAGCATAAAATAGCGAAATATCCAGCAAAACATTGAAAAGTATGCAGCACAGCAACGACTGTATAAAGGCACTAGCTAGTCACAAAATAATGTTTAATAATAAAAGATTTTTCGAGAAGTGAGCTTCGATTGTATTCTCGAAGTTTATAAAATAATATTTTTTTCTCGCGCAAAATTTCAGTGTATCTTGAAATCTACCTAGGACTAGTTCCATAAAAGTGCATTTAATAAATTGCTAGTTAAAAAAACAAGAAATTGTGAAGAAGGAAATCCACAAAGTGGTTTTCATAAAAAAAATAAATAAACAAAGAAAAAAGAATTGCGTTTCATCATCAAAAAGGCAATTTTCTTTGTTTGGAGGTAACAAAATTGTCGTAAGTTATAGTCATACTTGATGGTTTTTACTTTACCGTGATTTGCAATTGAAATTATGCTCCAAAAACTTTCATCTTAATATGTTTTTAAGTCAAAACGGAAGCTCTTTTCATGAATAGAATTAACATTTTTCATGAGACCCTTTCGACATCAAAAACTCATCAGAGACTTTGTTAATTAAGTAATTTTTACCTCCCATTGTATAATTTCCCATTAAAAATCGTGAAAGTGCGATTAGCCAAATTTGGAGCGCAATTCTTTGAGATCCAGTAGCGAACAATCGAATGGATGACCTTCATGAATTTTGAAAAAGAAAAAAATAATCGTATTGTCTACTTTGCATTTCATTTCATCATTCCACTATTCATCACATCACTGACCTGCTTAAAAATTCAATTGCAAAATCGCGCGCATTAAACCACTAATAATGTCTAATTAGTTTTTTTTTCGTGTGTACCATTTATTCATTTTGAACTTCAGCCAATAATTTCGGCACTACATCGTTTTATGTAGATCATACCCAACATACTTTGAAGTTAAGCATATTTAAATCCGATTAGGAAACGGAAAAAATGCCGAGCGATTCAGTTCCAAGGTAAGAGAATCTAGGAGAAAATGTCACGGCTACAGACGATTACAGCGCATTCTTCTTCATTTAATTTAATTAACAGGATGACTTTAAATTTACACAATGCAAATATTGACCTTTATGTATGTCTTAACAATTTTCAATGTCTAATGCATGTGAAATGTTTAAATGACTGTTGCGACACAGTAGAGTGGAATTTATGGAATCTGAAAGGCTCTTAGGCCGAAAATTTAAGCCACAAACTTGATACTATTAGTACACAAGTTTTTGTGAAGATATGAGCTATTCCTGTACATTTCTGATTAGTTTAACTGATTAAGTTTTAAAATTGAAAAATCCATCCATTCCACAAACTAATGTCAATACAATAATCATATAAATGCTCACAATAAGTACCATACCATCCAGTCAAAACTACAATTAGTTCCCAGCGATTAAAAAGAAGATGCGCTAAAAATAATCTGTATGTGACCTACTTACGCATCTTTATGTAATTTACACCATTTAATTTTCGTCTATTTATATTAAAAGTTTGTAACTTGATTTAATTATTTATTTTTCAGTGATCCGAAAGATATTCCAGGCAGTAGTTCTGGATCATCTTCAATGGACGGTACACAGCGATTTCGTACAGAAAGTGAAAGCTCTGATAAGTGAGTAAATTATATCATACAATAGTAAGCATGTTAAGTCATAATGGTTAAATATTTATGTTTTATTACATTTGTTGTGCATCGATACAGATCTGGGCCACGTTTTGTATTACCAGGTACTCCAAGCTCGCCAGCGAGAATTTTGTCTTTAGATGAGGTTCAAGACATGGTGAAAAACATTAAGAATATGGCACTAGCACATGAGATTGCTGTAAATACTGACTTTAAATTGGAGAAATATGAGCCACCAGAAAACAGTATTGAAAAGATCATTAAAGAAACCATGCATAAGGCATTTTGGGATATTTTGAGGACTCAATTAGAAAGTAATCCACCAATTTATGATCATGCTTTGGTGCTACTTACTGACATTAAGGAAGCCTTTCAGTCAATTTTCTTAGAAAATAATAAAAAGGCATTGGATAAAATTAATGAAATGCTCGATACAGACTTGATTAAACAGCAGGCAGAACAGGGTGTACTAGATTTTAAGGCTTATTCAAATTATATCATTCATATAATGAGTATGGCGTGTGCTCCTATCCGTGACGAACAAGTTGCCAAATTGAGAGAAATTGAGGATATTGTTGAATCATTCAAAGGAATATTGGAAACTTTAGAGCTTATGAAGCTTGATATGGCAAATTGTATATTGAATGCAGCAAGAAATGAGGTCATTGCCAATTCTGTCAAGTATGAGCAGCAGAAGTTTAAAGAATATTTGGAATTTTACAAGGATGGATTTCCTGCAACTGAAAAATGGCTAAAAAGGAACATCCCAGAAGTCAATGAAACTGAGCAGTCAACATCGACGCAGACGAATGACATAAATCCAGATAAAAAGATTAAGGAAGTTATTTTTAACGCCTACATGGAACTTCTTGCCTGGAACAAAGAAAATGAGTTTCCTGAATTCTTCTCAATGGATCGTGAACGTCTTGTTGCCTTACAAGGTCGTGCATTAAGAGTTTGTTCATGTGCATCAGCACTAGCCATTGTTTCTGGACTTCCAGCTATATCACAATCTGCTGATATTAAAAAGAGTCTTGCAAAAGAGATTGAAATTCTCTTGCAAAATGTTAATACAGAGAAGGAACTTGAAGATGCATTGCAGAATGTCTGGCTGCAAATTAAGTCAGTATTGACAAAAAGATTACAAGAATTATATCAAAAGTCATTGGATGAAGAGACAGAAAGTTCACTCAAGGCACACATCATGAAAATTGCCAAATTGGATGAATCTCCAGTTCGTAAATTAATGTGGAAAAGGCTTTATACATATATTCAGTTGATTTTAAGGTCAAATGTTACAATTCCACCACCGCCTGGATTTCAAGAATTTACAGAAGAGCTTGAAGCACTTGGACAGGCGTTCAGACGTGTTACGTACTATAATTATGCAGTATACAACGAATACTATAATGAAATTTTGAACAAACTTAGTAGCAACTAGATTAGTGATAACTTGGGATAAATTTACATGTTTATTAGATTGAGTGATGACTTTTAGAGATGAAAACTGCCGATGGAAAATTAAATATTTTAAATGTCTTTGAGTTCCTTAATAAGTAATTAAGAATTCTACTATCTTCTTTGTTTCTTGATGTCAAATAACAATTTTAAAATATCAGAACTAGCACTTTATAATAGGTATTCAAAACTGTGAATTAGTAAATTTGTTTTTCTGTGAGGACTTTTTCATTTTATCATTGTGATAACATAAAATATCAGAAATCAATAAAATATTAATAACATTATTTCTAGAATAAAGATTCAAAATAGTTTTTTATTTATATTTTATATTTCAAAACACTACAAATTCTTAACAACTCCAAAACACCATAAATGTTTTAGGAATTGTATGGTTTTCAATTAATTTCAAAAAGCACTTTTCAGTTGAAAAATTAAGCGAATTTTAAGGAACTCAAAAATTGTCAGCATTCCTATTAAAAATCGTGATTGGTTAATTCTGGGAAAATACAATGAATCATACTTTATTTTTAAAAAAGCTTTAGTTAATTCTTGAGTTCAAATACAATGTTAATTTCAGTTTCAAATTTGCAAATTTAGCTATTAGAAGTTTTTGGTTTAAAATAATCAAGTATAGTTTTTCTCTGGGGGAGTTCTTTCTTCTCTAAATCTTCTTTAGTTTCTGTTGGTCCTTGATAATTGTGATCATCATGTGATTGACTGTTAACACTTTCCATATCTTGATTATTGCAGTCATCAACATCTCTTTTAGTACTTTTTGCATCTTGGTCAGTGTATTCATTGGATACAGAAACTTCCTGGTGAACCTCATCAACAGCCAATATAATCTCTTGATAGTCTTCTTCAATCAAATTGTCATGATTATCCTGAATTTTTTCATTTAATTTTTCGCATAAATCAGAAATATTATCACTTTCTTCAGTTCTGGTCCTTTTTGATGGATTCTCCAATTCTTCTTTTACTTCAGGATAGTGAATAGAAATTTCTATTGTATTACTTGTTTCCACATAAGCTTCTTCATAGGATCTTCGCTTTTCAGCGCCTTCAGTCACCGTACGTTCGATATGAACCTCATGTGACATATCAAATGTATCTGTTTGCTCTTCCAGTTCTCCCAAAAAGTTTTCAGCATCATGCTGATCGTAGATATATTGATAAAATTCATTGAATTTCTTATTTTGACTTTTAAATGATGCTAGATATTGCCATAGTTGTCCTATAAATGTAAAATTTCTATTTATATTATGTAATAGACATAGGATATCATTATTACTCACCAATAGTGACGTCATTGTCGCTTAAAAATTTAAACATGTTATTCATGTCTTCGACAAGCTGTTCGTCCCCAAAAGTATAATAAACTAAATTCCTTCTATTTGCAACACACGAAATCATCTGAACGAGACATTTAAGCTTGTTAAAACCACCAAATGCACCACATCCCCAATTTCCAGTAGCAACAGGCAAACCAGGAGACTCCAAACTTGGATCACGATAAAATCCACAATATGCTTTATTAACATCACGCCGTAGTAGTTTTTCATCAAATTGTACGTACGGGTTCCTGAAAGATAGAGCATCAATGGCAGCAATGTGAACAGCCTTCCTTCTAAACTTATCACATGGTGTGTCATCCTCAAAATTGCCTTCCCATGAAAATGACGACGAATATCCTGAATATTTGCTATACTGTAAATGATTACAGTAAATGATTGTTATAGAACAGCTGTTGACAAAATTAAAGTCATAGTTCATTACCTGCTCGGTTCCATAAATGAGAATAGCTTCTGTTGACTTCATGGACTCACAGAACAGCATTCCAACAATCAGTTCTGGATTTATCATGAATCGAATCTCTTCCTGTACACATCCGTGCCCCAAAGCACCACCTCCAAGATATCTATTAGCAAAATCCATTTGTAACATCCCGTCTCCTTTCTCAATCCTTCCATACGAATCTACATGCCACTTAATTGATGAAAACTTTAAATCTGATTGTTCCCATTTTGGTAGACTTTCAGGATCAATGAACCTCCGTTGAAAAGTTAGAATGCCTGTTGACATTGACTTGACTACAATTCTTCGAAAGTAATTGCATATACATTTAATTTTTTGAACAGTACTTGTTCCAACAAGGCAGAACAGCCGGTTAAAGTTGATTTCTGGATAGTCAGTGTTTTTACGAGGCACATTTCTGTTTGGAAATGTGCATAAAAAAGCATTAGCCAATAAACACGCTGCTTGCTTTTTAGACATAGAAATTGTATGATTCATCGATTGCTTTAATAATGGTATGGGTTTTTTGATTATTTCAGGCAGACTAAGGGCGAGATCAATGATTTTTGGTAATACTACTTTAAAAAAGTATTCAGTCTCTTCTTCAAGAAATTCGTCCTCAAAGAGAGCATGTAATGCTTTAAAATTCCATGTACTTTCATACTTTGTGTTATATGCTTTAATACAATTCTCTAAATCAAGACTTGTCCTTATTTCCTTGTCTTTAAGTGAACTTATAATGAGATCCCAGCGATATTTCTTGATTTTACTTTCATTCTCGCCAATTTCATAATAAACACTTTCTTTATTACATGGTAATTTGACATGATCATCATCCCAAACATCTGATCCTTCTAATGGTATTGGCTGGATGTTTTCATCATCTGGAAGAGGTGTTTCAAATAAAATTGTATGACTTTCTGAAGTATCTAGATTTGGTGCTTCATTTCTATCATCAAATACTTCAAATCCATCAAATATCTCTTCAAGTGATGATCCTCTCCACGAAATTTCATCGTCACTCATTTCCGTGTACCGAAAGCGGTCTAATGATTAATTAAAATACAATTTATTGTTGGATAAAAAATTACGATCTCAACAACAAACCTTTCAAAAACTTTTCAACCGTTGTATTATTTTATAAAAATTTACTTCCTTTACTGTAATCTTGAAAACATTATGTCCGTTAAATTTCAACATGCTTAATGCTTTAATTAAAGCTAATTGAAAGAATCTACAAAGCATAGTTCATTAATAATACAAATCTCAATAAAATCATTTATTTGAATTTTATGTACAATATAACTTAGTCACTAGTTTATGGCCATTGAATCTTCTGTCGTTTGGGTTTATTAGCTATAGTTTCCTCAATGGATCTTTTCATCTGATTTTCTCTTACTTCTATTCGTTGTATTGACGAGTTGATAGTATATTCCAGTTGACTGTAAGGCTCACGATTTAATTTGATTCTTTTAACTTCCTTTGCTAAACTTAGACTAGTCGAGTCTGTTGAATCTTGTGAATGTGATTGTGACTGTGTATTGCGCTGCCTTTGTGGTTTGGGCATTATATGCATTTTAAATACGTTTAATAACTCATCTCTCGTTAGCGATTCTAAGTTAATTATGCTTAGTTGTCTCTGGAAGTTGAAAAATCGGCATTATATGATATATCTCCATCGAATTTACACTTCCTTACATCTTTAATTATTGCTATCAGTTCACAGTTACTTAATAAAATAGGATGCAGCAGCTTATCCATTAGAATACTTAAATAAATCTAAAGGATCGTCAAGATCGTAAAAAATAATGTTTTGAGATAAATATAAACAAGGGGAGAACAACTGATTTGTAGAATATTTTACACATAGTCGATTTTCCCCTGGCAGCACATAAATCAACATAAGAATATGAATTCCTTAATTAACAGACCATTTAGTCTAGTTTATCGATCAATCTATACTACATCAAGATACTTTTGTAAACCAGAAGTTCCCCGCAATGTTTATGAAGAGTTTCAAAGTGCACATAATCAGGAAAAGCCTGGAGCAGTTTATGACAAAAAGCCATTCAGGATGTCACTAAAACAAGGTAACAAGTGCTCAATATATGCTAAAATCACTATACTGTTACAGATTTATTCAATTTAGGTCAAAAATACTCATGGTGTTTCTGTGGAAAGTCAAAAACTCAGCCATTGTGTGACGGAACTCATAAGGTAAATTCTACTGGATGTAAATTCTTTTGATTTATAGCTTACAGTATGTTGATTATCTTCCAGATTGTGCATTTCAAAATTGAACAGAAGCCTATTAGATTTATGGTTGAAAAGGATGGTGATTATTACTTATGCAACTGTAAGCAGACTAAAAACCGGCCTTTCTGTGACGGATCTCACAAGACCTTACCGTAAATTAGAGCTATTATAATCGAATAGACTTTTTAATCATGCTGCGTGTAAAAATATTAATAAAAGAATAGTTTCCATCTATATAATTTTATTTCACTATTCCATAAAGTATGTGTACCAAAAAACCTCTCCTATATCCAAGTAATCGACAAATTATCATTGTCTTTCGAACTTTACTGAATTTAAATGTGCAAAAGTGATATCTACAACAGTTGTATATTCAGCCATAGCACCCATTCCCGTATCGCCGCACATCAGTGTCTTTGAAATCGGTCTTATCTCGATATATCCATAATCTTTAAGTTCCTCAATCTGCTTACGAGTTATTGGATGCAAAAACATCTTTGTATTCATCGCTGGACAGAATACTAGTGGCTTTTCTAAATCCCATGCTCGTGCTACACATGTAAGCAAGTTATCACATATTCCTGAGCTTATTTTGCCTAATGTATTAGCATCCAATGGTGCAATGACGAATATATCTGCCCATTTCACTAAATCTGTAATGATAGGATGTTAATTGGTTCTACTTGATCATTAAAATTTTGTGTTTACCTATATGCAGCACTGGATCACCTCGCTTCTTCCACATTGTCCATTCATGTTCGTCCAGGAAAACTTCTGCTGCAATGTCTTCTTTGGAAACAAACTGAAGTGCTTTACTCGTTAAAACTACTCTTATCTGAAATCAATTAGACATAACTTTTAAACATCCAGTAGACTTATATATGCATGTATGTATTACATTAACTGAAGGATCCTTTGATTTGAGTTCACTGATAATATTTGGTAATTTAATAGCTGCAACAGATCCAGTGCATCCAATTAAGATATTCTTGGACTTTGCCATCATCATTTTTTGCTGTGTAAACATAACTTTTTTGTTTTTCTAATTTTTAATCTCTTTCTCGTCACTTTTAAAACCCAATTTTTCCCAACTTTCTTCAGCCATCAAGTTATTTTCCATACGACAAGCTAGATAGTCTTTAGATTGTTGCTTACATGCACTAATATTGTCTTTATTCTCTCTTAAACATTGCATATAAAAAAGCATATATTTTTTGCATGCAGATTCGTGATCAAGAGGAAATGAGCCTTTCTCTGGAGGTATTAAGTTAATTCTCTTCTGTTGAAACGAATTATTCATGGCAAAATGATCAAACAATACACTTTTTAATGATTTTTCACAATTTATTTCAATTCAAATTTTACAAGCATTTTAAAAACAAAAAACTTATGCCTCTGCAATTCAAATATTCTCCAGCCGTTAAAAAAGACAAAAAAAATTAATTCATTTGTTAAAAGAATCCAATTTTATTCTGAGATAATATGTAGATATTCAATCATTACAAGTATTTATTATCATTACTAATTATTATTTTTTATTAAAGACATGAGGGAGAGATGTCATCATCCGTTTGTTTTACTTCAAATCATGAAAAAACTTTCAATTCTTATTTTGATCATCATTGGATTGTTACTGTCTACTTATTGTAATCATCAAACTATTAAGAAAAAGATCCTTTACAATATTGAAAGCTCGAGATTATGAGAAATGTTTGTGCTAATGTCGATTAACTTCTTTTTTGGTCGAAACAAAACAAGATTATAGATGTTGGTTCCATTCATGATTTGAGAACGCTTTGAATATGTCAAAAATGTCTATGCTGCTGCCTCATTCCTTACAAGATTCATCGAGATTCAATTGCTAAACAATGAAGTGTTATTTCCTTTTAACGTTCGTTTAAGCAGTCAACGGAAGTAGGTAAAATTTTGAGATAGTCATGCTAGCTATGCTAGATATGTTATTTAAAAACATAAAGAGTCCTGTTAAAAAGTAAAATTGTATTTTAGAGTGAAATTAACCTCGATTGACAAGTTTGGGCAACGAACAGCAACCAATTTGACATATTACTTTTAAAAATCTTAGTCTTATCATTTAATGATCAACATTTATGATCAAAACCTATTTGAAATTCTTTTATGAACAGATTCCATGTTCTGTTTTAAGATGAGTTTTCGAATGCCGTTGGAGAGCAAATCGATCTGCGAAACTTGATGAACATACTTCGCCTATAAAATAAGAAATTTCTTTTGAAAATAAATTTATGTTGCTACTTCAAAGACGTTCCTTGTTCATTACATTTAAATGGCTTGATTCCCAAATGTACTTTCTCGTGCTTTCTTAAATGAGTTGCCTGTGAAAATGCTGAACTGCACCATGAACATCTGAAAATTTATCTTTATGTTACTTCCTGAGACTCATTAACAGTTCCTGTGTACTTACTTGTATGGCTTCTCGCCTGTATGAATCTAAAATTTCAAGGAATCATGTTAATTTAATACAGTAATTACAGTAGAATTAATAAGCATGCATCTTACCCGTCTATGATTCCATAAAGTTGAATATCTCGCAAAATCTTTATGGCAAACCTCACACGTAAACGGTTTCTCACCGCTATGAATTCTTTCGTGATTCTACAAATTAGAAATGTTCAGAATAGCTTAACTTAAAAGTTCCTTCGAACCAAACTGAAAGCAAAACTTCCAGTGGATATTTATAAATATGTACAGTCCCAAATTACCTTTAAATGTGTCGATTGAGCGAAAGATTGACCGCAAGTACTGCATCTGAAATATTGAAACCACCCGAAAATTAGTCAAAAATCTACAACAAGTAATGAGAGCAAGCTTACCGATAAGGCTTTTCACCTATTGACATTGATTGTGTGTCGTATTGGAATAAAAGTTATGATCAAAAGTATTCTAGAAATGAAAGCAAAATCTCAAAAAGTCCAAGGCTTACCTGTATGTGTCTATAAATAGCATAAAAGAAATGCAATAAAATATAAATGCATGATTATTAGAGGGAAATGAGTGAGAATTGAGTTGATTATGGACATACCCTCTTATGATTATTAAGATAATTGGCCTTTGCGAAGCTCGCATTACATATAGTACACACGAATTTTTTGATTCCAGTATGAAGGGTTTTGTGAGACCAGAGGCTTGAATAACGAGAAAATTTTCCACCACAAATGTCACAAGTGAATCTTAAGAGAATTAACTTAGAAACCAAATCATAAAACAAATAAAGATATATGCTTATACTTACGGTTTAGTTGCTGGATTGCCATGCTGAGCTCTCTGCTTGACTTGAACGAATCCACTCATGTGTGGTGGCACAACGCTCGTAGGACTAACTGATGGCGTACTACTTTGTGATGCATACTTATTCTGCATATGATGATTATATTTTTGTTCAAAAGGCTCCATCGTTGAGTCTCCGTCATTCGAGTGCATTTGCTTCTTTGACATAAAGTAAATTAGGTTTAATAAACGAATTAATAGTGACATTCAACACTTACAGCTTGATGTTGGAGTTGTTGAACGTGATTAAAGATTGAATCAATGATATAATTAATTTCTGATAAGGCTCCAGCTCCACTACTATCCGTTAATAGTGTCTCTGATATTGATGGAAGTTCATAATATCCATAGATCTTTAGTTCCTCAATTTGTTTGCTAGTGATCGGATGCAGGAACATTTTTGTATTCATTTCAGGACAAAAGAGAAGTGGTTTGTGTAGATCCCAAGCTCGCGCCACACACGTTAGCAGATTATCACAAATTCCCGAGCTAATTTTTCCTAAAGTATTTGCATCCATAGGTGAAATAATGAAAATATCAGCCCATTGTACAAGTTCAAGATGAAGACTCTGTTCGTTGAGTCCTTTCGTTATGTGCCATTCACTTTGATCGGTGAATACTTCTGCCATTGATGAGATTTCATTGATATTTACAAAATGCTTCGCTCTCTCGGTCAAAACTACTCGAATCTATCATATAAAGAATAGATAATTGAAAGCAATAAGAATCCGATTAGAAAAAATGGATGTTTACAAATATACAAATATGTGATCCAGAGAGAATGGCAACAAAATATTGATAATTTTTTTCATGCTTACTTGAAAGGTTGGATCTCGTTTTTTCAACAGATTGAGCACTACGGGTAATTTTATAGCTGCAATTGAGCCCGTGCATCCCACAAGAACATTCTTTTTCGTATTCATTATCGGCTTTTCCTCTAATTTATCTTTTCAATATTTTTTCTCCTTTTCCTTCCTTCTCGTAGCTTCAAATTTTTTAAATTTGGCTTTTAATCGCACGTATGCTAAATCTATTACTATATTAAATCAAAACATTACGTCTAAAGTCTTTCTAATCACTTAACAAATGAGAATTTATTCTTAAAGCCTGCCCAATTGATGAAAATTATGAATTATCTACAAATCCAATAACAAAATTATGTTGAAATAATAGAGGTCGTAGGTAAACCAGTAAGCAACTCGCTGCTATAGATGTGGGTGAAAGCATTGAGCGCATTCACGCTGTAAATGTTGAATTAAGTTTTATTTGGCAGTAACGATTTTAAACAATTTGAATTTTGAAAACCATACAACAGTTATTGTATTCAAAACCCTTCAACAGTTGTTGTAAGGTTCTCCCACGAACATGTTAAGAAATAAAGGTAAATAATGTTCGTTGGTCAAAATGGAACTTACAAACCTCATTGTACCATAAAAACACGATAATAGTCGTGTAATCTGCTCACTTTAAAGCCTCTTGAATTATTTATAATTTGAAAAAAATAACAGACAAAAGTATTTTTGAAAAACTTCATTTTTTCACGGCTTTGCTTTGGTAAGTTGATATCTGCAAAAATTCCAAAATATTTCATAAAAAAAGTGAATTTAATTAAGATAGCACTATTTTATTTAGAATTTAAGAACATCCATCGATTCTACAGATCGTAACGAATGTTGGTAGAGTGAAATTTGTGGATTTGAGACAGTTTTCGATAGATAAATTGAGAACAAAAAAATTTTGACTGTTTTAAAAGATTTTTTTTCAAGAAATTCTTTGTGATAAAAGATAATTGGACAGACAGATCAACAGAAGGAATGTCCAAAAAAGTGCTAAGAAATTGACTCAATTGAAATTCACAAATATAGAAAGTGAATGTTGTAATTTGAGGAATTGAATAAGCAATTTATATTATTGGTCAATCGATTTTGTTACTTCATTTCGTTCAGTTCGTATATACACATATTATAAACAAGATATTTTTGTTGGTCACTGATTTATAATAAATCAAATGGCATCAATGTCGTTTCGTCCATCAACAAGTGGCGCAAATTTCGAAAAGGTTAATATCCCGTGTAGATTTTATCCTGGATGCCGTTTTGGCAACAATTGCAAGTTTCTACATGACGATGGTAAGTTAAAAAATAGTATATCCAGCAGTTTGTTGCTTACAAACAACACATAATACGAAAACAGTAACTGTCCTACTTAATTTTTTTCGACCAAAAACAAATGACACGTTTATTTCTCTCTGTCTGCTTTCCAGCAACGAGTTTTGAGGCAACACCAACTATAAATAATAATATTGCGCAATCTATTTTACTATCATCATCTTCATCAGCGAATAATTTAAATCCTCAAGCTCCCATTTTTGTGCCTACAATTTATAAACAAGACTTTGATTCAAATTTTCCGCCCAAGTCGTACGCAGATGTTGTGAATGCAAATAGAGATCCCAGCGAACAAGTCACAGAACTTTCTATCTACCCTGCCGATGATCCTACTCAGTAAGTCATCTAATCACATAATGTTATACTATAACTAATGAATTATTTCAATAGAATTTGCCCATTTCTTATGAAAAGTGGAATTTGTCGCTATGAGACATGCTCGTATGCTCATGGTGAGATGTGTGAAATGTGCGGAAAGTTTTGCCTTGATCCATACAATGTTGAGCAGAGGAAAAAACACGAAAAAGACTGCATTTCTGCTCACGAACGGGAAATGGAACTAGCATTCTCAATTCAGCGCTCAAAGGAGAAAACTTGTGGAATATGCTTTGAAATCGTGTGGGAAAAGGAAGGACGTGAGCAGCGATTTGGTATTTTACCGAATTGCAATCATTGTTTCTGTCTCGAGTGCATTAGAACGTGGCGACAAGCTAAACAATTTGATAATAAAATCATTCGATCATGCCCCGAGTGCAGAATTTGTTCAGACTTTGTATGCCCAAGTAGCTTTTGGTGTGATTCGGCTGAGGAAAAGGAGAAACTGATTTCAAAATATAAGAATGCTTTAAGCGAGAAGGATTGCAAGTATTTCAAGAAGGTTAGTATTAAACTCTTAACCGGTTTCTATAGTTTAAAAATTATTTGCTGATGTATGCTTTTAAGTTCCGAACCATTCAAATTCCTAATATTGTGTAAACATTTATACAGTTTTGAGACATTTAAATATTGATAAACCGTTAAATTTTTCAGGGTCAAGGAACATGTCCTTTTGGAAACAAATGCTTCTACAGACATTGCCTAATGGATGGTAAAAAAGTCGACGTCGGTGAACCAACCAGAACACGAGCTCTAAATAGCCTTGGACATCTTGAAAATCTTCCGGTAGCTCATATTAATGTTAATCTATTGCTAAGTTTATTAAGTTAATCTTCCAAATCATCTTTTTTCCACATACAGAGCCTCTTATTTTGGAATTTCATAGAAGAAAGAATGTTCTTTGAGGGTTACTCTTCATCCGACTCAGAGTCTGGAGTATCGGACTTTCTCGAAATTTTCTAAAAGCAGAAATTCCAATCAGCAAGATTATAAGTCTTTTCAAGTAATTAATTAATCAAAATCGTGTGTCTGTGTGGAAAAGAATCAAAAAATCAAAAAAAAAAGAAAATAACATTTTCAAAGTAAAGTGAGTGTTGAAAATTACTAGTTTTTCATGTGATGAAAAAGTCATACTATTCAGTTAATTTAACTATAATCCTCAATCCTTTTTTAAAAAAAAATAATGAATGTGAAAAAATTAATTAAAAAACAGATAATGTGACATCAAAAAAGGTTTTAGAAACTCCCCCCAAAAAAACTCATATATTTAATCGATAGATACTTAAACAAAGTAAAAAAAAATATGACCAGACAAGAAAGTATACAAATTTATTTTTGCTTTCAAGAAGCACTGAGCAGTGAATATATAATAGTAATAGTAATAATAATCATAAAGAGAAATGATGAAACTATTTTCAAGCACAAAAACACAAGTAAGAAGAATCATTTTTATTATGCATACATTAAGCATTTCATTCAAATTATGTAATCGAAATGAAAATTACCAATGATAAATGTTTTAATAGTACGTAAACTTTCAATAATAAATGCCAATGATGTCCAAATTATCGCGTGTGCGGCGATCGATGGGGCTAGTCGATGAATAAGCATTTTTTGTCAACGAGTTGCAGCGCCTTTTGCTCGATTTATTGATGTAAATGAGATTTTTAACTTTTTAAATTCCTTCAAATAGTAATGAAAATTTTCTAGTCTATCAACAGTCTTTTGAAATTAAAAACTTAACGATTTTTTAAAATTTAAATTTTTAACGTATTCATCAAATTCAAATAGTTTCAACTCGAAAAGCTTTGCCATTAAGTTTAAATTTTAAATTTATTTTCTTAACGAACTGCAATTGAAGTTATTAAAAGTTCATCGACACTCAATCATTCTAGCAACATCATCGTGTAACATGATACAAAATATTACAACAAAAAGAGCTGAGACGGAAAAAAAGATCAAATTTCCCTTACTTATTCACCGCATTATAGCAGTTAATTTGGACAGCATTGATTTCTATGAGAAACAGAATATAAGAATGAATAACATATATATTTATAGCAAATAAGCAGAGTAAGAAGTTATTTTTTTATTGAAGAAAATAGTAAGATTAATTATGGTAACTAAAACAAGTAGAATAGCACATCTTTATTACATTTAGAGTTTTTAAAATGCATTTAAATAATATTTTTCCTATTTCGAAAGTATAAAGAAAAGTGTGAAGAAATTTAAGAGGCAATTGCATAACATTTAAAACCATAATTTCCTACACATATATATTTTTTGAAGCACATTATTAAACTGAGTAGTAAAATTATTGGCCAGACTAGACACCTTTCGTTGTCTACTTAAGTAATTTTCTAGGCAAACGTGAAATTTTAAAAGTTTATGGATCAATGAAACTTTATGTTATTAATTTCATGTTTCACACACTTACAAAGATTATTATTTGCCATACATTAATCATGTCTGCATATCTCTTCTTAACTTAGCAAATCTGTTACCAATTTATTCACTGAAAATGGAAGTACAATATATATTTTATGTTACATTAAAATGCTTTCTTAATCTTTTATTAATCAAAAAAAATTACAAAAGTCCTCGTGTATTGATCGAGGGACTTAAGCACATTTTTGACGAAGCGATCAGTATTTTATTAGCAATAAAATGAAAGTCAATAAGCAAATAGCTCCAAAAGTTTGCCTTTAGAAAAGCTTCCGTGTTGTATTTTACAAACATTAGGTACAGCCGAACGAACAAAGGGAATTATTAAGCTTTCTTTTCGAAATCAAGTTTCAAAAATGCGCTTAAATTGTATATTAGTTATTTTAATGACAAGAATTGCATATTATGGATTTACTTATATGGGGGATAATGAGCGATAGATGTTAGAAAAACTTTAAATTCTGCACTATTGTAATTTGAGACTAATGTTCAGGTAGATTTTTTTTTTGCTGCAATTGAGAGATAATAGTTAATTAACTAGCCTTTTGTGATAATCAATTTATAACAATTATAATTTTTGCCAAAATCTTCTTTAAATACTACTCAAATTGATATATATTATATATTCTAGAGCCTGAAATAAAGATTTTTTTTGTTACTCAATATAAGTTTCAGTAAGTTTCATTAATTTTTGTTGAGCTTTTAAAAACCGTTAAATTTTCAAATTTATTTGCAGAATTTCATCTCTGACAAAGCACATTAAATCTTAAACAAATTCAAATCTTAAAAAGCCGTTAAACCTTAAATCACGATATGGTTAAATTATAGCATATTTATTGTCTTAGCACTTAAAATTACTTATTTGCATCTGAGCTGTTTCCTTTATTTTTGTTCTTTATTCGGTCTAGAATGTTTTCTGGATTTATTTCATTGAGCCATGCTGGGGCATTTGGAAGTGTGATTTTACTCATAATTTGTGTAATTTGCTCTGACTTCTCATTCGTGATCTCTATGTTGGAACTGGATGTGCTGTTATTCCAAACATCTGTGACTAATTCAGTTGATGAGCTTCTTATTATAGGAACATTTGGTGCATTAACTGGAGATTCTTGATTATTTTCTGGGAATGAATACTCGTTCATTTCTTCATCATCTTCCGACTCGTCTGAGTCATCGTCGTTTGCTGGAATGTGCTGTTGATCTTGATCATTTAGCATAAAATATCCATCATTCATTTGATTTTCTTCAATATCCATTTCATCGTCTAATTGATTATTTATCACATAATCGCCTGTGTCAAAGCTATTGTCACGATTTATTAACTTTTCTGGATCAGGTCCCATCGAATCCAATGCTTATCTAGTGCTTAAATTAAGGAAAATTCACGAGATAAATATTTGTTTTGATTTTCTTTTAATTTTTCGCGTCTTTTCAAAAACATTTATACGGTTCTAGAACAAACATTTGTAAAGTTCTATCGGGAAAACATTTGTAAGGTTCTGCAGGCTGATGTGGTCAATATTTGAAATTTATTTAATTTTATCTAGTTTTAAAGTTATTAGTAAGCAAATTTACGATTATGGGTATTAATGTGAGCATAAGTAAGCCGGCCGAGCTGAATTCGAACGAATATCTACAGCAATTTATCGGGAAAGCACATATTTCGTCAGACAATAATGAGTTTTTTGAAGAATTTCTTAAATTTACTATAAAGACACCAACAACAAGCGAGGAACAGCTTAATCTTGACTCACGAATAGAGAGCTTCCTGGAAAGCTTCATACAGAATAATTTAACAAGCGGCAACTTAGGCTCATTAATTACAGTTTTCTTAAGGAAAACATCTGATGAATTATTATCACTTTCGGACAATGAAAGGTATACTGGTTTAAAATAGTTAATTTTATCAAGTACATGATATCTATGTAATTTCCTTTTCTTTTAGTCACGTCCACATATATAAAATCTACAACGCTGTATATGTATTACGAGTTCTTATCAAGTATATTCTCGAAATTGGAGGTGAATTTCTTTTATTGCAACATTTTGAGGCACTACCAAGATCAACAGAGACTAATGGAAACACCCAACAAGACGTGACTGTGACAATTGAGAATACGACATCGAATAATACAGCAACAAAGCTTATTGATGGAACTAAATTTGATGCGTTCCTTGAGACAATTTTTAATATAATTTGTGTGATTCCACTTAAGGACCATACTTATCACTTACTCCTCGAATGTGTAAATGTGATTTTGGTGCTATGTTCAGTTTATCTCTTCAACCAACAGACAACAGAACGTTCAACTATATTTCGTACAATTTATAAGTGCAAATATGCATCGACACTACTAGCGACATTATTACATCTTGTATCACGGATGAATCCAGCACCAACTTATGGTGCTTATGGAAATTTAAGTGCTGGTGGATCATTTGTTTTTGGTCTTGCTGAATCATTTTGGTCAATGTTGACATTCTCAAAGAAATCGCCTGAAAGTGAGGAGATGCCTAAGTCATTTAAGGAAAATTATCCATTGGCTAATCAAAGCTTGTTGCTTATACTAATTCTAACGAATCATAATGCTGACGATTCAGTTGACTTACAGAATAATCCATACCGTTATAGTCTCTTTAATTGCACAAATTCAACAGAATTGCTGAAAGAAGATGACGTTAGTTCCTTTAAAATTGATTATTCAGGATTATATCAAACAATATGCAAAATAACACATTTAGATCAGACAACATTGCTTCTCTATTTGCTCCTTCATCGTAATGAAAAATTCTATCGATTTGTTATGAATCAACAGAATCTACAGGAATTGGTAGTACCAATTCTACAAATCTTATACAATGCCCCAGATAGTAGTTCGCATCACATTTATATGTCACTTATTGTCCTCCTTATTTTATCTGAAGACGATGGATTCAATAAAAATGTCCATCAAATCATGCTGAAGAACATCCAGTGGTACACAGAACGTTCAATTTCAGAAATATCATTAGGTGGTCTTCTAATTCTTGTGATTATTCGTACGATTCAATACAATATGCTTAAAGTACGTGATAAATATCTTCATACGAATTGTCTCGCATGTTTAGCCAATATGTCATCACAGTTCCGATATCTACATCCATATGTGTCCCAAAGATTAGTCTCACTGTTTGAAACGCTTGCTAAAAAGTATGCACGACTACAGACGCAATTAGATGACGTGAGGAAATTGGAATCAAGTGTTGTTGAAGTAGCAGAAGATGTGGTGAGTCACGGCTTTATTTAATAACTATGCAGCTGTAACAATGATTTATTTTTATTGGATATTTAGATGCAAGACTTGACTGTTTTAGAGGAAGTATTGAGAATGGTGCTAGAAATTATAAATTCGTGTCTCTCACATCAACTAGTATATTGTCCTAATCTGGTATATACGTTGCTATATAAACGAAATGTCTTCGAGTGCTTCAGAAGTAATCCAGCTTTTCAGGACATTATTCAAAATATTGAAATGGTCATTGGATTTTTCACGAGTCGCTTGCAGCGTGTACAAGGTGAGTAATCACCTGAATGTGCCAACAGAAAGCAAAAGTGTGAAGCTTCGCATGTCTGCAACAAAGTTGAAAACTTTTCATTTCCTCAAGCATAAATGTTATGTGTCTAATATGAAAACGCAAAAATCATGCTCCACATACGATTATTGACAAGTATAATAATTCAAGCAAAAGTCACGAAGTCTAGTGGAAAAAGCTGTGTCTGGTGTACGATTAAATAAATATAGGCTAGAAAAGCACCCCGAACATACAATGAGTATCTCAGAGCACATTATTTGTGAGCTTGCAAACTTTTGTGAGAATGTGCTCATTTCATACATTAAAGTGATGCGATCACGGTACCTTTTTGAGTATGCTCAGTTAGCACATTCCTATGTGACATGCATTAAGCTCACTGAGTAAACTCATAAGCATATTCAAATGAGAAGACAACATACCACACGAAACATTTTTTTAATGCAACATTTTTTATTGAATATACTCATAAACATACTCAAAGAGCTTATACTCATGAAGATACTCAAAAGATATATGCTCAGTGAGTTTATTTATGAGTATATTCTCATCTGAGCACATTCATGAGTGCAATCAGTTAAAGTCACAAAATTCAAAAAATTAATTAAGTTAAATTTGAGTTTTATAAGGATAATTCTGTGAATAATTTTGGAATATTTAGAAATTATTATTAATATTTTATCTCAGATACTTAAGAAGGAAGTTTTAAAAACCGGTCACCCATCCTTGTATAAAAACCTATTGCGTTGCTTAACTTCTGTCACCTCACACTTCTCCTTTGAGCAATTTCCTGTAAATATATAATAATTTTTATATGGCAAAACACATACTTAAATTATTATACTACTACAGGCAAACTAAGTTCTTTGAAGTTTGATACGCTGCTTAATTGAACTATATTTTTATGAAATATTTGAGTTGATCAGAGCACGATCGTGAGAACATATTATGAAAAATGTCGACCAACTTAAAATTAAACTTAGAATACATTTTTATGTAAGTTGACATTTTCAAAATCGTCGAACAACTTAAAATCGAGCAAAGAATACAATTTTATGCAAGTCGACATTTTCAAAAATGTCGACCAACTTAAAATTGAACTTAAAAAACATTTTTATGCAGGTTGACATTTTTTGAAAATATTTTATGAATTCAAATATTAGTTCCATGAAAGCCAAAAGATTTTGATCGTGCTTAATTCTTATAGTTTTTTAAAAGCAAAGTAATTTTTAATTTAATTCCTTGACATTTATATCAGAAAACTTAAAATTGTAAGAAGTTTTGTACATTTTTGTATTACATATCTAAAATATTCAACATTTGCTTTTAAGTTGGTTGACATTTTTTAAAATGTCATATAGATATAATTATAATCATTATATGCTCATGAGTATGTTTAGGAAGTGTATTCATAAGAGTAAATACACATAAGTATGTACTTAATATTCTCATGAGTATGTTCAGTAAGTGCACTCATACGAGTATATTCACATAAGTATGTTCTTAATATTCTCATGAGTACACTCTTTTGAATGTACTCACGTGAGCTTATGAATTTTTGAGCCTAATTGGCTCAAAAGCTTTTTTTCTTATTGGAACTTTTTAGTTTATCTAAAGTTTCCGAAATTGTCTTCACTATGAGCTTAGTAGTAAGCAAGCGAAGGATCTTATATATAAGCATTAAAAATTTAATCATACTCGAAAACAGTTTACATGACCCAATTAATACAAATTGTATGCCTTTAATCTACTTTTATAGATCAACGCGGAGAACTTGGTGTAGCAGAAGTATATGAAGTGATAAGTAAAGGTTTGTTATTAGCTTTCAATTTTCAATTCTCTAAAATTAATCATTTTCTTAAAATTAATTAAGGATCAAGTCAGTGGAGTTCTGACCGTCTAAAGAAGTTTGCAGAGCTGCGTTTTAAATATGTCGATGAAGAAGGCAACGAGAAGTCATACTTCCTACCTTACATCTACTCTTTGTTATCGAAAAATTCCACAATTAGTTTTGCTGAAGGCGAAAAGCTTTTTGCCGACATTTAAACTTTTAATTATTACTAAATTGAATGATGTTACAGGCATAATAATTGCATTATGTATTATAATGATTTACTTATATCCATTTTACTGAATATTTATTATTTTTTAAAAAGTGAATTAAATAATTTTTTCAGTTTTCATTTTCTTTCCCAAGAGGAGAATAATCAAACAAAAACAGCAACTGACTTTCATTAATTTACGCTAACGCCACTTCTTCTTTAATTCACGCGGAAACATTGAAATTGAATATTAATCACGTCAAATTGCCGCCAACAATAATGTTTCAATTTGACTTGATAAGAATTTTTTTTGTGATCCACAAATTTCGCTTTACACACAATCGACGAGAGAGAATGAAAATTGAATGAGTTTGCAAACGATTGTCATTAAAAGATCATTCACCGCAATTCATATATGAACACCTAATCAGCAAAAGTAAATACAAATGATTAGTTAAATTTTGAATTTCAGGATTATTGTAGATTGTTATTGCTGATTCCATAGGACTTTTGAGACTTTAATTAATTATTCAAACCTTATAAATTACAAATGATTTAGAAAACATTTGTATAGTTTTCGAAATTCTAAAATAATTTCCGTTGATGAAATAATTTGAATCAACGCTTGAGAACCACACAAATTTTTAAATAATGAAAACATTTGTTATGTTTTAAAATTCAAATTTTAACCGTTTCATTTTAAATGGGAATAGATGCATCAAATGGCTCATCAATGTGATCGAGGAACAGATTGTAAAACAAATCCCCGTCAAAATTGTAAATTCAACTAATGGAACTAAGCATTGAAATTACCCCAAAATCCTTTAATCCTGTGACCAACCAAGCATCTTGATATAACCTTAGAGTATACAGGATTAAATGATTTTATGGTAATTTCAATGCTTTAAAATGAAACAGTTAAAATTTGAATTTTAAAACATAACAAATGTTTTCATTATTTAAAAATTTGTGTGGTTCTCAAGCGTTGATTCAAATTATTTCATCAACGGAAATTATTTTAGAATTTCGAAAACTATACAAATGTTTTCTAAATCATTTGTAATTTATAAGGTTCCAAGCATCTTGATATATCGCGATATGGCATTTTGAAAATAAGATTGACACATGTTTTACACTTAAATTAGAAATCTTAAATTCGCAATAAAGATCATATGCTAGCATAATCAGGAACACACGAGAGTAAAAAGTCACTGCATGACAACTTGATATGATCGTTAAACATAAATTTTTGTTTACAGCCAAAGAAATAATTTATTTGTGCACCAAAAGCATCGAGGCTTATTGATCTTCGATAATTCTATGACGCAGTACGTTTGTTGACACGTTTTTCCCGAGGCGTCTAGTCTGATCGCCTTGACCTTATTAGGTACAAATTTTTTGCGAATACTCCATGTCACGAGAGCTGTTAAAGATTTAATGGCCCATGTTATCATCCTAAATGTTATCAGCACTCAGTGAACGGAGACTTTATAATTAATTAAGGCGCTTAGAAATACTTTAAATTGATTATGTGCCAATTAATGGACTTTTTTTTGCGTCTGATTTCTACGTAAGATGTGGGTAAGATCACATACCTCCAAACATATTTAATGTCTCAAAATCTTGATTCTTGCTTTAGTTCCTAGAAAATTCCTGAATTGACAGAAATAAGTACAAAACACAGCTGGATTTTTTCGTCATTTGATAAAATTAGTTTAGTAAATTCAATTAAAAGTTTACAGTAAAGATCATCACTAGAAACAAATTATTAAAAATAATGTCATTAGGTCAAAGATTCTCTGCCTTAATATAAAAATTATAGCTTGTTCGGACAAATTTAAAATCCTACTAAAAATTAAATTAATTTATGAACACAATCTGATTATGCAATTGTTTGATCAGAGTCTCGATGAACTTCAATCTCGAAACTTCCGTAGTTGTCATCACGATCTGTTAATAATCCTAGATTTGCTTCTTCCATTCGCTGCCAATGATGACTCTTTCCATAGCTTGATGCAATCACCATATTGTTATTCATGTATGGAATTGAAATGTTATTTGTGGATGAGCATAATGAGCCATTTCTTGAGTGTAAATTGTCGAGGCTCACGGTACTTTTTCCAATGAGCATTTCTTCTGCCGATATTTCTTTGTATGACTTTCTGCCTGGACTTGAGAAGCAGGTGAATATAACAAAGATGAAGACAACAATTGTGTGCATGACTAAGATGAAATAGACAGAACTTCTAAAACCTGCATGATCAAACAAATATCCTGCAACTGATGGTCCAATAAAAGCACCGAGAGCGACTGTGGAAATAAAATTAATTGATCAATTAACTGCCTTTTACAAATTTAAGGAACAAGGTGATTTATTGCCCTGTCTGCACTTTCATTCTATTTCATCAAACTGCTGATCACTAGGCATGAATTTGCAAAAATCATGCTCAGAAATTTAACTGATTAAGATGTAATCTGAATGAAATTACTCATCAATAAAGCGTGCAGTGTGACTTAATTTCAACTTAGCTATACTTTAAAGATTCTTAATTGAATTTTGACAAAAGAGAAAGACTTACAGATTGATGTCCACAATCCGCTAATTAATCCATAAGTTTCGACTCCATCTTGAAAGCCATTCTGTACGGCAGTTTTTAAAGCATCTGAAAATGTTGATACCAAAGACATTGCAATTCCGATTCCGTGACAAACTAATCCACAAATCACAAATGTTAATGAAGTATCGAATGGCAAGAATGCAACTGGACCTATTGATGCACAAACAATGAGTAATAGAATGAATATTAGAAAAGTATTAAGATTTATAGCACAGTAGAAACTCACCGATCAATGCAAATCCAGCCATAATGAAGAGAGATCCGAAAATAGATATAATTTTAGGTGTCTTGTATTTATCGACTAGATATCCAACAATTGGTGCAGTCATAGCATAAACACCTCCATTAATGACAAACATAACACCAAGCCAAATTGCAGACATATTAAATTGCCTTAAATGTGGTTCCAAAGTAGCACTGATGAATCCAATCGATGCACTTGTCGCTCCAATTCCTAGGCAGCATACGACAATGCCAGGAATTTTAAGGACTTGCAATAATGAATTTTTAGCTTCACCGTCATTTGTCTCAGGCTGACGATCAGGTAAAATGAGTAGTGTCATAATTGCACATGTAAAAAGTGCGGAACCAAGCACAACAAAGGGCAAATAGTAGCCTCCAATACTATATAAAGCACCGCCAATCTGGAAAATGAAAATAAATAAGCAATGAGTGAATAAGAAGATAATTTGCGTGAATGAGCACATGCATTGAATTAAAATAAGAAGGAAAAGTTGAATAATTGAAAATAAAAAAAATTAATGATAAGGAACGGAATACGAAAAATCTTATATAGGGTGCTAAAATGACACTGATTAAGTGTCACATATATGTATGATGTGCTTATATAGACGTACGCTTTTGACCGACATTTAAATTTGTACATACCATTGGTCCAACGATCAATCCACATCCAAAAAGTGTTTCAAGCGTTGCAAAGGACGTGCCAATGCTATTTGGAAATTCTGTTGCTATAATTGTGAATGAGGCTGTTAAGAATGCAGCATTTCCGAGCGCTTCCACTATTCTTATTGCAAAAGCTAATGCTATAAATGCATCATGCTCAGGAACACGATCTAAGAGACCAAACAATATCGCGCTAGTTCCAGTTGTAAAAACACCGCCTTGAAACATTGCCTAATAGGAAATACAATCATTATTCTCAGTTGCTTTAATGGCTTAATTTGACATTCTCACCTTTGGTCCTATTTTGTTTAAAAATTGTCCATAAAATGGCGACGCTAAACATACTACAAGTTCAAATATCCCAAACACTAGTCCATATTCAGTTGCTGTTGCGCCTTTATTTTCAGCTTCTTTTGGAAAGAACGGAGCCTACGTGATGAATGTAAAACTATTAGACTTAAATGCATATTAGATAATAAACCTTAACACGTACCTGCAAACTAACACAGATGGCATTAAAGAAATCTGATAATCCCATCACTGCTAATATGATCCATTGTCGCTTTGTGTAATTTAGTCCCATTGTGATTCTAATCAAAATCTATTCTATACTAGCTTAAATAATCAATGCCTTAATACTAGTTAATATAAAGTTGAGTAGTTTCGTAATATTAATCGTTTCAAAACACTTCAAATAAGGGAATTCTTATAGCTCGTGCAGTGATTTATTTTCAATTATCCTGTATGCTTCACTTCAGATTTAAATTGTCAAGTCCTCCTTATCTTTTGTGAACTTTCATTGTTCTTTGCTGTTATGTTTTGTTTTGACTTTCGTCTATCACTTTAAATATTAATTTCACTCTTATATTAATACTTGGATCTCTATTTTATCTTTTTGATCCTAAAGCTTACTGTTTATTCTATAATGGGAAACGAAATTCTCGAGACTTTTCACGTCTGTTTCTTTATTTTTCACCAACTTTCCTCAACTAATGTCGAAACTCAACTGATTCGTGGGAAAACAATCACTGTAATTGAGAATAGTCTTTGTAATTATTGAGCACTGATAAGAACTTTTTCTGAGATGAATAACTCTCAAGATGATTAATACTTGATTATTGCTGATGTATTGATGAGTATTGTCTCTTTTTGAGATGATCCTCTTTGCTAGACGTAAATATTGAGAGTATTTTTGTTAAATTATTGTCCCGAGTTTTATACTTTGTTGCTCCTTAAGCTGATAGGTACTTATTCTACAAACTTTTGTATTGCATGCTCTTGATTGTTAAACTTTTTTTTTTTGGAAAACTTTCTTTTGTTTACATTTCTTGTTTATAGTGATTTATTGGATTTTACTAGCTTATTCTTCCTGTAGGTACTAATTAATGATTAATCATTGGATTTAAAGGAACTTTATCTCTTAGAAGCGACAAGAACTCGTGATAATCGACAATTTTTTTAAATCAACAATAAAGGTTAGAAAACAATTAATTTTTTGAATATTTTTCGTTAATAATGAGAATCACGTGACAAGGTTTAAAGTGAAATATGTATTAACACAGTCACAGTCAGGGCCTGTAAAAACGAAGCATAACCATTTTTTTCATACTCACACCGTATTCACGTGTGAGCATTGTTTTTGTTCAGATTAAAAATCAGTTTGTGCCTGAAATTTCACATTTTCTACAAAAAAAAATCTCAATAATGATACATCGTAAAGACTTCTAGTTTTTTACATTCCATCCGTGATGTTTTAAAGATGATTTGTATCATTTTTGGGCAAGGTAGGAACAGCCGTTGCTTCAAAAAACGCAAATTACTTTCATTCGCTAAGATTTTTAAAAGCCAAAGTTTGCTGTTATTTTATAAAATTAAACCTTGGATGGGGCAGTTCACTTATTACGTTCGCATTTTAGGGGGGAGGGAGGGTTTGAAAAATTGTAACAAAATGTAACATAGGGGGGGGGGGGGGCTGTCAAGAAGAATGTAACGTTCTAACTGTCGTCTCTTTTAAAAAAAAGTTCACGAAAAAAATTTGAATTATGAACGTTCAGGGGGGGGGGGGGTTGTGAGTTGTAACAAGGGGGGGGGGTGAAAAATGTCGGTTTTTTGCGTAACCCCGATGTAAAATTGTTTTTTTTTTTTGAGAATGTAAGGTCTGTCAGAGCTTACAAGACTTTCGATGGACTATGGTGTGAATATATCCGTACTGGGTTTCTACCCGATACACTACTTTCTTAGTGATTATGACTAAACTGTGCAAATTTCATCAGCCCCAAAAAGTGTGCTCGGTGATAAGCGTACGTTCACATTTACCGAATTTCATTCACATATGCCGATTAAAAATTGATTTAAATGAATTTCATTCATGAATGGCTCAATAACACTGAACGAGATCTATTTTAATTATTTATAAGTATACTGGAAATTATCGGAATTGCATCCTCAATATTTTTGTGTTGAATCAGTTTTCATATGCATCCAGCACATCCTCAATGTTGAAAGTCATTTATTAAGACCTTTAGAGACTCTGAAAGAATTGTGACAAAATGTAAAAGTGTCAACAAGTAATTGAGTTATCAATGAACAGCACAGAGAACATTGAAGGAATAACTGCAAAATAAAAAAAATTTAACGTCCTGACGCCTCTCAATTGCCTATAAAATAAGCTATAAATTATATTCGTAGTTAATTGATAACATTTAAATGACTAAAGAGAAAGACACAAAAGCAAAACGCACATCCGATCAAGATGGAACTAGTTATTTCCAACTGATAAAGGTTCTAGAAGTTTTGACTCAATATTTAACCATGAGACAAAGTCAAAAATATATAAAAATAGAAAACTGTGTTACAGATAACGTGACAGTGCATGACTATCCAAAGAGAGTGAGCTTTTGTGCTCTATATGAAGCTTTACTGAGAGAAAGAGAGTCAGACATATTTGTGAGATTACATATTTTTTATTTCAATGTACAAAAGCAAACCCCAATTTTACAGCCAGTATGTCATTTGTATTCACAGATTGAGCATTTAAATGCTCAACAAAATTTTGATCGAATGTATTTTTTAGTACCTGTATAAAGAAGATCACAATAAGATCACAATTTATTGATCTTGGAATGGATCTTTTTTGATGTATTTGTCCAAATCAGCCTCACTTTTGTCGTCATATTCTGACAATTGGCTGAATCCTTCGTCGTCAACAAAGCAAATTTCATGACCATCGGGATCAGCAAGGATGATAACTCGAACGGATGCTTTTCCAGGAGTGTCAAGTACAACCAAAGGTGTTAAAATTGTTTTACTGTTCTTTTTCATCAATTCGTCAATTGATGGCTGTAGAGTGTATGGAACTCCAAATGCAATTCTTCCGTAAGCTTCACCTCGATCAATTTTTTCGTCAATTTTATTAAATTCGATTCCAAACTTTCCACCATTATACGAGAGTAAGGCTTTCTTATTGTCTTGACGTAAAATGCTCATGTTAAGCAATCCATTCCAATATTTGATAGAATTATCAAGGTTCGAGACATTGTAGATGATAAAGCACATTGGATCTACTCCATCTGCAACTTTTTCATTGATAATGAAGAATTTAAATCCATCAGGTGCACGAATTAAAATATCTCCTTTGGAACCAGCAATATCCTCAAAAGGATATTTATTAGACTTGACATTTTCAACTACGTCCGAAGATTTTATTACTACTCCACCAAATTCATTTCCAAGCTTATATTCCTTAACTCCATAGTTGTAAGTAAGTTCCAAAACGAAAGATTCATGTTCATGCTTATATCCAACCATAGTCTTAGACCAGCGATTGTCATAGGGACCATTGCATTGAGCTGCACATGTTTCAGTGAATTCCTCATGTCTCAAAACCTGTTTAAAATCAATGAGAAGAAAATAGCATGTTACATCGTAAATATTCAACAGGTTGGAAGTACTTCAAGGTCGGTAACTGTAATTATTTATTTAATTCCCAGATAACATTCGAGACTGTCTCGAATAAATAGAAATGAGTGATAGATGACACACAAAAAATATGTTTAATGGTCTTCATAATTAGTCAATTATCGCGTAATTAAGCATGTAAAGATTAATTTGATTGACTTTCAAGTCATCCAAATCAAGAAATGTCTCCTTATCGGTCAAACCGGCTTCTTTTCACTTCAATTATTTGATTACTTATCACTATAGTTCCTTTTCATTAACTACCGGCTACTTGAAACTACATTGTAATGCAGTAGAAATTGCCAATCATGACTGTACTTAATTAAATTATTACCTTCATGTTAAGGATTTTTCTGTAGAAATCCATATTGGCTTTGCGGTTCCCCAAACGTAACACATGATGCAATGCTCTTCCCGAAATCATTGTTAATTGTATATTGCACAAACTGTTCTTAATTACTGATGTTGTCTAGAATTAAATCGAGGTTTTTATATTGTTTGCTCTGTATCTCGTACTTACTCTTTTTTGGATGGCGTTTAGAAATTTTGTTGTTTTGAAATCCGTTCAAATCGTCATGGCACGCATCCACTCAATATTCATTAAAATGATAATATTATTAATTTCGAGGATTTATTTAATGATTTTATTGGAGCACAAGCATTTCTGTATCTACAGCTGCCCTACAAAAAAATCTAGATTAACGGTTCTTCAAAGTTTGAATTATTCAAAGCTAAAAGTTTAATCCGAACAAAACACATTCGGATTGTGAATTGAATTCTATATCTGATTAAAGTCTGCATTTAACGTGCTATAATTAATTAAAAGTGTATGAAAACGCGATAAAGCTGTGTCTGGGACATTAATTCAACTATTAAAAATGCGGTTCGCAAGCCGCACACCGAAATAATCTCGATTTTATCAAATAACAAAAAATCTTTCAATATAAAGTCGTAAGTTGCATTATTTATATATTTTGACGTCTCAAATTGCGATATTTAATACGAAGAAGATATCTTCTCGAGTGCTTTAGTGCTTAACATCCTACGCAAATTCAGTAGGCAAGAGTATAGGCAAAAAATCAGCGATTTTCCATTCATTTGTGTTGCATGTGATAAATTAGATACAGTCGCTTCGACTATAAGTGCCCAAAAAACAACTAATCTTCTTTATTTCCTATCATTTATTTTTAGATAAAACAAAGACAAAACAAGGCAGTACACGCAGTTGACAAAAACTGATCCTCATCGACTTTCCATTTCCTCAAAAAGTGAAATTAGACGGTTTAAACATTATTAAAGTAAGAGAAATAAATCCACAGACTTCAAATATGTCGTCATCAAGTGGAAAAAGAAAAGAAATCTACAAATATATAGCACCGTTTCCGCTATATTCAATGAATTGGAGTGTTCGTCCCGATAAACGGTTTCGACTAGCACTCGGTAGCTTTGTCGAGGAATACAATAATAAAGTCCAAATTATTAGTCTCGATGAAGATACGAGTGAATTTAGTGCTAAATCAACATTCGATCATCCATATCCAACAACAAAAATCATGTGGATTCCCGACTCGAAAGGAATTTTTCCAGATCTGCTAGCAACAAGTGGCGATTATCTTCGTATTTGGCGTGCTGGTGAGCCAGAAACTCGAATGGAATGCGTACTAAATAATAACAAAAACAGTGACTTTTGTGCACCGCTTACATCATTTGACTGGAATGAAGTCGATCCGAATCTCATTGGAACATCATCTATTGACACAACATGTAAGTTTTACTCTCCTTGATAGCTTCTTAGTCATCGTGAGGTTTAAAAATAGTGCAGTGTAGGCGGTTATCAACTCGAATTTTTTTTTCTGTAAATTTTGCGGTAATTAAACTACGCAAATAGCTGCAATAAAAGTTATTACGGTCAAGATGCTTGTGGCATGTGCTATTATTTATAAACAAACACAAGCTATGAATGTGACTCATAAAAAATATCCAAAAATCCATTTGATCTTTGCGACTTTTGAAAAAGCATAGTTGGTTGTAATATTCTTAGCGAAAGTCGTACGATGTACACGACTATTGAAAAATCTTAATAAGCACTAGCAATGTAAATAAGAAAAGACATTTCTCATCTTCGGTACTTAAAAATAATACAGTAAATTGCAAATTATGTCCTTGAAAAGTGAACTACTTGGCATTGTAACAATTCTCATCTTTGTTTTGTTTATAGGCACGATATGGGGCATTGAAACTGGTCAACCTTTAGGACGTGTAAATCTCGTTGCAGGACATGTTAAGACACAGTTAATTGCTCATGATAAGGAAGTCTATGATATAGCTTTCTCGAGAGCTGGTGGTGGACGTGATATGTTTGCATCTGTTGGCGCTGATGGATCTGTGAGAATGTTTGATTTAAGGTAAGTGCGCAATTAAGCAAGTCAAGTAGGGAATTATTCTATTTTTAAACAAAATTTCATCCACAGACACTTGGAGCATAGCACAATAATTTATGAAGATCCCGGTCACACTCCGTTGCTCCGTCTTGCATGGAATAAACAAGATCCAAACTACTTAGCAACAGTGGCAATGGATGCATGCGAAGTAGTCATTTTAGATGTAAGAGTTCCATGTACTCCAGTTGCAAGACTTAGTAATCATCGTGCTTGCGTTAATGGAATCGCGTGGGCTCCACATAGGTAAGTTAATTTTAACATTTCTGTGTACTGTTTTTGCAAAAAGAATTGTCTGACTCAAAATGCGCTTAAATCGTTCATTACTGACCACAATTATACTCCTTTCTCCTCTTGCCTACATACACATCATGCAATTTATTTTTTTGCACATAGTTCATGTCACATTTGTACTGCTGGAGATGATCACCAAGCGTTAATTTGGGATATACAACAAATGCCACGACCAATTGAAGACCCAATACTAGCCTACACAGCAGCTGAAGGAGAGGTGAATCAAATTCAGTGGGGACCGACCCAACCAGACTGGATCGTAAGAAACTTGACTTTTATTGACTTGAATGTCTTTATTTATGGCTGTTTATTTCACAGGCAATTTGCTACAATAAGAGTTGCGAAATTTTACGAGTTTAGACAAAATACAGAACGGAATGATTTTAAGACAAAGACATGGATGCTATTTCTTAAGTGGAAGGGATTTTTTCGAAACATTTTTTAATACAACTGTCTAATCAATTAGACTCTTTTCTTTAACTTTAAGATCTATAGAATGTTTTTGTTTCTTTTTTACATGTTCAGACAGAAAGTGAATTGTGTACAGGTCAGAATTAAGTGGCAAGCTGATTGCCATTCAAGTTTTTGTCTTGTTAGGATTAGATATCGTAGATGCATCATTAGAAATTAAATTTCTCATGATTTTACATCATTTTATGACTCTTAAAGTCCATAGCTGTGTCCTTCTATGGTCTACATTACTTAATTATAAAAAAGTTTAATTTATTTCGCATCACAATCAACTCTTTCATACTTTTAATCTTAATTTAACTTAATAATAAGAACTATTATTAACTTATGACGCAATTTAAGAATTATCAATAAAAAAAATTATATTTGAGTGAATATTGGTAACAAATCTCAAATCGTAGTGAATGTTTGGTTCTTATTTTCTGGAATTTTGGTTGTTTAATTTAACAGAAGATTTGATGAGTATCAGCGATGGTTTAGATGACAGCGATCAGCATTCAGGATGTTACAACATTTAAACTTGAATCAAGTATAACAATCTTTACTAATTCAACTCAGTTTCTTGATCTGATGTTCGTCGATGTGAGTGTTGTTGACTGTAACATCAGGCCCGATCCAAAATAGAAAGACAAATCAACAATATTTGGTTTTGTGAAAATGACGACAAAACTTATGTTTCTTATTGCCGCTGTATCGAAAAGAACGAGGAATTATGTTGGGTCATATTTAAGTCAATGACTTTAAATTAATAAAAACAGGTAAGTAAGCCATTCTTTAGATTGAGTTTTGACTAAAAGAGTCATGAAAAGTTGACCATTGATGCCACGTGACACCATTTCGGAAGCTGCACATTATTCAGGGGATATTTACCAATAAGTAAACTTTATTCAAATATATTTCAACCGTTAGGAAAAGCTCATTAAGGGGATATAAATCTTTTTTAAGATTTAACTAGATTACCTCATTTTATTAAAATTCGTCATAATTAAAAATACATAACTTATGATAAAATTCAACAATAACTTTAATTAACTGCTTAAATATGGATGTCACATGATTTCTTTGTATCTAAGGATGTGTCCCTGAACAAAACTTGTATATTTCTGTATATTAGTAAAAGATTAATCACATACAGTAGTGATATGCATGAAAATCTCCTTATCGGCTCAATACAATGCGCCATTTCAGCAAATAGTAACAAAGCACTCGAAGAATGACGATTGCAAAAAGAAGAGCATATATATCTTTCGAAAATTGATCTGCTTCCATTGATATGTCCTTTAAAAACTTCTCGGGATATCTGTGAAAAATACACAATATGCATGAGCATGGATTTATGGACATCAAAACTCAAATGACATACTTATAATGACAGTACATAACATCACATTTCAATTGTTCTCGTTTATAGAACAATGCACCGACATAGCCTTCTAGTCCATAACGAAGGTATGAGACATAGCTGCCCCAATAAAGATATGGTGGGAGATCTTTAAGGGTAACTCCAAATCCAGCCAACATCATTGCTGTTTATAAAAATTTTGCTTTAATAAATTTTTTTTATTATTTAAGAATTAAGATTTAAAATTACCTGGAACTGCCAGAATCGGTCCTAAGAAGGTTCCATTCTGTAAATTAAAACATTAGTTAATGTTTTAAGACATGATTAATTATTTCTTTTGCGAAAATTCAATCCAGTTCCTTTAAAAAATTAATTTTTATCTCGTCCGACATTTCAAGTACGGAAGCTTTTAAAATGCCATGCTCGTAGAAAATAATTTAAATTTCATATTCTGTGGACTACAAAACCACAATTTTTTAATTGCTTAAGCTTGAGATGGGCAGTTTTGGATCAAGTGACTTCTTCTTTGTCTGTTCCGTTTTCTTAGCGATAAAAATGCTTTCGTTCTGTTTCTGAGATTCTTTGAGGGTGTTTAATTTGGGTCACGAGTGCAGTAGAAAGTAGGAGTGTCATCTCAACTTGAACAATCCCAAAAACTGAATCATTCATAAGGCAGACGACAGACAAATTCATAAGCACATCACCCCGCAAAAGTAATTACATTTTCTAAAATTTCTGAACCGTGCTGCGTCGAAATTTAATTTTAATCGAAAAATCTAATTGAAAATTATTGAATGCCTGTCAAACTTTATGTAATGCCTGAACATTAAGAGAATTTTTGGGAAAGTTGTCATGAGAGGACAACAAATTCCAATTAAGTACAATAAGAGGAGAAAATTCCATCTGTAGTAAGTCAATAATTCTTAAGAGAAATTTTATGTAAACCGTGTAGGATGTCTGAATGATAAGCAAATTTCCATGCAGAATAAGTAAATATTTGTTCATCATGAAGTTTGCTGAATAATAAGAAAATAATGTGAAAATTTTATTTTTTTCCCTTCCGTACTTGCTCGCTATTTCCGGTTGTACTTATCAAATATTCAACTTGAAATGAAGACGAATAATAAAAAAAGTATGAGCTCAAGTAGCACAATGACGATGGAAATGTAAAAAGGGATTAAAAAGACTACTTTTTCTTTTCTTATGTACTGAAGAACGAAAGAAAATTGAATTTTAAATTTTTAAGCAAATTGGAAGTAGTATTTGTGATGAAAATAGCAAAGTGCCTAATTTCACGATAATTGAGGATCGTTTGTTTAAAGACGATAGTGCTTTTGGGACCCTCGAGCAAGAGTCTTAATTAGTTTGATAATGGCTCAAAAAGGGTAATTTTTGCTATAAATGGAAAGTCTATAAGAACTCATCTTTTTTTGGATATTACGTCAATGAAGATTGACGTTTGAAGACATTTTCAGAAGGAATTTGATACTTTAGTATGTATCAGTGTCACATGTTAATCTATGTAATAATAATAATGTTAATTATGAGTGGGCTGTTGACGTCTTGATAACTCAATCTTTTGGATGTAAACATTCCTGAACTTGAAAACTTTTAGAAATTTATGAAAATTTTAAATATTAATTTGTTATGCCTTATTGCTTGTGGAATCATATCAGGGTGGAATCAGAGCTGTTAGAACAAATGCAAGCAAATCTATCGTTGTTGAATTTGTTTCAAGGCTCTTGAAGATTATAATCTTTGTATGGGATTATTTAAAAAGATTAATATCGGTGGGAACCTGACTTTGTTTTAACCTTTGAATATCCCACGTAACCAAAATCCCATAGATGGACGATACATGTATTACGCGATTTTATTCCATGTATAGTCCATGCGTATCATCCATGGATGATACATGGAACGATATTGTCCTATGGAGATGGATGATTTCATGGACGATTTTGTGTACAATACATGTATAGTACATTGATGTAATACATTTGTACGATTTTGTGTACTGCACATGTATAGTGCATTGATGTAATACATTTGTACTATTTTGTGGATTATAAATGGATTGAAACGCCTGAAATAAAAAATGCTCGATTTTTATTAATTAATGCACATATTAATGCTTAAAGTTTAACTAATTTATGTTAAACTTTTAATTTATTAAAAATTAATATAATTTTAAACTTATAGAAATCAAAAAGGACAATTTACACTTAGAAAAAACTTAACACTGTAACTCAAAATATTATTAATTTCCTGAAAAATTGTAAATTTTTACTGAATTATACCTTAAAATAGACAGAAAAGAAGAAAAGAAACAAGAAAGATGATTAAAATATTAGATGTTTAAAACATCGTTGACACTTTACATTTTAAATATTAATATTTTTTTCTTACCTTAATAATCGATGTTCTACTATATTCCCTATAATTACTCACCAAACAATATTTCTTGCTCCTTTTAATTATTTACGAATCTATATTGTACTTTTAAATTAAATTTTCACTTCACAACAATTTTTAAAAACACATTTTTCACAATGTAAACAAATAACTTAAAAAAATAAAATGCAGCAAAAATTGTTCTTAATTGTCTGAATGGCAAAATTTTTAAAGTGCTACATAGATGTATTACACATGGACTATACATGGATATTTCATGTATGTAATACATAAATGATACATTATGTACTGTTTTGGGGAAAGGACATAAATATTCCATCTATGTCAATGGAAAATGTGTGGAATACTTTGGTTACGTGGGATATTTTTTTTAAATCAACTCTAGAGAACATACAAAGAGCATGCTCAGAAAAGTGAGCATATAAGAGAGTCTACTCAAAAATTATACACATGCAAGCTCATTCAACTGAGCATGCTCAGGAGTTCATTACGAATGTATTCACTTTATTTTTTTGCAAAAAATTCATAAGCTCACGTGAGTACATTCAACGAGTGTACTCATGAGAATATAATGATTATAATTATATCTATATGACATTTTAAAAAATGTCAACCAACTTAAAACCGAACTATAAATACATTTATGTTAGTCGACATTTTAAAAAATTGTAAACCAACTTAAAAGCAAATGTTGAATATTTAAGATATGTAATACAAAAATGTACGGAACTTTTTACAATTTTAAGTTTTCTGAAATAAATGCCAAGAGTTTCTTTGCTTTTAAAAAACTATAAGAATTTAGCACGATCAAAATCTTTTTGCTTTCATGAAACTAATATTTGAATTCATAAAATATTTTCAAAAAATGTCGACCTGCATAAAAATGTTTTTTAAGTTCCATTTTAAGTTGGTCGACATTTTTTTGCATAAAATTGAATTCTTTGTTCGATTTTAAGCTGTTCGACATTTTTAAAAATATCGACTTACATAAAAATGTATTCTAAGGTTAATTTTAAGTTGGTCGACATTTTTCATAATATGTTCTCACGATCGTGCTCTGATCAACTCAAATATTTCATAAAAATATAGTTCAATTAAGCAGCGTATCAAACTTCAAAGAACTTAGTTTGCCTGTAATAATATAATAATTTAAGTATGTGTTTTGCCATATAAAAATTATTATATATTTACAGAAAATTGCTCCAAGGAAAAGTGTGAGGTGACAGAAGTTAAGCAACGCAATAGGTTTTTCTACAAGGATGGATGAACGGTTTTTAAAACTTCCTTCTTATGTATTTGAGATAAAATATTAATAATAATTTCTATAGATTCCAAAATTATTCACAGAATTATCCTTATAAAACTCAAATTTAACTTAATTAATTTTTTTGAATTTTGTGACTTCAACTGGTTGCACTCATGAATGTGCTCAGATGAGCATAAATATATTCATAAGTGATAATGATAATGTTCATAAGTTTATTCAATAAAAAATGTTGCATTAAAAAAATGTTGCGTGTGGCATGTTGCCTTCTAATTTGAATATTACTTAATGCATGTCACATAGGAATGTGCTCACTGAGCATACTCAAAAAGGTACCGTGATCGCATCACTTTAATGTATGAAATGAGCACATTCTCACAAAAGTTTGCAAGCTCACAAATAATGTGCTCTGAGTATACTCATTGTATGTCGCAGATCTGCGTTCAACATAACAAGATTCGAGCTGTATATCAAGAAGACAACATCTTAATAGCTCTTAAAATCTTCCAAATATAAACCAACCTGGATCTTTTCATTCATCTTTCGAAAGATGAGAAAAATTCTTATTTAACTTTAATTCGCCATTTCACGCCCGAGGGTCAAAAGAATAAGATATTCAGCAGTCAATATTGAAAATTTGAAGCCATTATTTAAATATACATTCAGTAGAGAAAAGATGTTTCTTTAGTCTTGAAAGTTAATGTGGCCAATTTTCCATCTCTTCTTCTTTATTCATCTTTCTGTCTTATCTTCATTCTTTTTAACACTTGAAAAGGCAAATTCATCGCGATTTCTCAAACTCCATTTCATTAAATGTTCATGCTCTGCGTACGATACGAAATGTATTTTAATATTGTTTAGCATAAAAAAGTGTGGGCTTTTATGTCTGGTATAATGAAAATTAAAGATTATTGAAGATGAACAAAGCATGAATGGAATTTCCTTTTTTCCATCTATTACGCGTTGAACTCTTTATGCTGATTTTGGTGGAAATGGTGTGTCAGTTTTGGATGATTTAGGGTTGAACTTTTGATAAGTTTATGAAAAAGGAACATCGAGACACAAAAGGTATGGAAATTGGCTTGAAATTTGAATGTCAAAAGACACTTTATGAATTTTTAAAAATATCTAGTGACATTAAATATGCAAACTGATGAAAACATCAATATTAAGCTTAATAATTAAAGATCCAGTAAGATATAATAAATACTCACAATAACATTGCAGACTGTACCGATGAGGAGTCCAATAGATTGTGCAATAAATACAATCAGAAAACTGACAACAAAAAAGACTGAAAATCGATCAGCTTCCAAAGGCCATCCAACCATGATGTAAATGATAATTGAAAATAGCAAACATGAAATTATTGTCACTGGCAGATCGATGAGAGTTGTTGAAATATAATAGCTCTTCACCGAATACCATCGATTAAAGTTCTCTTTTAGAATTATTGATTTTTCTGTTGGAACTACATGCAAAATACAAATGTAAAGAAAAATAGTGAATAGGAATTCATTAATCAATCAATGTGAGCAGGAAGCTTACATGTAAGAATTGTCAACATCATTGCTGCAAACACATGATGGATTAGGATGGCAAACATTAAGTTATAGTTTGCAAGAACACGTGAACCGTCGGTTCCGGAACCTATGAATAGAAGTCCTAGCAATATAGCAACAAGTACATTTACTATGATCCGTAAATGGGTCAGCGTCTGATCACGTTTTGTTTTGATGACACCACGCCTTAAAAGAACTTTGAGCTTATGAAATTCGCTGACATCGTCAGATTTCTTCTTTTCATCAGAAATGGGAATTTTTTGACGTAGTTGCTCCAATTTCATTACTCTATTAGGATTTTCATACCACGACAAACATTCACCGTTGCCAATTGAGTTGCTTAAAGTCTTCACCTTATCCATGCCATAGTCACCAGATGCTAATTCAATGGCTAAACATTTTTTTTTTCATGAAAAAGTGCACATGACATATCAGTTACAATTTAATTTACCGTAATCTGCTGGATTATGAAATTTCGGACATGGTAGCGAAACGGACTGCAAAAATGGAACTAATTTCGACGAGTGTCCTTGATATAAGCACTTTCCGTATGCCAAAATGTAAACCAAATCAAATTTTTCAAAAAGTTTTGCGGACGGTTGATGTATTGTGCAAATGACAGTTCTTCCTTGTTGTGCCAACTGTTTTAGGTATGCAATCATATTTGTGCATGAATATGAATCGAGTCCGCTGGATAAAATAATGTAAGAGAGGAAAAGTTTTAGTGTGAAAAAATTAATTGAATTTTTTTAAATCTGTTTTTAAGAAGATGAAGGATTGAATGTAAGCAGTTTGACTGTATTTGAGAGGACATTTTGTAGATTCACTGAAACTATTTGTTGGTTGATTAACTGCTGTATTTCATAAGTAAGCTTAATGTTCAAATTATTCTATAGAAATTGAATCCAGGATTCTTAATGTGGTCACAACTTTATCAAGCTGTATGCAGCTTCTGACTTTAAAATCATTTCTTTATGAAGAATTTGTTGCTGAACTCGATCATCTCGGATCTAGTCAATAACTTTGAGCTGCGCTATACCATCCTAAAAGTCATTATAGTTCTAAAATATCAACTTACGTTGTTGGTTCGTCAAGCCACAGCACAGTAGGATTGTTTATAAGTTCAAGTGCGACAGATAATCGTTTCTTTTGTCCACCTGACAACCTCTCCGTTATCGTAAATTGATGATCATAAAGACCCAAAGCGGTCAAAATATTCTCAATCTGTAAATTATAAAGAATAAAAGAATAATGAGAACTTAGGGTTATGAATTTCCATTAAAATTAAAATTCATTTCCTTAAGAAAAATATGCTTTTTTTTCTGTTGTGTGTCTGACGCAAGCTTCTCGTTTGCGGAAAGCAACTTCTAATTTCCCTTTTTTTTCATCTCAACATTTTAATTAATTTTCTTTCCTTAATAATTTAGACTTTCCTTTCCCTTTTTTAAGCAACGCGCCTTTAGAAGACACAAAAGAAATGGAATTTTTCAAAACTTTTCCTTCGGTGTAATTACATCATGTGCTTAACATGTTTTTCATTCCCTAGATATCAATTTAAAATATGATGTGAGAATGAAAAAGTTTTGATTCTTCTTTGCAATTTTTGAGTGCCTCTAATATCCAGTAAGTCGACAGTAAAATGTAAAGAGGAGAATAATTAATTTTCAGTAATATTTTTAGATGCGACGGCTATGAGCAAACGTGTCAAAAGTTCCCTTAAGATTTTTTTCAGAAATGATGACCTTTAAAAACTTTGAACTAAGTTTTGAGGCATCATTTGGAAGTTGTGAGAGGCCAGAAACTTTTATATTAGAAGAAATATTAAGAATTTATTCACTTCCGATTTTTAAAATTTTATAGAATGGTTCCGTCAAGAGTAAATGTTTCAAATCACTATTAATGATTTTAGTTTATTTCCAAATTCCCTTAAGTATTGGAATCTAGAACAATTTCTATTTTCACTGAAATTCAACATAAGTGTATTGATTTTAATAATTTTTCACAGCATGAGCGTATCCTATCATATTAACCATTCCCAAAGCGTTCATAAAAGTTATTCAGTCATTAAGATCGCCAACAAATTGATTAGTTAAATCTTTGATTAATTTTTTTATCTCCTAAAACTTTTCTAGTCAAATTGATTTGTTAATTATGCATGGATTGTAGAAAAACAATTTTGTCAAACTTTTTCGTTCGGATGGCACAAACAAAAATTCATGATTTCCTCAAAATTGATATTATAAGCTTACTTTTTCTGAATAAATAATAAGATGATGAGTAAGAAGACTAGAAATGTAGAAAACTCAAATCCTTGCAGACATTTTCATGCTTATAAAAGTTATTTACCTTGAAATTGTAGTAAAATTAAAATACACACAAGGGCTTCATGTAAAAATAATTAAGTTTGTCGCATAAATATTTCTGTCATAACTTTATATGATATTTCTCTAGCGAACGGTGTCATAATGACTGTAATGAACTTAATTTATAAAGAAAGGTGTTGATTAAATTTACTTTACATAGAATATATCTACGAATAATAATACAACATGTATTTTGTAAATGAGTAAAATTAGACAAGATTTATAAAGTTCAGAATGAAAGTTTTTGTTTACCACGTGTATGTCACTGAAAGAATCTTAGCACAAGTAATAAAAAACTTTGTCATTGCAAAGTTTACAAGAAAGAGGAGATGATTGTTTGGGGATTCTTTATTTAAGTAAAGATCTTGTTTATTATGAAGCTTTTGAACGCAATTGAATATAGAAATCTTTAAAAATTTAAATATGCTCCTTTTGTACAAAATTGAATTCAACAGAACAGGTTTTCATGTTTTGAAAAGAACATAACGCTATACTTGCTAATTTAAACATTCCTGGATTTTCTGGATGTTAAGTTTTACAAAATTCTATGGTCAACAATCTTTGTATTAACGAGAAATTTTATGAAAATCGTCCAGAGGTTTATTAAGCTTCCTACTGGCTCATCCTAGCACAAAGTGACAAATATTTACACTAACAACACAATAAGAACTTTTTCTCGATTCCAAAAGCGCAATCACCGTCATAAAAATACTCAAAAAATCAATTATTTTCTTGTCTTATTTAAATCATAAATAATGTAAGCCATTTGACTGTGGGAAAAAAGTATTTTCATCGTGAGAGAAATAAAAAGTTTCTTCTTCCTTCTTGTTGATAAAATGTTTACGTTCCATAACAATACATGTCATGTAACTGTCATAAAATTCATCATTCAATTTTTTCATTTTCTTTTTCTTTCTACTTGATATTATTAATATTGGTGCTATTATTGTATACTCACTCTGCTGTTCTTCTCAATCAGACTGACGTTATTTCCGAGCTTCAAGTCGGCAGCAATTTTCATATTTTCATAAACGGTTAGAAGCAGTTGTAGTCGATCGTCTTGAGTGATGTAACATGTAGATTTCTTAAATTCATCTGGATGGGTTGGGTTTGTGCATTAAAAACAGGAATTGCGTTGGTGTGAAAAACAGGAAGTGATAAAATTTCAATTAGATTTCATGTCAAATATTTTCAAGCGTTGGCAAATTTGAGAAAATAATCTTCAGAAATGTCAATTTGAAGTTAAAATTGTAATTGAGATTTTCAGTCCCGGTAATGTATTAATTTTAATACCGACATCAAAAAACCCAATTCTACATAAATACTTAATTTTTAATAAAGATAGAACTCACTTAAATCCCGTATCCTTCCATTCACGTAAATAGCTCCACTCACTCCTCTTGTTTTATAACCGGAAAGAGCATTCAAGAGAGTTGACTTTCCTGTTATTTTTAAATGATAGAATTTTTATTGATTTTTCAATTAAAATTTTGATGGATTGTTTACGAATGATGTTCATTTTACAACCGTAAAGCTTTAAAGCCTTCTTTCGTCAACATAACATTGAAGTTCATTAAAGGGGATTCTAGCGCTGAATGATACTCATTGCAATTATTTGCATCAAAATTGCTGTGAGTATTCAAAAAATCCAATTTAAGATGAACGTCATAAGCAGAGCTCGATTTGACTCGATTCGACTCGAAAAAAATGAAGTCGAAAAGTTGAGTCGATTCGGTTTTGAGTCGAGTCGAGTCAACTCGAGTTGACTCGAACCCTATCGACTTCGAGCTCTAGTCATAAGAAAACAATCCTTTAGTCGATTGTACAAGAATTATTTACCTGCTCCACTTGGGCCTATAACGATGATATAAAGGTTTTAATTAGTTTCAAGTTAATTATTTGTATGAATTTGTAATTAATTTAAATTGAGATGTCAGAGGTAGAATTTTTGGAGGGGAAACTTTCATCTTGATATTGTCGTCATTTTAAAATGAGGATAAATTACTTTGTAGTTGAATTTGCTGTATTATATTAAAAAAGTTTTTAAATAAGCTTGTAGAGTTGTAAAATATGCGAAATATAACTCAATTAATTGTTTGTTTTCCAAGGTCATATTTAAATATGCTAAGTAATTAAGACAATAGTGCCAAAAATATTTTTTAATAGCGTGGCTTATATAGGCCATTAAAAGTTTTGATAGCAGTCAATTAAAAAGTTCTTGTTAACACTTAAATTGCTAATTCTCTCAACAATTAAAATTCTACACAACATTCAATTTGCATACTAAGCTGAACTTACCCATAATAGCAATCAGATTTCCACTTGGGAAATTTCCGCTAACTTTATGAAGAATTTCCTTACGGGCTGAAAAAAAAACAATATTTACAACACAATCAAGGAATCCGAGTAATCACATGCAGCTACAAATTTGTAGACTATGCATAAAAAAATTTAGCACAGCTGATTTTTGCAACAATTTTTTTTTTAATCTTATCAGCTGATAATCATTTATACTATTTCTAAATCTCACGCGTTGACATAATAATCAATCAAAAGCGGGGAGGGAAATAAAGCTGCAAAGAAGAATCAAGTGCACTGATATGGCAATGTAATTCAATCGTCATAATTCCTTATCAATTTATTAGAACTACAATAATTTATTTAATACTTTTACAGGAATCAAAGCTCAATGACATTGATTTATCAAAAAATTTTGGACTTTGTGGCTTACATTGAGCCATGCGAGTGTAATTGATAAAAATGTCTCTTTGATAACAAATTTTTCATCATTCACACGTCATATCAAGTCCAATGTACGTATTATGAGATTAAAATATACTTTAATGAATGAAATTACGTCATTCTAATCATCATTATGGTATCTACATGACCATCATGAGAAATTCTATATCCTTTGATTATGTGCAGTTAGAATGTCTGCAAATATGTCCCGAATAACGTAATTTTTGAAAGCTAGTTCTTTGTTTTTTTTTTTTCTTGATGTATGTCATATTGACGAAGTTTAAAATAATGATACCGAGATATTGATAAAAAAAAAGTTTTAACTTAGAAATTCCCTTAATTAACCTCATGCTTTAATTTTTCATTGACAGATCTGCTCAATTATATATGTTTTCATCAAGACAACTTGCTAACATATATTTTAAGATATTTGAGCCACTCTGATTAGACCATATGTCTGGAACAGACAAAAGTCTTTCAGCAGTATTGATTCAGATTTGAGTCAGTCTAGGCAATACTGAAAACAATACTAGTTCTTTAAGAAAACTCAATAGCGACTGTTTATCAATCAAACTTTTATTGTGAGATTCTCGCTATTCAGGATCCAAAAATAGCAAAATTTCCTATCCATGCAAACTTCCATTGACATTCTGTTGATCAAAAATTAGATATTTGCACTTATTATCAAGTCAAGTACTCTTCAGTCGTATACGCGTGTTGATATAACAGTATGTGATGATACAATTATGTAGCCCACATGTTTGTTTATGATTGAATAGATCTCCTGCCAATTTCAACAATATTGACACATAATACGATGAAAAATGCTACGGCACATAATGCACTTCACCAACTCATCGTTTGCAATATATTTATGACTGAATGATTTGATATCTACATGATGTTTTTTATGTGTTTTGGCGCACGAGAGAATCTGTGTGAATATTTGCACTACTATTCACTAAAATTGCTCATATGGGAGATTCCAAAATCAACTAATCATAAAAGTTACTAAAATAACAAAACAATTTTATGATAAAAAAAATCAGTCGGTTTTGAATTCCATTTTGATAAATTTTGAGTTTTTTTATGATCAATGAATTGAATGACTGGAGTTTAGTTTCAACTGAATTAAATTAAACATTATTTTGAGATTTTGTTGCTGTTTTTTAAGTAGAGATTGAATTTCTGTGGTTGGTGATTTTTTTTTAAAATCGTTGACTTTTGAGGTCATGGATTATAGATTTTGAGAAGAGGAATTGTACAATATCGATTTATACACCGGTATTCACTTAGTGATTTAATTTAATTATAAAATAGCAAAAAATATTCAAAATACACATGAATTCGATTCAAGGACATACAAAAGCAAAATACAAAGAAAAAGCTTTTAGTTGTAAAGTTTCACAAAGTCAAAGAGATCGAATATCATGTGAAGTTTAAACTGCGATTTTTAATATTATTACCCGATATCAATTAAAACTCTGGCCCGGTTTCTACATATACTAGGCATCCAAATTTTGATTATAGAGTACCCCGAGTAGCTCTACAAACCGGCACTGATTTTTATTTCATTAGCAATATCAGTAGTAACATTCAAATGCAAATGCAATTTTTGGAAGCATTAAATGTTTCGTTTTAAATTTTTTGGCAGCTTAAAACAGCGTCTTTTTAATATTCAGAATCTCTGTTTATCTCACAGCATAAAATTTCCATACTTATTTAGAATTCATCCCGAATAGTACAAGTTGGTTAATCGAATAGAAATCCGGAATTGACATCCAGTGTAATTCTGGAATTGTGCTGGATTTAAATCGTATCCAGCACAATGTCAGAGTAACACCAGCTAGGAGCTTGATTTCTATTCGATTAAGCGACTTGTGCTATTTAAGTAAATGTCAAAAGTAGAATAACAAAAAAAAAAAACTGGTCAAAATGTCAAAAGAATTCATTATAGAGAACAGATGCATTGAAAAACTTTACAGCATAGGTCAAGTAACGCAGTAAATAAAAAACAATTTTTGATTGTCACTATCTGATCATTATTTACAAAAATCATTTCAAAATGCAAATGTTTGATTATAGATCTCATAAAAAGTCTCACAGACAACAGAGAAAAGTCGTGCATCAGGTATAGTAAACAAAAAAAAAAAATTCATTGATTATCTTCCGATTATTATTTATGAGCAGACTAGCGTGATATTTATAAGTGCGATTCAAAAAGTATACAAACACAAAATCACATCTTATCGAGTTTATTCGTCAATTATATCTTTGAACTTTACGGAGCGACTTAGTGGCTTTAAAAAAATACAATGAAATAACTTTTTGTTATCTACTTTGGAGATTGTTTTTATCACACGTGATTAATTTTTCATTTATTCAGCATTTCAAAGTTCACAGACATTTTTTAGTGTTTCAATATCTCAAAATAAGGTTTTGTTGCTGATTATCTAATTTTCAAAAGGAATTAAATCCGATGATTAAGAAAAATTTTATCAGTTTACTGGGGGATTACAGCTAAATATTGGATAGATATGTTTAAAATTTAAAAACTATAGAAGGTGTTGAGGTAAATTTTGAATAGAGGCACACTTTTTTAAACAAGTTAACTAATTCCAGCTCCCGAGTTGCACTTTTAGATTTAAAAAAATCCTATTTTTTTGACTGACGTCACTTGCAATCGACAGCTTATCGAATGTCATAAACACCTGTACACTTGAACTTCTTCAACAAGTTTTATGGGATTGCCAATTTTCAGCTGATAAATTATAAAACTAGTCTATGACTTGCACAAAAAACTCACTTTTTGAAAACATTTTCTGGACACAATATGATACATCCTTAAATGATATCTCGATTGGTTCACAGACAGGCATATTACAAAATGCAGCACGAATTGCTGACGGTGAATGCTGATAATCTGTTGCATCCACTGAACCTTTAATATACTCTGTTTGTACGTGTTTATTTATGGCAGTATGATTATTGTCTGCCTTCATTGCCGACATCGACAGGGCAGCAATTGTATTTAAAGCTGTTTCTTGCTGGAGGATAGGATCCATAATTTTATATTAATAATCAACTGTTTCTGTCACAAATTGCAATTTTGCAGTAATTAGCACAGCCGGAAAATGAATAAATTTATTATTATTAAACTATTACGATTATTATAGAACAAAGGAGGCTCTCAAATGTCAATTGAACTTATCGCCTCGAGTGCTGACAAACTAATGCACCGATTTTAAATTTAATACACTTTAAAACTCCTCACTATAACAATATCAATTTTTTTTCCTTTATGCTTTGCGTGAGAGCGAGAGATGAGCTCCAACTATACACGAAAAAACTAATAAAAGTGAACAAATAAAGAAACACACAACGAATCAATCAGTCTTACTTAAAAGCTAAAATGCTTTTGTGAGTGAATGTGCTTACACTTTGAAGTTCTAAAACTTTTACTTACAATAAAGTCGAGCTCGTGGGAATGTTATAGGAAATATGAAGCAATTAGCGCATTTTGGAGAATTTAATTTGTGGTCGTTTACTGAAAAATTTGGACTTTAGGATTCACTTATCTGTAGTATCAAAATATTCATCCAAAATATTTTTCATAGTTTATCAGTCAAAAATCAAGAGACGCCTTCCTCGTTTAATCCTCCAGTCAATCAGTAATAATAGAACTGCTGAATCCGGTTTATTGGGAATTTCCACATTATCACATTTATTAGAATCTAAATGCAGAACATACAACAAAGTATTCTAAATCATTCACCGCCAATACGTCCACAACAGCATCTTCCAAGCAAAAAATACGCTAAAATATCGCAAATACATTCAAAAGGCAAATAAACTTAACAAAAGAGTCAAAAGCTTGTCGTGTTCTTATCATTCGTGAGTCGATACAAACAAAAGAACTGTCGATGATTACAGATGTGGATATTCACGATTTTTATCAGTAAGAAATCGATGCTTGTCGCTAAGAAATGATAATGAAAGAAAAATATTAGCACTATGTTTGACATGTGCTTCTTAACGTTATCGACGTTATCTCTCATTTTTTTTTATCATTTGTGATGATCTGTAGCTTCTTTTTGTTATGTATTCATAATCAAATTCAATGGCAATCATCGATAAGTTTGAATGTATTTCAATGTCACTCGGTCAATCAACTTTAATGCATGCACTTTTACTTGATTCATTTGAGACTGATGGGAAATACATTTGCATGAATAATTTAGAATTTTAATATGATTTAATTTAATTAATTCGTCAATTCACTTATGAGGGATCTTATAACTTCAGAATTTCAGAACCGGAAATTAACTTTATGGTTGACGAGGCACTACTTTAGTATTTGAATAAATTTGCGAAATTGTCATCACAATTTAGCTGCTGAATATTCAAGATTAAAATGTATCACTCAAGTTAATAATAATTCAAGGTCTTTTGAGATGCTATTTTTATGAAAACTGTTTTGAAATTTTACTCATGTCTGATGCTATTTTTATCACAATAATATGATAGGATCTAATTTATCATCATTAATAAAGCAGAAACATTTCTATTGTGAAACTTGGAGGCTTGAATTTACGTAAATATTGAGGGATCTGCTATAGATATTTGATTTTATTATGAACTCACATTAAACATTTGTTAGATCTCTTTTGATCTAATCATTTACTGGATTCTACTCTCATTACTTTAATAAATTAAATTTTATGACATTTAAATTCTTTGCACCTCACAGTGGTCAAGGTCGATCGGAGACAATCAAATCAAACCCATCGCTCATGACATAGAACTTTCCTGCAAAATCAATTTTTCATTTTCCGAGTCATGTCATCTTAATGTGATGCAAGTAATATAACAAAGTAGTTTTCTTTCAATTGAAAAGTTTGTTCAGGAACTTGATATGTTGAAAATGTTTTAAATTAATGACAATTGGTTTGAAACAGTTGAGATAAGAAGCCAATTTTGTGGAGAATAATAAATGATCATTCTAATTGAGGCGGTTCTGTTCTTTTTTTTGTCGAATTCTTGAATGATTCAAGAATGACTTCTAAAACCTTTAAACTTATAAGCAATAACAAAATTCCTCAAAAACTAGGTTGATGTCAAGGTAAAAATAAGTTTTACGATAAGTTTGTTGACTTTTCAAAATCTAATCTTCAGGTGTGTCGTAAATGTTTTGAAGATTTCATTCAAGGATGAACAATAGAGTTATGACAGCTTTCAATACCAATAAAACATTTAATTACTTTCTTATCGAAAATTTGATTTTCAGTAGAACGTTCGGCGTCATTTCTATTTTCTTCATTCTTTATTTACACGACTAAAATGACTCATAAACATTTTTTTCTTTTCAAGCTAACGAAAGCAGCTGATAAATATAAACACAAATACAACGTTTTTAAAAATATTATTAACTTAAGTCGAGTTCAGTCAATTAAAATATGAGTTTTATAAGCGGAATTGAAATTGCTGTAAACAGTGCAATTAATTAAGTTGACTAAGACGAAAACTTCATAAGCTACAATTCTGAGAATGATAATTTACATTTGGAATCGAATAGATCAAACACAATAAGATGAATAATTTAGAATACATTGTTGCTAATTTGATTTTTGCTAAGGTTTTTGCTGCTTTTAAAGTTTTGTTTATAGATTCTTTGCTTTAATAAGTAGTTCCTTATGCAAAACCTGAACTAAAGTTTATATTTTCAAATATTATTTTTTTTTATCAAATTAACCAATTAATTCGAAATTCCAAGCAAAGCGTGGAAACTATCCCAAATATCACATATATCCCATATATCCCAAAAATATTCAAAATAATCCCTGAGCCTGTATGCATTGTAATTACACGTCCAAAACACCAAGGATACGATGGGATATTTCAAATCTAATGCATACAGGCTCAGGAATATTTTGAATATTTTTGGGATGAATGGGATTTTTGGGATAGTTTCCACGCCTTGATTCCAAGTGAGATGGATTCACCAAAAAAAATACTTTATTTTTATCTGTAATTCATGCCAATTAAAACTACGTTTTACTCACTTCTTGACATCTTTGCTCGTGCCGTTTCTCCTAATTTCCACATCATGAACGTGAGAAATGATTCGTTCCGGAATATTATCGAACTTACATCTTTTTCAATGACTTTTATATTTACAGACAAATCACGAGCATTCCCTATTGAAAAAAAAACTCTCTATGTCAATAATTTTGCGATAAGATGCTGACAATTTGATTGTTTTCTATTCTATTAACTTTTCACAGGGTCATTGACAACTAGTTTTCTCACAATGTAAAAAAAAATTATAGATTAGGTAGCAACGTGTTTGAAAGATAATATATATTGAATTTTTTTTTGTTACGATAAGCATTTTAAAGCTACACACAAGTTATACACATATGTTTTTAAAGAATGCGGTTGACAGAAAAGTATGAGTAAACCTCCTACAGCGGTTTAATCTGCTTGGATTAATTTTTTACTCGCAGCGAAGATTTTTTGTATGGTGAACATTCCGGAAGTTGTGGATTCTTTTTGCATATTTCATTGACTGACTGAGATTTATGAAGTTATTTTAGGATTTTCAGTAGAATGTTTCAAAACGTTTCTTTACTGACGTATTTCGTATCCTGTTCTTAACTATAGTTGACAAAAGACTTAAACTACTAATTTATGGCTCTCTATCTGATGATGACTTTTGTACTGCTGGTATAACTTAGCACTCAAAAAGACACTTTACTAAGATACTGCTCCAGTAATAGTCAAATTTTATTTGCACTTAAGAGTGCAGTCTATCAACTTTTAATCCTAGAGTTGGCTACCTCGAGTAGCCCCAATAACATGATAAACTTGTATTAAATATCCATCTGTAAAATTTTATGCAATCCTTTTCTGATTTAAAGATGCTACGTCATTCACGAACAAATAATTAATTATAACATTGCAGTATGAATTTATTATAAAGTACAAAAATCATTTTAAATGACAAATATTATTAGCGAGTGAAAAATGTGAACATTGAACTTTGTACGACGTGACGATGCCTGTTGATTCTCATGATAATATTCTACGCTATTATTCAGGTTAATCGATTGAATTTAAAGATCAAAATGCAAATTTTATTGCTCCATCAATAGAATAGATCTTGAATAATCTCATTATTCGCTCCATAAATTCCAAAATTAGAATCAAATTTGCAGCAATTTGTTATAAATAGAATTACGAAATTTTATCTTTACGTGCGTGACTGGAAATTTTTACTATTTTTTAATTAATTGTTGTAATACAATAAAAAGAACGCCCACGAGTCTTATCGCAATACTACATGTAAATGACATTTAACTTATTGTAAATTAATTAATTAATTTATAATTCTCTCCATCCATAAATACGTCAAATAAATTTCATTTTCTTTTCATTTGAAGGTGTGATAACATGTTGTAAGCTGATTTACATTGAGTTTAGGTTCTCTAGTTATCCGAGGTGGGTTGATGACAAAGAGGTTAGGAAAGATCATCACCAGGTTTTTCAGTCAATTAACATTTAATTTCTAAAATGCAATATCAGTTTCTAAAATGCTTTAAATTACAACTCAACATTACTTTTCAAAAATTTCAAAAAACCCTAAAATGCGTCTTCTTCACTCACCTCCAGTGACTTTTTAACTAGTTTTTATAATTTTATTGGAAACCCTTCTTGTTTGCTGTCTGATAGGCATTTCTCTTATCTCCGTCCAATTCCCGACAATTCATTTAACAAATTACAATAATTCTTAATGTAGCGTTTTATGAAAATCCAATAATTGTTTAATTTCTGTTTCATATTTTCCGATTACATTAAATCATATCATTAAATCTGAAATCATATAATTTATATGTTCAGAGACTTTAATTGGATATTGATATAAATTCATCGATGAATCTGTATGGATATATCCATTAATTAAGAACGGAGGAGAAGAAATCGGAGTTTTTATTGTAGGTGATTTATGAATTAAATTTTTGTGTGAATGGAATTGAGACTGATACTTTTTTTGTGGTGGGTGGGAATTTGAGCAAGAGTTTGGGTGTTAATCAGAAAGTCATTCAAGATCTTCGTCATAAAAAATATCAGATTGAATTAATGTAGAAATTATTGGTAATAATTCTTAAACTTAGGGGTGAGGGTTAGATTTCTTATTCATTCTGAGTAAATCTTGAATAATAAGCTTAATTTGAACCGATTTTAGGATTTTTGCTAATTTAATAAAACAAATTCATTTTAATCAGAGCTAAGTTGTTATCTAGATTGGTTACAGTATTAGGTTAAAACTAGATGGATTAAACGATTATATATTTCATATATTTTAAGGAATCAACCTCCGGTAGGACTCGAACATGCGTTATAAAGAGATAGGAATTGGAGTTTAATCACTCGTTCACTGGCGCATTACTTTCGCACTGATAGATTGCTATAAAAGACAATAAATTGCAAGTGGATATTAAATCAACTCTGGACAGCCCAAAATGTCAAACTTTAATCCGAATCGCAAATCAACCATTGAATGATTTAATATAGAAAAGATATAAATGTCATGAAGCAATTCACAGATGGATTATTTTCACCATTGATTTAAAAATTCTGTCCACGCTCA